GATCGTAGCCAAGGAGTTCGGATGCAAGATCACAACAGAAAACACACACAAACAAAAGCTGTCAATTGTGGGCTACAGCGTTGAATTAACCATTAATGTGAAAAATATCTGTAAATCGCTCAGGAGGAATTATCGTATCCCTGTAGCTAACCGAACGACAGTGGACTGCACTCGGCAGTGCTGCACCATACTACCGAGCACTAGAGCAGTTCATCACAGTTTAGGGCAGTGATTTATTGAGGTCTGAAACACCAGCGTCAAGTCATGGGGCAATGTTCATCCTCCTTGGCTTCGTGGCACGTCACAGCAGGGCTTGATCGTGCCCGTGGGAGTCCGGCGGCAATTTGACAATCAATCAGGTCGTGTGTTTTTTTTTTTTTTTTTTTTTTCTCATTCGTTTGATCATCAGGATTGTCAGCGCACAAGTCGTCCTCTACAAGTACAGAGGACGGCGATTAATACTGGATTGGATGGAGCACCAGCGCTGCCGAGTACGCTGTGCTGTGTGCGGTCAGACCCAGAAACGCCCCCGCCAGGAGGAGCACGCGAGATTCAACGATAACACCGGCCAAAAATGATGATCAAAATGAACGCATACAGGCTGCTCACCGTACGGAGTACTCCGTCCATGAGCGCTTACTATACAAGGGTTTCCGCCCGTACGGCGCTGCTTGGGAGGGGTAAGTTTCCATATAGCAGTATTCCGTACATACTGCCATACATACCGGGCATATACCGAAATTGACCTCTACAGAATACCCTACAAGGTAGGACCCTGAAGTGATCCGCGAACAGCCAATTAATCAATCAATCACTTTCGTTCGTTTCCTCCCGACGGTCCGCAACGTAGTCTGCCGCTAATTTCTTCAACCCCCCTCTCGGCCGCTGCTCTCCGGGCGCTACGCCGCTGTATCTCTGCAGCAGCGATGGAATTGATGACATATTACTTGATGGATTGATTGCCGTTCCGCTACAGCCGCGAATTACCCCATACTGCAACTTGCTATGGAGTAAGTACATGGTACAGATCATGTTGTGCACGGTTCGGCCGGTAGCGGTAGGACCGGATGATGGCGCTTTCATCAAAATACCCCGTAGCAAGCAGTGCAATAGTACGGCGCTTTACTATATGAAGGGATCTCAACATACCGGCTAATGCGCGCTTCCCATAATGGCAGTAAGCAATGTACGAAAAGTCTAGTGCAAACGGTTGAGAAAGAGAGAAGAGAAAGAAAAGACGGTAAAGAGGCAACACATTAAAACTCGTTGAGGAATTCCGAGCGATACGTTAAATTGCGATAATTGGCAAGATGATCCGACGATTGCCCGAGTGCCGACCTCTTTACACGGTCAGAATACGATGTCCATCCATTATTGTGGATGCAGTTGATAAGGCATTTGCATTTGCATTCCACATGCAGTGGTTCTTCTGCTTGGTTGGTCAGTGAATGATATGACATGTCCATTGACAACTGACAACATACCTGTTATCCTAATAACTTCGCATGACATCAATCGGTTCGTCGTCCCGGCATGGATACCGAAAAGGATTGTACATAGTATGGAGGAGAGGTAGATCACACATGGCCAACTCAGCAATGCGGGTTTAACGATGCGGGGCTGGGATGCGCTTGCAGTGAACTTGAGATGATATATGTATTCTCAGCCGATCGCGTTGGGTATCTACTAACCGACACCCTACAATATATGGAAAACAGGGTATTTTGTAAGGCAAATATTTACCAATACATGAAATACTCTGTACCAGAGGCCGGTGGTATTACATCAGCGAAGTAGAGTATCCCGAGAGACTATGGCGTAGGTTTGATTGACGACTGTGCCGTATTAACAGCAGGCCCAGGCGTACAGCAATCGCCTAGGTGGTCAAAGTTCCGCGTTGATATCCGGATTAGTACTCCACCAGATATTTGAATATCTCCATTATTTCGGTGGCAGACCATTTGCCGATACTCTTTGTCTTAATAGTATGATTTGACTTAACTCGTCACCTTCATTGTGTTGGATTGTATAACTTTCGCCTTTGGAGGGAGCTGTGTCATAGAGCAGTTCGACTGGCAATAGCTCAAGTCCACCAGGATTGATTTCTGAAAAGCATAAGGTCTATTGTCACCATGTCTTCGTAACCTGTCAACGAGAGTCCGACAAGAAGACTCGTTCTGAATGGTCTAGCAATGATCAGTCCTGTATCAGTACATATAAGGCTTCACAAAGAACGAAATTCCGGTCAGATGCACCGATGACTGATTTTGTTCATGTCACCTATGGCGAGAGGTTATTAGCGAGCCCCTTGGATGTTTAGACCCTTGATGGGATCTCCTATCGGCTAAAAAGTCAGCCTTGTTTTGACGCTCTCGCCCAGGACGGTATCAAAGACGAGCTCAAAACCAGTCAGTTCTCAATCCCACGATGGGCGTCTCGATGGCCATCTAGAAGATGACATATCTGTTAGTCTCTGTTAAGCCAGGAGATGCGCGAACTGATTGATTTTTGAAAAGATAGAGTGATCGTGAAAAAAAAAAAAAAAAAAGAAATTGGGAGGGAAATCAGACCGTAGGAGGAAAAAGACGGAGAAGTTGCCCTCTCTTTCCTATCACATGATTACTTGTATTTCAAGAAGCACCTTATCCGTCTCGTACACCCAGATTTAGCCGTCTAATGTCCCTTTCCTTCCTAAGAAGACTGGCTCAATGGTGTACTTTATACTATGGCACTTGTAGTCCATACTGCTCAAGCCGTTGTGGAGATCCCTTCTCCACAGAATATGAAACTTTTCTCTTTGCCCTAACAGGAAGTCATTTGACTCTTGCTTTACCGCTAATCCGCCACGGACTGGATGATCCCAGCTGAAACGGCACAAAGGGTGATCGATTCGGAAATATGTTGGTGGTTATTGGCCCTGGCTTAACGTTGGACGATACACAAAAGTTTACTCAATGTAAAGAGCAAGGCCCCCAGGCACCAACCACTGTGTCGGGAGCAGTGAGGGATCCCTGAATGATGATGTTGTATTTTACACGCATAATTACCACGGGTTACGAACACGTTCGTATGTATGTAATTATCACGGTGCAGCCCTAAAGAGTGGGGAAACAGCAAAAAGAAAAACCACCAGGCTCCATTATTATTTTATCCCACTGTCATCATCGATGTTACTCTTCTTTCCCCGTGACCTCCTATCTTCATTATCATACTATTTTGTAAGAAAAAGTACATTGTAAGAAAAGGAATAAACAGTGTGATACGAGTCGATAGTTTCGCAGGGGGGCATGTTGATCATTATTGCCCACAGAACGCAGATGGAAAAAAGTGAAACAGCGTCTCAGCCCTCTTCTGGCTGCGAGATTGACAGTGACAGGATCCTTTTTCTGCCCCAGGAATGATCGTCCAATGGAACGGCAGATCGTGGGGTCGTCCATCGATACGGTATTCCAAGTATTTCAGGTAATTATTCGTAAATTTATCACCCTTAATTAGCGGCTTTAGTGTCAGAAAAGGGGCAATTATTCTGTTGCCCTCGCTGGAGTACTGGAGCAAATGCCACCGGTTTCAGAAAGCATTCATTCCCTTCGCCCGTTCTCCTTTTCTTGGTTTTCCAGGGGAGTCGGGACGGATTTCGAGAACTTGCCAGCAAAGTTCTAGATCATCCTGTAGTTTTGAGAATATCATCATTCTTATGGAACACTGTCATCATCACGTATCCAGACTTGTTGCTCAAGCGGCAACTGGGGAGGGCAACAATGACAGGTAAATATCAATATCAATACATACTATTCGTTTCATGCATATTTCATTACGTACGTAGAATTACATACATCAAAAATACACATTACATACATACATACTTCGTAACTGCACCGTACGTCAGGGGGCCCACCCCAGCTTTTCTTTCTCTTTTCCTTCCAATTTCCATCGAAACGGCGTCTTTTTTTGGCCTCCACCAATGCCTATTCGTGCCTGTTCTTTTTCTCTCTCTTGACTCCTGCCACGGATTTCCCTCCTTCAAGTATATTTTCCCTCACTTTTCCTACAGTCGACTTCCTCATTGCTTTCTCTTATCATCATCTCATCGCATCTATATGACATTTTCGCGAAACATTCCACCATCCTCACCTTCCGTCGCATGATCGCTGTCAATCCGTTCTGCTCCGCTACAGGTTCTCCTTCCACGTAATAGTGCAGCAACTTCCGACATAAGCAGCCAGCCTTCTTTTGCCCAACTGGGTCCAATCGCCGACTCCTTCTCGTTTCCTTGCCATCCTTGTTTCCGCTTTGGACCGCGTGCGTCTTACAATCTACGGTGTGCTGGCAGGCAGGTCATTCCATCCTTCTGCACGCACCCTGTCTGCCGTCGGGGCCGATTCGTCTTGGTGCGATCATAGCCCTCTCTATCTTTCCCTCTCAGCCTTCTATCTATCTGTCTGCCTCTGTGTGTGCGTATCTCCGCGTGGTCCGTCGCATTTCCCGCACGGTGCCTTATGGTCTGCCTTGTTGGGAATACGCGATCATCCCTACAAGCCCCCCTCAAATATACATATATGCACATCCCCGGGCAAGGGAATCCCGTTGACAACAAAGCATTTGTGCAGTACAGGATCTATACGATCTTTTGAAACCTGCGTGCAACCCGGTACTTTCCCCGTCTTTCCTCCGCCTTTCCGACGAGTTCCAGTCAACCGGACTGTCCGCTGCAGCCCACTCAGTCTATTTGTTTCTGTGCATCTTGGCTGTCTGTTTTCTTGCAGAAACACAGCTTTCCCCGCGTGTCAGGATCGACAATCCGAAGAGGGGTAATCCAGAAAAACGGAAAGGAATATTCATTGTGGTTAAAACGGAAGCGCCGGCCAAAGAAAAACGACGCGCAACAGGAAATTCGATATATAAGACACAAGGCTCAATCGACCGTGCGGGAAATAAGCAAACGGACTCGGGATATTTCCCAATCAGTGTCGTGCCTCCTCCTTCCCTTTTGATGAGCTGAACAGCCTTTTTTTCATTCCGGCTGTTGTCGCAAGTGGCCTATTCTCTCGATTTGTGCGAGGTCAGGTCACCTCGTGAAACTTCAGTGTCACACAACTCCTGCGCCCGTTTCAAACTGCTCTTCAGGAACGCCTGCTCTCTTTCCTTTCCGCGAGCGCTCTCCGGCAGGGCTCTCCGCATAGCATCAAAGGCAGGCCAAGATGCAGAGAACAAGATCTGTACAATTCCGTTAAGGACGTGACTCCATTCTTCTTGCGCCTAACACACCAGTCAAGACACTCCCTTTCTTACTCTCCCTCGGCTTATATTGAATTTTATCACGTTAGCGACTACCTCATCCGTCTTGTGTCACAGAGTCCAGGTGACTCAAAGCCATTGACACGGTTTCAATAGCATTTTTAACCCCGCGTTTTCCAGTCGAGTGTATAGTCTATCAATATGGCTTACGCTGCTGCCTCGCCGTCCGCCCTGAATGGCGAGACTCAACCGAATTCAAAAGTCCCATCCATCCCGAAACTCAAGCATACAAAACTCCCTCGTGTCATCACATCTCTTCCGCTAGCTCCGGCTCCTGCTTCGGCTCCTACTCGCACATCACCTCTTGCGACCACTCCGAACTCCTTGTTTCCTACCTACGTTCCTTCCAATGCTTCTAGTCCCTCTGGTACCCCCTTACAGACTGCCACAGACGGGCCTTGCTGTCGTGTTCCTTCTTACCCACTCGCCAACCCAGGTCCTTTCGAACTCGGTGAATCTATGATGGCAGACAATGCCAATGCCTCGGGTGACACCGTCATCCCCAATCCGTTCAAAGGTCCCGGTTTGATGCGTCGTATATCTCGGGGTGCAGCCAACAAACTCACACGGAGGAGGGCATCGGCTTCCCAAAATGAAAAACGTGACCGCAGCTCCGGTCCCGTCATCATGCGTCGTCGCCGAGACAGTAAAACCAGCACACAAGGTCGGGAAAGCGCTCTTGACTCAAGCAACGAAGATGACAGCATGGAGGCTCTTGATTCTTTAGGTGCCTGGCGTGGAACCGAACCGTGCAGTCTTTCTAACGAAGATATACTATCCACTTCTAATGGCAGCGTGGCCGCCCCGAAAGCCGATCCAGCCATCCAGCGCGGTACCTTGCTGACAAAAGTAACCAAGAAACGGCGGAAGCAGGTGCAGTTTTTTCTGGACCTTGACACCGCCAAAGTTTACTGGGATGTCTCCAACCCAAATAAGCGGTTCTACATCGACGACATGAAGGAGATACGTGTCGGACCAGATGCCCGCAACTACCGTGAAGAACATCAGGTCTCAGAAGATGCGGAAAGCCGCTGGTTCACGATCATAATTTCCGATTCTGAACGGTCTAAGGGCCGTACTGTCAAAACATTGCATCTAATCGCTCCAAACCGTCGCATTCTTGAGCTTTGGACCTCGACTTTGGAACACATTTCGCGGTACAGGATTGGCCTCATGGCTGGCTTGGCTGGTTCTAGCCAGAGTGAGGCGGTCCTGAAGGCACACTGGCAGCGTGAGATGCCGAGAGTCTTCCCACAGGGCATCAAGCCTGATGAGGAAGAAAGCCTCAATTTTGGAGCTGTCGAGAGTGTATGTCGCAGTTTGCACATAAACTGCTCGAAGAATATGCTTCGGGCCCAATTCTCGAAAGCGGACGCTAGCCAAAAGGGAAGACTGAACTTTATCGAGTTCAAGGATTTCCTAAAGCGGCTAAAAGAGAGAAAAGATATCAAGGAGATCTACAAAGCCCAGGCTGCAGACCATAAGGCTGGTCTTACCGTTGACGAATTTCTGTCCTTCTTGCGCAACGAACAGGGGGAAGACGTTGACTCGGATTGTGCTCACTGGGTTTCGATCTTCGAGAAGTTTGTTCGGAAATCGAAGCCGCGTGGTCTCAATGTTCCCGAATCTCCAGTGACCCAGACACCACCACGAATGGGCCTGGACGCTTTCTCTTCTTATATCACATCGGCTTGCAATGGCATTTATGCGTCCAAATCACCCCAGTCAAGGTTCGATCGGCCTCTAAACGAGTATTTCATCTCGAGTTCTCACAACACCTACCTTTTGGGACGCCAGGTGGCTGGAGCCTCCAGTACCGAGGCGTATATCACCGCTTTGACGCAAGGCTGTCGTTGTGTGGAGATTGATTGCTGGGACGGTGCCGATGGGCGACCGATCGTATCGCACGGCAGGACCATGACCACCAGTGTTCTGTTTGCGGATTGCATCTCTGTTATTAACCGTTATGCGTTCGTGGCCTGCGACTTCCCTGTAATTCTGTCCCTCGAAGTCCACTGCAATCCAGACCAACAGCTGGCAATGGTGAAGATCATGAAGGATGCCTTCAAAGAAAAGCTCGTTCTTGAGCCTTTGATTGCGAAGACCTTTATTCTGCCATCGCCCGAAGAATTGAAGGGTCGGATTTTGGTCAAAGTCAAGACGTGTGATGAGATTGAAGGGGGCATGCGGCAGGATTCGGCACCCTCCTCCACAGCTACAACCGTTGCGACTTCACCTTCCACGGGACGGAAGCGCAGTTCGAGTTCACCTTTTCTGCGTCCATCGGCAGCCGATATTTCTATGCCCGCCGGCCTTCCCCCTCTTTCCAGTTCTCACACCATTCAACCCGATGGATCAGGTCCCATGATAACACAAGAAAGACGGTCACTCACAACAACGAGCATGAGCAGTGCCACTGATGACAGCGATAGTGCTTTGATGTCTATGCCACAAGACAAGAAACGACGCCAGAAGAGCAAGATCACCAAGCCACTTTCGGACTTGGGTATCTACACCAAAGGTTACAAATGGCACAGCTTCACATCTGTTGATAGTCAGCGCTATAACCACGTGTACTCCTTTGCTGAACGATCATTCGAAGGTATCTGTCGTGAACACGAGAACAAAGTCATGTTTGAGAAGCACAACCGGAAATACTTGACGCGAGTCTATCCGTCCGGTTTCCGCTTGCGATCTTCCAATTTTGATCCTCTGAAGTTTTGGCGGCGCGGTGTGCAAATGGCGGCTCTCAATTGGCAAACGTATGACATTGGTATGCAGTTGAACCAGGCCATGTTTGCTGCGGGCACCGACCGCACAGGGTATATTTTAAAGCCAGAGAGTCTCCGCGTCTCTGACCCATTCGATGCAGAGAAGAAGCTCAAAACCGAACGGAAGCGTGTCGAGTTCTCTGTTGACGTAATTTCAGCTCAGCAACTGCCCCGCCCAAGCAGTATCGGACCCGATGATAACATCAACCCGTACATTGAGATCGAAATGTTCAGTGCTGATGACCGTGGCCAGAGCCTGGTTGTCGGAGAAGGAGGCATGAATGCCTCTGCGCGCAACGGTATTTCTGGACTCGGATTCCCACATAGGCGGCGCACCAAAATTGAACAAAGCAATGGTTACAATCCCATCTTCAACGATCGTTTCAAGCTGTCGCTTGAGACAAAGTATCCCGACTTGGTTTTCGTCCGCTGGGTCGTGTGGAGCTCTGTCGATGGACGCACCCCTGGCAACAACAGCGTCCAATTGGCCACCTTCACCGCGAAGCTTAGCAGCTTGTCTCAGGGTTACCGGTACTTGCCGTTATATGACGGCAGTGGTGATCAGTTCCTCTTCTCGACCCTCTTCTGCAAAATCACCAAAAAGGAGCCCGTCCCTGTTCCACGACTGGAGGTCGAGGAACTAAGGGCCGAGAGAATGGGTATTCTCCGACAAATCAGTCAAACCGTTTTCAAACGTGGTACATCCACTGAACGGGATCGGGATCAACAGTCGGAGAAGGGCAGCGAGCCTCTCGCAAGTCCGGAAGACAGATACACTACTTCTCCAGTCTTAACCCCTACCGTCTCTGCTACATCGACGACATCGTCCTTGCCTCTATCATAGATGTGCGAATAGCCATCTATCTCTCGTTTTATCCTTTTCTTTCATCATTTTCATTTTACTATTTGGTTTACTGTTTTCGACTATCACGACTCATCTTCCCTCATCTCCAACCATATGCAAATAAAAGGAGCGGCGTTTTCGATTTGTTTTTTATTTCTTTCTTCATGGGAGCTTATGGCGCGTTGTGGTCACTCATGGGTTCTTGAAAGCCATGGCATTTGACATCATTTTGTTATATTTTTTGTTCATTCTGTTACCAACGGGCTATGCATGGAGTGTCTTTCACTCTCATCTATTGCCGTTGGATTTTCTTTTATTGCCATCTGTTTTCTACTTCTTCCCTGCTTTACAATACCTGTCTGGCGATACCCTATGTTTGCATCTCCTTTGTCTTGATCGAGTTATACTTTCGTTGCATATGTTATGTTTATTTCGGGTATGGGATTTCGATCATCAGGTTGGTTCAAGGGAATCGGTCAGGATGAACAGCATTTGTGGGAGTCACCAAGGGAAAAATGGGTTGCATTGTCAGATATGCATAGCGGTGGATTTCATACATATAGAGGGCGTAAAGATATACGCACCTCATGGCGAGATTTTGAATTTGTGTTCGAGTTATCCTGCTCTCGTTTACCGGGTTTCTGAGAACACATCTCGGCCCGGCCATGGTTCAGGAGTCATGTCAGTCTTTATACTTTCTGCTACTTGTGTTATTAATATGATCATGCGCGACTGGATCGAGCTTTTTATATCAGATCATATTACTGTTCTTTGTTCTTATGTTGTATGATTAGATTGTAGTAGCTTGATGCTACTAGGATTGTTCGGCCATTTCTCGGGATATAACGAAGTTTGACGATATTGCATTTTCATGTATCTTCTATACGTACTATTTATCTTGATTTCAATTCGAGGGAGACAGTTTTGTTCACCTATACCGTAAAGACTTGTACAATCCTGATATAGTCCGGTCGACTTACCAGACTGACCGCCTCGGTCAACCTTCCCGAAGTGGTCCCAAAAGGCAACGTGACGCTTCTTGTCCATCAACCATCTCAGGAACGACAATACCCCAGAATCATTACTTTTAACTCAACTCTACGTCCTTAATCAATTAACCGCAGCCATGGATCCTTTCTCAGCTGAGGGTGGTATGTCTCCCCATACTCCAATATATCAACCCCTCCCTCATCCCCCGTACTCCGTACACATAGCCAACTAACCCACCAACAACCAGAACTCATCAACATCCACAGCGCCTTCCACCAAGGCCAATACCAATCCGTCCTCGACTTTGATACCTCCGCGCTCTCCTCTGAAAACCACCTCCCCGCCCGCGTCCTGCAATTCCGCGCCAAAATCGCCCTCGGCCAGCCCGACCAAGTCATCTCCGAAATCCAGTCCGAAGATGACACCCCGGATCTCGCTGCCGTGAAAGCGCTGGCGCAGCATGCGACGGGCGATGAGGATGTTGCAGTGAAGGGCGCGCAGGAGCTTGTTGGGAAGTATTCGGAGAATGCTAGTGTGCTTGTTTGTGCTGGAACGGTGTTGGCGGCATCGGGAAAAGAAGAGGAGGCGTTGGGGGTTTTGGGTATGCATCAGGGGAGTCTTGAGGCGTGAGTCTTTCTTTCTTCCTTATGTTATTGAAGGATGGGGTGAGGGTGCTAATTGGGTATAGGGTCGCTTTGATCGTTCAGATCCATCTACAGCAGAACCGGACCGATTTGGCGATTAAGGAAGTGCAGGCTGCGAAGCGCTGGGCTCAGGATTCGCTTTTGGTGAACTTGGCTGAGTCGTGGGTTGGAATGAGAGTCGTATGTTATCCTTTCTCCCCGTGATTTTGATCGGTTCGATTCTAACCATGATTACTCTTCCGTACAGGGCGGCGAACAATACCAATCCGCATTTTACGTCTACGAAGAACTCGCAGCCGCCCCCAGTACTACTGCTGCGCTGTCGACTGTCGGCCAGGCCGTTGCGGAATTGCACCTGGGACGGATCCCCGAGGCTGAGGCTGCGCTGTCGGCTGCTCTGGAGAAATACCCCGATGATATGGAGTTGATTGCCAACACAATTGTGTTGAATGTGTTGGCTGGGAAGCCGACTGAGGAGTTGGAGTTGTATGTTTCCTTTTTCTCAGTCTCTCTCCCCGAGTATCTTATGAAAGTCGAGACTAACTGTTTTGCAGACGTCTTCAGCAAGTTCAGCCATCGCATACCCTTTTGGCCGATATTGAAGAGAAAAGCGAGCTTTTCGATACGGCGGCTGCCAAGTATGCACCACGGGTGTCTTCGTGAATTTTGTCTTGGTAATTTTCTGCTATTCGCATTTTTTTATAGATATACCACATTGATTGCCGGGTTACTTAATGAATTGATACGACGGCGCAACTATCCTTAGTGTAATCATCAAATGTATACCAAATACCTCATTAATTGCTAATCTGACCAGCCAACCACCTCTCTATCGCCCTTCCCTGCTGTGTATCTGTTCCGCCACCATACATCATCGGCGCATGGGTTTCCCTGTCACCAACCACAAACTCAACCTCGGTCCCTGAGGACCGCACCTTATCCACAAGCGCCTCGATAGGCGAGAGCAAAATCTCATCCCCGCCAGCCGTAACCAACAGCGCTTTCGTCTTGACATCCCTCCACCACTCCGCAGGTGCTGACAACGGCTCGCTCCAGGGATCACTTTCACCGTTGCGCGCATCCAAGTAACCGGAGGACCATCTGTCCAGGTTTGCGGCCGAAATGATATCGCTGTAATGGTTTGATTTGATTGAGGGCCAGTCTGTGCGGAAAGAAACCCAAGGCGCAATGGCGTACACGCCTGCTAGCGACCTATCCTCCTCATCGTCGGAGATGGTGAGAGGTTCAATTTCAGGGTGCGGATGGGTGATATGCATAAGGACAGTGAGAGCGAGGTTCCCGCCGGCGGAGTCACCACCGAGAAGAACGTTGGATGGCTTGCGGGTAGTCAGGATATAGCGCAGGGCATCAACCGCTTGGGCAAGTTGAGTAGGATACACGGCTTTCGGAGTCAATGTGTAGGTAAGGAAGAAAAAGGCAATGTTGTCATCCGTTGTATTGAAGGAGTGGAGGATCTCTGTGCAGAAGCCGAAATGTTCAGCTGTGCTGGGGAGTGCGAAGCCGCCTCCTATACAAGTACAGAATTAGATATATATTCTGTCAAGAGTGAGAGCAAGAACAGGGACGTACCGTGGTAATAAACCACCACCTTTTTGGCGTTTTTTTTACCGACCCAGTGGCCAAAGGCGCCGTGGTTCAAAGAGATTGTAACCGGCTGGACTTGCTCCCTGATAGACCAGTCCTCATAGTTTTTGTTCGTGGGTGGGGTCAGATACCTATCATCATGTCAACCCTTTCATCCAGACAAGGTCAGTAAGCGATAGAGAACTTACTGAATCTGTCTAAGCGACAGCCGTTGAAGGCCCGTTTGTAGAAGTTGACGGAATAGATGGAAACGATAGGTCCTTGTGCCGTTCTTGCCTCGAAACAAGCCCGTAACAGAGGCGTAGAGGGTCGACGTAAAGACGGTGAGAAGGGCAGGGAAGAGATCGATCTTCTCCCAGAGAGAGAGACCGGGAGATGAGGATTGTTTGCTATCTGCTCTCATTGATGTGAATGGTAGTTGTGGTGATGGTGGTGAGGTGTTTCTGAGGGAGGAGTTAATGGCATCTTAATATAGAGAGGGGTCCCTCGCATTAGACAGGCGCATGTATGCCTTATCCTTATGTCTAGTGCGTAATAAGCGGCTGCAGTTAGCGTCCTGAGATGGCGAAATGAGGAGAAAACTGATTGACCTCGGTTGTTGCCGATCCTAAAGCAATGCATTATTCATTGACCCTCGTTTAATATTTGCTTGGCTTTGTTCATACATGCTCCACAAGCGTAAAATGCAGACACGATCTGTAGTGTTTGAACACGGTATTCCATGAAAACTGATATTACATTTGTGCCTACTCCCACTAGTTGCCGTTCGCCATGTCTTCCTTACCCGTCAAATCGCAGAATGCCCTGAAAGTGGTAAAAACCTTTTTGTCCTCCTCCCCTCCATCGGTGTTTTCAACAATACACTCAGCAGTTGCCCCGATGAAAAACACATATCCCTCCTTGATTTCCTCCGTCTTGTTCGCAACCCGGATCTGGCCTTGTCCGCCTGTGCAGATCAGGATACTGGGTCCCGCAAGTCCATCAAAAGTCGCCTTAGCTCCTGTTCTGTTCAGGTCAGTCTTCACCACACTGAATTCCTCGATCGGAGGATCGTAGAGAAGGCAAGACGATCCGCTTGAGTACGCTGGCACATTCAGCACAGCATATGGATAGTCAACTGGCTCCAGCTTCTGTTCCTCGATCGGTGCGTAGGAGTAGGTCAACATGTTGGTAAGAGTTTCCACGTCCTTGAACTTGGGGGTGAAACCGGCGCGCACAACGTTGTCAGATGATGCCATGCATTCAATGATATCTCCAGAAATATACGCATGAATGTCGTCGGCTTTCAGGAACATGGCCTCACCGGGCTCCATGGCGACGAAGTTGAGGAAAAAGAACACAAACAACCCAATATCGTTGGGGAATTGGCCGTTGAGACGACGAATGATGGCGGCTAGCTCTGCGGGACTGCTAGGGCTGCCAACAGGGAAGCCATCCGAAGCGGCAAAGGTCTCTGGGGAGCTTTCTGCAGCGGCAATGATGTCCTTTGTAGCTGTCTCGATCTTGTCTGGTGTTGACTGCATCAACGTATTGAAGATAGCGCGCAATGCGTCTTTGTTATTCTGCTTAACGTCAGAGTCTTCGGACTCTTCTGCTCCTTTGACAGCGTTCTCGAACTGGCTGGCTTCCTCGTCACCCACAAGCTTCCGAAGCGGTTTCAGAACGTTAAGGAAGTAGACAATCTCTGCCAACGGACGGAACCCACACAGCCCTTCAAACGGCGTAACAGCGATTGTCATTTCCGGTTTGTGGTTGTCATCTGGGATGGTTGGTTAGGAGCGAAACGAAGCGAAGGGTATCTTCCACGGGAGGGCTTACCAGGGTAGTTTCGGGGATCTTTGGCGTGGAGTTGCTCCGCCAATTTCTTGTTCGGGTGCGCTTGGATACTCAGTGCTTTCTGGATCGAAAGCACCTTGAAGAGGAACGGGAGCTTTCCACCATATCGCTCGCTGACCTCTGTGGAAATCAACGCCTGGTTATCCTGCACGAGGTCCAACAATGTCCTCTGAGTCTCAACATCTTTGGAGGGAAGCGAAGGATGCGTGCCCATCCACAGCTAGAATGACATCAGTCAACCATGTCAGTCCATTAGCAATATTTATTATGTTTTCCTGGGAACCCACTTCAGCGTAAGGCTTCTCTGCCTCTATCGAAAAGTCCGAAGCCGCTGTGGTGGCTGCAAATCTGGCAGCAGCCGACTCCGGGCCGATCTTGCCTATGACGATATTCAGTACGGGGACCCCACGAAGAGATAACCAGCATTCTTACCCCAGTCATAGCTGTTGACACCTATTCAATTGACATGTATGGTTAGTCTCCAGTCACTAGAGCTATAACCGGTGAATTCATAACACATACCACACTGGAGACGAAGCAATGGGACTTGCATTGTTGGCCGTCAATTCTGAGTAATGGCTTGAAGATGAGTGAATGCAAGCTGTAGATGAAGGACGTGGCCAGTAGAAGGTATCTCTGGCGCCCGTGTAGTTTCTTTTCTTTGTTGTTGATATCTCTCTGCCTTTATTCTTCCTTGCTACTTTTCTTCAAATCCTCGTGACTTGTTGAAGCATGTCCTCTTGATCGCCGTTTACTGTTTCTCCCACCGCAACCCCTCCATCCCTCTTTTGGAAACCTATCCGCCGCACCGCGTGACTGTCATGACTTCGCCCAATCACACCGTCGCCTGGCCCGCAAAGCGCCTACCGCCCAATAATAAAGCGAAAAACACTGCCAAGAAGGCGGTAAGAGGTGTCATTGGCCATAGCTGCCGCCAACCTGGGGATCAACCGCCGTCCCAAGAACAGCTGCCGGACAATACGCGGTCTCTGGATCAATATCAAACTCAGAATCCGAGCCCAAGCCAGCGGCAAAAGCACCGCAAGCAACCCAGTGGACAGGCGTTTGGCTCTGAAAAGCAATTCGTCCCTGCATCAGAGCTTCAGGTTAAGGAACCCCGTCCGCATAGTCAGAGACAAGGGGCAGCCCGCGGAACACGCAGCGCTGCTGACCAGGAGATTGTGTCCGCTTTTGAGTGGGAGACACTGAAACTTGAAAAGGCGCCACAGCCTCCAATTCCCGTCGCAAGAGCCGGAAACGGCAAAAAGTCGAGACGGTCAGCGGCCGAGACCATGTCACGGAATCGTCCTCGAGGGCCCCCATTGCCCCGGGATAATGGGCTGGCGGCGAATGAGGAGACTGACATGTGGAACAAGATCCTACAGGATCTGAGAAAGTCCAAAGAGAAAAATGATAAGCAGAGATCTCTGGCAGAACAGATTGCGGCTCTTAATGAAAGGATGGGCAAAGAGACAGGCAGTAAGTGTTTTATTTTTTGTTTGTTTCGTCTTCTCTCTTGTATCCATGTGCCTTGCGGCAATCGTAGCTTATGTGGCATAGCTTTTGCCTTGGCATTTGTTGTTCAGGAATCTGTTTTTGATTGGGGATGCTTAGGTGGATTTATGTGTTAATTATTGATTACAGAAACCACTCTCAATGATCATAACGACCTGGACAGTCTCCTCCGACAAATGGCGAAGCTATGTGAAGATGAGAGAGCAATCTTGCTAGACGAACCCAGTGACGTGGTCAAAAATCTGGGACTTCTCACTGCCCTACGCCAGGCCTCGGAAGCGGAGGCACCACTCAACCGAGCTGCATCTCTTTCCAAGTCGCGCAAGAAGCGCAATGAACTGGATGGATCATCTACAGAGTCTCCCGGGCCCACCGGTCCATCTGTCTCGGACAAGGCCAACCGCATCAAGGGCGCTGTTCCACGTAGTGGTAGCGTATCCAGTACTCAGACCCGCGATAATCGTGAGGTCCGAGACAATGTGGCCGTTAAGATTGAAGAAGGGACAGAAAGCACCAAAGGCACTATTGCAGAGCGTAGTGGTCATTTAGTGATTGGCGCGGAAGTTGTTTTCAAACATAACAAGAACAAACAAGGTGTCGAAGGAGAAGGAATACAATGTATCATCAAGAATATTGCTGGTGACGGACACAAGAAACGGTATGTTAGCTTGGCCCTTTCCGTTATCTCCGATGAATATTTTGTTTGACCGCAGAAAAAAAAATAAAGGTATGATGTCCAGGACCCCGAACCAAACGAGAATGGCGAACAGGGCGCAGTCTACAAAACAACAGCAGCCTCTCTAATCCCAATCCCACATATTGGATCGGCGCTGCCACCGTTTCCGCCAGGAAAGCAAGTGTTAGCCCGATATCCCGACACGACCACGTTTTACCGCGCGGAAGTCACGGGATCGAGGAAAGATGTCTATCGTCTCAAGTTTGAGGGTGAAGAAGATGACAAGGAGATGGAAGTGGACAAACGCTTTGTCCTTGAGATTCCCGGAAAGTGATGTTACGACGACTACGACTTAGACCTACTTCTACTCCATACCAGCCCACGCTTTCCCACGTTTCTTTTTTGTTTGACGTTCTGGAGGCGAATTTGAAACCACGAAGGCTCTGGACTGGCAGGAGGATTGAGCCATGATACCCTTTCTGTGAGCCAAACTGCCTTTTTTTTTTCCGACTTTATCGCTGGATGCAGTGCATTTTGACATCCGAACACCGGATGATAACGTAGATCTAGAGACCTCGTACCGACACCGGTCCTCTTGGGAATACCCTATCTCTTGTGAATTGAATGTCAACTCTAATTGTTTGCTTTTTTCTTCTCCATCGCATCTGGCCCCCCTCTCTAATATTAGACCATCATGTTCATATATCTCTTTCGTAACGTAAATTGATGAAACAGAAATCCCCTGGAGATCTCTTCACACCACGTCCCCCCACTGCCATGCTACTGATGAAACCTCCGAGATATGCGGACGGGACAGCCTGACGTGCGGGATGTCAAGCTCTAACTAACTACGCGTCTCCATCAATCTCAACTTTATTGGCATCCATCTTCAGCTCTTTCCGGCCATGAGATCGGTTATCTTCATATAGACAACCGCGGCAAATAAACCGTCTCGCCGATCATCCCCCCCTTCTGGGTGACTAATACCTTTGAAACCGCCGCTTGTCGGTGACTAAGCACTGGACTTTGCCTCCTCCCAGACACTGGAGTCTAGGAATTACCACCACCACGAATCCACGACGCCTATCACCACCAACCAGAAACCGTCTGGCGGCAGTTTGATGAAGTTCCAGATCGTCCCCTTTGCGGAATGATGGGCTGCGTCGTCTGGCGTTCTTCCCGAATTGTTCGTTCGTCCTCGCCTTGAAGCGCTTCCCCCCATCGTATATGTACCTGGGCCCGTCCCTTCTCCCGTCTTCTATCAGTCGCCATCTTTTCCCATCCATTGTCCCATCGCTTTCCTTCTTCCAAAATGGCCGACCTACCTTCTCACGTTTCTCGCTTTTTCTCTCCGCAATCACTTCGGCCTACTTCGTCGAGTGAAGCGGTCAATGGCATCGATTCCTTCGGTCCCGTCCTGCCCGTTGCGGAGTCGGCCGGTAAGAGACCCGATTTACCCCAGGACCGAGCCAGTCCTGCAAGTAGCACAGAACACGACCATATCGAGATGGCACCTGGAGTACCTGCGTCCTTGCTCTCGCCATCTTTTACGCCGCCCGCGACTCCTGGAGGTACCGTGAACTCGTCACAACTCTTCCAGCAAAGTCAACAACTCCCCAGCAACGGATTAACAAGCATGCATATGCATGCAAAGCACCCGAAGCTTCTACCTCGACTGCCCAATGTCGAATGTATTGTTCGCGCCCGGATTCCCACCACCACCGGAACCGAGATGTTCCTCCACCTATATCATAATGACATTGACAACAAAGAGCATCTGGCGATTGTGTTTGGGAACAGCATCCGCAGTCGAAGCTTGGATCAGGTTCGTCCAGGAGAGACGGAAATGGACCGGATGATCCGCGGTGCATATGTCGGCCGATTGCATCCGGGCCGTGTAAGCAGCTGGTATGATCCCGAGCGCGCAACAGCGGCAGAGAGCTCGGCGACCGATATTGCGGACGATTCATCGGAATCGGGATCGTCTCCACCTCCATCGTCAGCATCGTCGACTTCGCCAGCGGCTTTGCAGAGCAGCCTCAGCCAGGCACCGTTAGTGAGAATCCATTCGGAATGCTACACGGGCGAAACAGCCTGGTCGGCGCGCTGCGACTGCGGTGAGCAATTGGATGAGGCCGCGCGTTTAATGTCCCTTCCGGTCGAGACGTTATCTGAGCTTGCGACGCAACAAGGCTTATCCGTGCCATCCAATGCTTCGGGTGGCGTTATCATTTATCTACGACAAGAAGGCCGTGGAATCGGTCTGGGGGAGAAATTGAAAGCCTATAATCTTCAGGATCTGGGATCCGACACTGTAGAGGCCAACTTGTTTCTACGTCACCCTGCTGATGGACGAAGCTACGGCTTGGCCACTGCCATGTTGGCCGACTTGGGCCTAGGAGAGGACTCTAACCCCCATGGAATCCGACTACTCACGAACAACCCGGATAAGGTCCGGGCTGTCGAGGGTCCCAACAGAGAAGTGGTGGTCAAGGAGAGAGTAGCAATGATTCCCCTGGCGTGGAGTACCGGTGGGAAGACAGGCATCAAGAGTACAGAGGTCGAGGGTTATCTCCGGACAAAGGTTTGTGTTTGCGCCCCTTTCCAATTCAAGACTACAATGGCTAAAACCCGTATAGATTGCAAAGATGGGTCATATGATTCGATGATTCATAGGCACTCGTTTGTCATCTATTAGTGTATGTTCTCTTTACTATTGTTTATTTTCTGTATATTTGGGCTGGCGATGGGCATCATTTTGTTACTTTCCAGGCGAGCAGGCATCTCTTCCTCATTCTGTACATGCACATTTTATACTGTGCACATAGACGAGCAAGTATCGACTTTCTTTTCTCTTTCCTTTTTCCTGGTGGTTTTGCTTGATACCATATATTCCCAGTCGGTCCTGGGATGCTTGATCGAGTCAAATGTATATTGGACTTCATTTTGGATTTTTTGAGCAGCTCTGGGTCGGTGGGCCTGATTCGTGCAGCAGTTCATGGGCGTTCTGTTGATACATATTTCCCGAAGATATAAAGGAAAAGAAGAATGTAAAAGGGGTTTCTTTTCTACATAATTCCTGCACAAATTTAACATATCTAGCGTCCATCTAGTAAATCTAAGATCGTGCTGTTGCATTGCAACGGGTCCCACTCCTGTTGGTTCGGTGAGTTCAGCTCGTATCGCATACTCTGGACGGAACCGTCTAGCTCTTTGCATCATTATCATCATCATCACAGGCCAAGTCCCTTTTTCTCTTTCTCTAATGACCCAGATTGCCAAGTGCTGATATATCCTTCAATTCATTCGCTCCCTTTCTGTCTCTCGTTAGATGGCCGTTTCTTATCGATTGTGCGCACAGTGAGGTCATGGCTTCCCCCGGACCTCCTGTGGGCAAAGAGGCTGCTCCAGCTTCCACCCCAAACGAGTCTTTATTGTCCACGGCAATTCCCGAACCTCTAATCAATGATGCGAGTCGGCCCCAATCAACAGCATCTCCAGCAATAGCCCGCGCAGACTCCGTGAAACTCGAAGACTCCCCAGCTCCGTCCCGACTCGAGTCCGCCGAAGCAGAGACCCCCAAAGCAGACGATGACAGCGGGAAGGGTCCATCGACAGCTGGGCGCAAGCGCAAGCTGAATAGTATCTCTGCTCGTGGTGTGGCGAACCTCACGCCCGATCAGTTGGCGAAGAAGCGTGCCAATGACCGGCAGGCGCAGCGAGCCATTAGGGAACGGACCAAGACGCACATTGATGCTCTGGAGCAGCAGGTGCGCGATTTGTCGTCGCAGAAGCCGATTTTAGATTTGCAAGCTGCGGTGAAGAGGTATGAGGCAATACAAGAAGAAAATAAAGAGTTAAGGCAAAGGTTACAGGCTGTGATGGATATTATCCAGCCGCTGGGAAAACGGGAACCTACATCGAGTGAGCGCGACCCTTGTTATATATATATATTTTTATTGTTCTCTTGTCTTGAGAGAGACATTTATTGGCATTATTCGTCTTGACCATAACTAATTGCCTTAGACGGTCCAGCAGCTGCTCCCAATGCTCAAACCCAACTCGTCCCGCCTCCGTCGAATCCATCGCCGCCCCTTGACAATAATCGATTCACTCCTAACAGCCAGAAGTCAGCAGTAGCAGATCAATCGTATCCAGAATCGCTTGCAAGCTTAGGGACACCTTCGCCAACACACTCAGCGCCCACGCTAGGCGGTGCTCGCAGGAGCAGCATTGACGGGAACGCTTCGTTTCGCGTTGCTCTCGATTGCCAACGGCATAACTTGACGCACGGACTTGATTTTGGCACCGATGAGCGACTGGGATTCAACTTCTTGGTCGACCCCTCGAAGACAGTCCCAAAAGTCGATAATTTCAGACAGGCTACGCAAGTGAATCAATTTCCGATCTACGCGCCACCGGTCAATCCCGCTGTGACTGATCAACCTCCACCTGCCTACTTGACATTGGTCAGGAATTCTGCACCTACCTGTACTCTAGATGCCATCCTGCTAGATTTCCTTCACACTCGACAGCGTGAGGCGGCCCAGGGGGTACCGAAGCAGAATCTAGTCGGGCCTCCATACCCGAGCGTGTCCTCACTTCTAAACCCGGAGAAGAGCATGTACTCGCACCCAGTTTCGAAAGTCTTCACTGATATCCTACGGACGTTTCCTAATATCGCCTCACTCCCAGAACAAGTCGCTGTTCTCTATCTGATGTTCCTGTTGATGCGCTGGCAGATCTACCCAACGGCAGAGAATTATGATCGACTGCCCGAATGGCTGACGCCTCGACCCTCGCAGCTTCTCACGCCGCACCCTCCCTGGATAGACTACATACCGTGGCCGCGCATGCGTGACCGTCTCGTGATGGGACACCAGGATTATGTGTTCGAGAACTGGTTCGTGCCGTTCACAGAGACATTGTCGGTGAACTGGCCGTACGAAGCTACGGACTGTTTACTTTCGACTAATGAATGCGATGAGCTGCTCGTTAACCCAGTGTTTGAGAGGCATTTCCGCAATCTGGGGAATTGGTCTCTGGGGCCTGCTTTTGCGGAGGCGTATCCGGAGATGGTTGAGACGACTAAGATCAAGGTTCCATGGCGGACGCCGTGATATTCCCTCTTTTCCTTGCTTCTTTTTTCTTAATTTATATATATTGGGTGGGTATGTTCAGGAGGCAAACGGAGGGCTATGTTTATATGGTGTCTGAACAGGTGCTTTGGGGGGTGGTTGACTATGGGTGTGATTTTCATCATCTGGTTTGTGAATAATCTGGCGCATAGAACAGGGTTGGCATTGTGTTTGTTTTGAGTTATAATTTGATCATTGAGCTATGGATCTGTGTTTGTTTTTTTTTTTTTTTTTTGTATGTACGGAGTAGAACACTATATCCATCTCTATATAAAAGTTAATTTAAGACCCTCCCTTTCTACTCTTTTCATTCCAGAAATCCATTCCAGCTTTTTGACGCAAAACGCCATACATAGAGCTGCTATCAAGGCATTCGCCGCCGTACTCCCGCGCAGCTTCCATGTTCTCCTGGGCAAGTTGCAGAGCAGGCAGCTCGACGTTGTGATCCTTGGCCATGGTTAAGGCATGGTTTGCATCTTTGATGGACAAAGACACGCCAAATCCGGGACGAGAGTCAAGAGGAGGTGCGTAGGCGCCAGTGGTCAATCTGTTTTGGTCAGCCATGTTGTCTGGAAAAGCGTGGGTAATTGGAGGAATACCTCTTGGAGTAACCACCGGCAACAGGACCAAAAGCTTCTCCGATGAGTTCCTCCATTGGACCTGTTCCGAGGCCGGTGCGTTCAGCGAAGACCTGGGATTCACCAACGGCTTCCATCATGTTGACGGTGACGATGTTTCTACACTATTAGCAACCCCACTTCCTTCAATCATATGCACACAACAAAAAAAAATAAAACACTCACCCTGCAATCTTCAACAGCGAAGCCTTAGTAGCATCCTCCCCACACTCAATAACCCTCCTCCCCATAACATCCTGGATCAACGGCTTCACCAACCCAACAGCATCCTTCGGCCCCCCAATCGCAAAAACCAACCTCCCATCCACAGCAATCGGATTCCCCCCAAACACCGGAGCCGACAAAAACACCGCCTGCTTCTCCTTCAGCTTTGAGACAGTCAATCCCACGGTCTGGGGGTGAACAGTGGAGCAGTCCACGAAGATCTTGTTGCGGAGGGACTGTCCAGAGTTAACAGCGGTCGAGATGAGGTTGGACAGCACGGCGTCGTTCGAGATCATGGTGAAGATAATCCCGCACTGTCCGACGACTTTCTCGAAACTGGTCTCAGGAATTCCGCCTAGTGCTTGCAGGGGGTTGCCGCGTGCCATTGTACGGTTGGAATAGATCATTCCAGGAGCTTTTTTGGTGACGAGATGGCGCTGGAGGTTGGTGGCCATTGCTAGGCCCATGGAACCGAGGCCATACTGGGGTTGTTAGCTGCGTTCATTCTTGTGTGTGTGTGGGAGAGGGTGGGGGGTAGATGGCTCACCCAGCCGATTCGGGTCATTTTGCGATGATTGTACCTGGTCTACTTGAGAACTGTGTTTCGGTGGAATGGCAGGATGTTGATGGATGAGATAAAGATAGATAACCGAATCGTCCCGATGTCGGCCGAAAGATGCTTTAAGTATCCTGAAGCTATAGTCTGTATACTTTTGAATGGTGTGGGCAATGTTCAACTCTTTATTTTTTAGAGCATATGCGGAGTAGAGAGGGATGGGAGATAGGACTCGTTTTGAAGTGTTTGTTTATTTTGACAATGCCATACTCTACGTGCTATCACCATCCTCGTGCCTACAGACTGACACTTGTTTCTTTTTGCTTTCCCCAGACCATTGGATACAAGCACCTGGTCTCTTAACTGGTGATAGATTACATCATCCATAAATTGTAATTGCTGTACAGCCGTTGAAACTGTCGAGGCCTCAGGCTACCAATCTATGCCGTTGGTTTTGATGTCTTGGTCCAAGCTAGTTGCATTTGCATAATCTGTGCAGTATGCATTTCTGCTATTTTTTTTTTTTTTTTTTTATCAAAGTGCACTTGGCAAGTAAATGTATGCAGTGCCATCAACTGAGCTTTTGGTTAGACATTAGTGTTGTTGTATGGGGTTCTGTAGTAGCCAGTTTCACCAGTAAATCGGACAATGGTATAGATGGCAGTTTCTCAGCATTATGTTTGTACCAAGCAATTGAACTTATCAAGGGAACATCCGCAAGTCGTTGTCTCTGTTGTCTCTCTGTCTCTGAAGAGAGAACTGACAGCCATTTAAAACTCCTGCCAAGACCCGCACCTGACCACCGCCGGAGTTCCCCATATCGACCGTGTCCTCGACTCTCCTGCTTCTCTTCCTCCCCAGGTTTCTGTCATTCTTCAATCATCTCTTTTTCTTTTTGCATTCCATTCTTCTCTTTTATATTTGTCTTTCCTCAGTTAGATTGTACTGAACGACTCGCAATCATGGCGGAAATGCCCATTGGTGAGCTCCTCTACGTCTCCGTCACCGCATCACATCCCCGAGTATAGCTAACTAGCTCCCCAGTCCTCGACGGAGGAACTGGTTTCCTCAAGGTCGGATATGCTGCACAGGTACGCTAAATCCTTCTCGATTACAGTATCTTATTCTGACCTCATTTCCTATAGAACTTCCCAGAGCATCAGTTCCCCTCGATAGTGGGGAGGCCCATACTCCGGACGGAGGAACAGGCTGGCGACATCGTCGTCAAGGATATTATGTGCGGAGATGAAGCTGCCGCCGCCAGATCCATGCTTCAAATTAGCTATCCTGTATGTCTTGGTCTCTTGCGCGTCCGTTGCGTCTCGTTTGCCCTACCCCGCTTGCTCCCCCCCAACGGTCTCTTGTCATTTATGTTAATCTGGTCGCATCGCGAATCGTTATGCGGAATTCAATAGATGGAAAATGGTATCGTCAAGAAATGGGATGACATGCAACACCTATGGAACTACACTTTCTACGATAAGATGAACATCGATCCCACGGGTCGCAAGATCCTCCTCACCGAACCTCCTATGAACCCCTTGAAAAACCGAGAACGGATGGCCGAGACCATGCTGGAGGGATACAATTTTGGGGGTGTTTATGTGGCGATCCAAGCGGTGCTGGCACTGTATGCTCAGGGTAGGCCGTCCTGCTCTTCGTGTGCCTGCCAGGAAGAAACTAAGTTTCTATAGGTCTTAGCAGTGGTGTGGTCGTTGATTCCGGTGATGGTGTCACCCACATTATCCCCGTTTACGAATCCACAGTCTTGAACCACCATATCCGCCGTTTGGACGTTGCTGGTCGCGATGTTACCCGGAACCTGATCGCCCTCCTTCTCCGTCGTGGATACGCCCTGAACCGTACGGCAGATTTCGAGACGGTGCGCCAGATCAAGGAGAAGCTTTGCTACGTTTCTTACGACCTGGAGTTGGACAAGCAACTCTCCGAAGATACCACCGTCCTGGTTGAGTCGTACACCCTTCCCGACGGTCGAGTCATTCGGGTAGGAAGCGAGCGTTTCGAGGCCCCCGAATGTCTCTTCCAGCCTCACCTAGTCGACGTCGACCAGCCTGGAATTGCCGAGATGCTCTTCAACACCATCCAGGGTGCTGATGTAGATGTGCGTTCCAGTCTATACAGGGCAGTTGTGCTCAGTGGTGGTAGCAGCATGTACCCCGGTCTGCCATCGCGGTTGGAGAAGGAAGTCAAGCAGTTGTGGCTTACGCGGGTGCTTCAAGGGGATCCGGAAAGACTGAACGTATGTACTCCGCTTCATGTTCGAAGAAGGCAAGAGCTGACGAAAACAACAGAAATTCAAGGTCCGCATCGAAGACCCTCCTCGACGGAGACACATGGTCTTCCTGGGTGGTGCCGTTCTGGCCAACCTGATCGCCGATAAGGAGGACATGTGGGTGACTAAGGCTGAATGGGAGGAGCAGGGTGCTCGAGCTCTGGAGAAGCTCGGTCCCAGATAATTTCAGTTTCTTGCTTTGTATCACCTGTTTTCTCTACTTATTCGCCTTCCTGTCGATATATCTATCTACGTTGCCTTAGGTCCCTTGGTTCTTTCTCTTCAGCAAGCGTTTGACTTGGTTGATATCACATAAGGCTCTAAGGATTATATTCCTTATTTCTGTTCTTGTCAATTTGTAGCTAGTTTCGTATAGAACATTTCAGCGAAGTTATACACTAGTACTGGTACAATAGCAATAGCCACTTGGACTATGTTGATCTTTTCCGAGTGTCATGTCCTAAATTTTAGAAGGACAAATGGCCGAGTGCCTGTAAGATATGCTGTTCGATTTTGTTCATAAAAAAGAAAAAAGCCCCCTCCCCTGCATAGTAGCAGCTAGTGAAACAGTGAACTGTTTCCTTAAGCGCCGATGTACAATGCTAAGTTCCCATACATGGTCATCTCCGGGTGCACCGTGTGACTTACAAGAGGGTCTGTCGACGTCCATTTCAGATAAAGCCATCTATCTTATTGGTCATTAAGGGTATAGAAGGAAGGTTTGTTCACTCTGTTTGCCCTCTTCCCCGACAAAAAGAGTCTGGGTGAAGATGACTCGCGGAAAGGCAGTAGAGAGAGGAGGGGCTCTTTTGTCGGCATTTTCGATCGACTCCCCCTTGCTTTCGTGAGAGCTGACGAAGATCTGAAGCGCGTGGTGTTATTGGCGCACTAACGTTCAGTAGTAATAGGTTGCTGGAAACGTATAATTAGGTGGTTGTTGTGTTGTGATATACGATTGATTAGACTTCATCCATGTATAGGGCACCAGGTGCCTCGTGATACCCCGGAAAGTACTTGGGCCTTGCAGTAACTTGTGTTACGAATATCTTCACCAGTGCTTCGCCGAAAATTGGAGAGTAATCCTCGTATAATAGGGGGTTTCTCTACTACAGGCAGAAGACAGCAGGACCCGTATAATTGATGGAATTTGGCGCTTAGAAAATACTGTCCCCCATTTTCAAATCTCGAGACCAATCCCTAGATAGGCTGGCGCGGGATATTTGGCATCCATTTGTAGGAGTCATTGGGAATCCGAGAGTATTTCGCGAAACCAGATGTGGTTTTCAAGCTTAGCAGGAGCAGACAAGGTTGGGTTTCTAACCAGCCTCGTGGTCATCAATGAGTGCATGGTGCCTATAGATGACAACGTACTCTATAGCAAGATTATCAAACCAAGCAATGCAGTAGGCATTGTATTTAGATACTTTACATCCCAGTGTGAGCAGGGGGCTCTCAGCTTTTTTTGCGTTAAGGCTCTACGGTTGGTTTTTGAGGTAACTCCCGGTGCGTACGTTTGCGTGTTCTTTCTTGGTGAGGTTAACTTCAGCCCTTTATTTATCTATCAAGACGAAAGAGCAATTTTTGAAGAACTGGACTCTGAACGGGGTCATATTCGGTTTAGAAGGAAGCCGTCTGTGGTCAATATTGCTGACAACTCCGCCATAAGACGTGTTATGATGCTTGCAAAGAAAGGTTTTCCCGTTACTGGTTTTATGCTCGCTTTCATGTCCCAACTGGAGTTGTATGTGTTGCGTTTCGTATTTGCATTTTGAATGAGAATATTTCCCTCCCTCTTTCCCCCCGTTCGTCATGCTAAGAATAGTCTGTCTGACGTACTCTAAAGTGCCATGGTATCAGGTTTTTTGCAAGGCAATTGGGAATGAGGCTCAAGAAAGAGGTTGTTTCACACATGGGTTGATTTGCCTTTTGCCGCTGCCACAGACCTGAATTTCCGTTCATGTCTGTGGCAATCTTTGTCGTATGGGGCTCTGTTGAAGCCAACTGTTCTGGGTGGATTTATTTCGAATGCACTGCATTACCTAACATCTAGTGTTGTTGACGGAGCAATGTCCGTCGGACTCTAGGAAGGACCGAGAACTGATTTATAATAAAGTGATAAGATCCTCTTCTCTTCTAATCAGTATCAGACCTGTAAGTGTCATGCTTGACAGCCCTTCGCGCATGAATTTCATGTCCGATTTATCTGGGTACTTGACCTCCAACTTGGTAAATCGGCCTGTGGCTGTTTGTACCGCATCTCGTTGTCGAGGTTTCCAAACGTCAAGTATATAGGCCACCCTGACAAATGACAGTTTTGATGTCTTTTCTGGATGCTTTTCGTCTTGCGGGTTGAACTGGGAACCGAAAGAAATCACGAAAGCCAGGACAAGAGGTTAGAATTTCATGCCTGCCTTGGAAGTGACTGTCGGTCCCGGGTCTTTGATCACTCGGGAGTAATGCATTGCAGCTGCAAAGTGTTGCAGAGCTGACTGTTTCCCATTCATCTTATAACTGAAGTATGATTGAATAGTGAATGTTTGTAACATTGAATCTCAAAGGTCTTGTTCTGCAAAAACAAGCGTCGAAGCTTCGGTGCTGCTGTAAATCGCCCCAACTTCTCGACGGAGCAAGGCAGCGAGATCATCTTCTTCGGGTACCTGATGAATGAAAAACCTTTAATAGATGTTAGCACTGCAAATTCAAAATAAAAGAAGACTTAACTTACTTAGATAGTTTGTATCAAGTCTTTGTAACTGCTGATAATTCCGTGTTTTGAAGAGGTTCTCAACTGCGCCAACGAATGCGTCAAATGCAATTCACAAGTTCTGGAACTGTACGTTATTTTGCCGACAGTGCCTGTCCTGATGGAACCAAAGCTCTATAAATGTACTCAATTATTTCATGGATGCTTTTCAGCTCCTTCATTAGTTCCGTTGTGACATCTGCAGGGTGAACTCTAGATTGAGCTAGGCCTTGAAGGTGCAAGTCAAAGGCAGCAGCAGATCAATATATTTGTAAGCTTATAACACATCGTATCCTCAAACTCCGAATCCAACTCCATAAGCCTCTAGTAACATCAAGTCTCTAGACAATATCCACATAGCCCTTAGGTCGCACAGCTCCATTCCAACCTGTATATACATCTGTTCCATCAGGTATTCTTTCTTTCCTCTCAATGCCCCTCTCCCATTTAGCATATTCCTCGTGTTGACTGTTCAATTCATGTTGTGTGTAGGTCGTTGTATCACATTATACCTGCATTTAGCGCATCGTCAGGACCTTTTGGAAGAATATATTGTAGATTCTGAGGAAGTCAGATAGGACGGATAGCTTTGCTTCTCTTTCTGGGCGAAGCCGCCAGGGCCGTTGTAGATGTCTTGTTGGGTATCTTGGGGGAACGTTGAGAACTTGCGTGGGTAGGCTATTTCGCGCTGGGCTAGGGCGTTTATAGTGTCGGTTGGGCTTGTCCTTGGTTGTCGTCAGCCAGGTTGGGTGGCTTACAAGGACCTCTATAGACATTAACTTCACTTCTTCTATCATCAAACCAGAATCTACCCGTTATCGTTCTGACTGCAAAGGCATCATCAATCTTGATACTCTCGTCCTCTTCAACATCCTCACAAAGGTATAATGAACCATAATGCGGAAAATTTATCCTTGCGAGCTTAGAAGGAATAGAAACGACATGTCTCACAACAGACAATTATCCCTACCCTTAAGACCCTCCTCACACGCGCCCAAGTTCAACCCTTCCATCTTCTCTATGACAATACATTCCACGTTCAACTCACTCCGGTCCACCAAGAAAAATAGCCGATGACTCTGGAAACAGGAAGATCAATAGTTTCTCTTGCATATCGCATCGTTGCTACCTCTGACGCAGTCCCATAACCCCCTTATCTCCGCATTCGGATTCGGATTCGGTATCTCATACGACTACCTCCTGTCCATTGCACATAGCAACAAAAGAAAAAAAGAGAAAAAAAAGTCTTACTAAGGTTCGCCTAGTAACTTAGTGGCGTCGACGCAAGCCACATTTTTTCCGGTGGTTTTCTCGGCGACTTTGATCAAGGCATTCAAGTCGGACGAGACATATCTGTTTCGTAGTCGGCGGGCTATCAGTGTAGAGATCTTCGGGCTTGCAATTTGGGCTAGTGAGTATGTGGCGTCTGTTGTCAGGAAGACGTAGTACCGTTGGATTTTGTTTTGTGGCTTTTTTCTCTTCTACTTGTGGATGATGGCAGCGTATACTTGTATGCAAACGTGGACAGTCAATTATAGATAAGAAGGCTGCTCTTACTCCAATTCTTAGGACCATTTCTAATTGGTTACTGGTTGTTGGTTATTTTGAAATCCCGGCGTCGGGTATCTTGTATTATCACATGATGCCTTCTGCTAGCGAAAGCAGTGAACAAGACAGCATAGGCTCTATAAATCCTGTAATATGTAACTTTCAAAAGCAGTGAAAAGAAAAGTAAGCAAAGCAAATATACATGAAGAATATGGAAAGCATGTAAGGTATGAAGGGGAAAAAGAAACAAAACTTTATGGTATGGCAGGTTGACAATGATCCATACACCAAAATAATTGAAAACGTGCCCACGCCTTGCGCCTTGCTATAACTCAGACCACAAAAGGACAAGGCAAAAATATGAGAGAAAAAGTAAGGAAACGAATCACGAAATCGTCTATATCGAGTCTATATTCCCTTTTATCACCTCTAGTCGTCATTATCAGAATCCATCTCATCCTCGATAGATTTCTTTTTCTGCTCTTCTCTCATCTCTCGGAATGAGCTCCAGCTGAGAAGGAAGAATGCGACGATAATCAATATACCGCCAATGATTGAAGCGAGAGAGAGGGCCTCTCCGGTGCGCATCCAGTCGACAATTGCGACAAGGAAGATAGTGAGGAGAGCCGCGACGGAAGAAAGCACCGGTGATGTGAGGGAAATGAGAACCAAGAAGGAACCGGAGAATGCTGCCATATCATCAGAATCGCGAATCTCATAAGAGAAGATGAGAACTTACTAGCATTGGAAATAATAGAAACCATCACCATCCAGCCAACCTCGCCTGTGGGCCATTCGAACCTCTCCCAGCCCAAGATATGCAAAATAGGCAAAGGAATCCACAGGATGAACACAGTGAAGCTCGCAAACATACTAGCAAAGGTGTTGGCAAATACCATGCTGCGCACCGGATTGGTGCCCTCTGGGGGACACGCATATCGCTTATACAGCACTTCGTACAGGCCATACAGCACGCTTCCGATGCCAATGAGAATATTGCCTAACAGTCGGTGCTGAGCTTCATCCTTCGCTTGTCCAATCGTGCCATCCGGTGTGTCCTTCGCCTCATGTTCGTCTGGGCCATACGCAACAATAAGGACACCAATAATCGCAACCCCAACCGAAAGAACCTTGTCCCACCGCAATTTATCTTTCAAAATAGGGATAGAAAAGGCGTATGCGAAAAAGGCAGAGCAGTTGTAAATTGCCGTCAAATCGCTCGCCGTAGTCAAGTTGACTGCGACGTACCATGAACCGCCCGCGATGGTAAGAGCAGTGGTGACAAATGCCGTTGTTCTGAGCAAGTAGGGAATGATGGATCGGTTGTAATGTGGATTAGGGTGTAATTCTTGAAACTCGGCCATCCTCGCTGTGGTCCGGATCTGGTACATATGACGTCGCCAGAATGCATCCCACGAGAGCTTCCGGTTCTGGAACCGAAGAATGACGAGCTGAATTGGCCAGATAACAATCCAAGAGCCATGCGTAAGGTAACTATTCCTAGTAAGCATATTAACCTTCCCCCAATAAATCCTCTGCTCGCCAACTTACAGCATAAGGTATGGCTTATCATATTTCAAATCATGCTGAATATAAACCGCCGCCTCGGTCTGCGCGACGAAGCTGACCAAACTCAAAACCAAAAATATCGCTGCGATGGTGTATTTCCGACGAGTAGCCATTTCCGCTTCATGGCCAGGACTTTCGGTTCGAATGGACGCATGGTGCAGCATAGGCCTGCCTCCGATATCGCCATGGTCACTGGAATTGGATAATCGTCCGCGGCGCTCCTCCTTCAGTAATGGTTGATGCGAATGACCGTCGACGGGGCGGTATGAGGGCGGGCGACTGGTAGCCATTTCGTCGTCAGAATCGTGGTCGTGCGCAGGACCTGCGTTGTCCCCTGACCCCAACAAATGTGAGCGATCTGAATCCATCTTGAGTTAATCCCCCTTTCTCTTTCTTAAATTTATAAATATAAAAGGATATGAACCTTTAGAAAGCCCAATAAATCCTCAATGGAGTGTTAGATAAGTTGTGGTTATTGTTGGCGAGTTGTTATCGGGTGGAATGTGGAGAAGGCGAAGTAGCATCCATGTAGCGGTACTTGAACATAGAAAGAGGCGACGTTCAAAAATAGCGAAAAATAATTCGGTATTGCTTCGATGAAAGTAAATTGCGTATGCCTGGGAAATGCAAGTAATATGTATCTTAAAAAAAAAAAAAAAAAAAAAAAAAAAAAAAAAAAAAAGAGCGAGAGAAAAGGCTGTGATGCTGCTGCGGCCACGTCTGCCAAGGATAGCAGTAGCCAGCAACAGGACAGGATACACGGTCCAGCCGCAACAAGGCACCCTTAGGGTAGGGATCTAGCAGGGAGAGAATAGAGAAGAAGTAGGAAGAATAGTAAGTAAGTACTAATGAGTTGGGCTATCAAAATATAAAATAAGAGGAGGCAATGACAGGAAAGGCTGTCAGGGTCCGGAGAGCGACACCGTCGAAGAACTCCAGAAAAAAGAACATACGCGGGAAACACTGAGGCGCCGTCGCGCTAGTCTACTTTCAGTTAGTGGAGATCCACTATGCACGTGAAGCGGTGTGACCGCTTTCCGAATACGAGCTCAGTTCTCCGTTAATTTGCCCAATGCGGCAAGAAGACACCTGGCCCGAGATGGAGAAGTCCACGCAATCTCTGGGTTGGCATGACTAACACCTGCAAATTTGTGCACAAAACTCATTCCTGCTATGTAGCATTAGGATTCTCGCTTTCTGGGCATGTTGGATTTACCTGAGAGCCTAGTAACTATGTAACCCTGTAAGGCGGTGTTAGTCCTCCAGCCTCCTTGGCGTTGCGTGACCTCTTTTCGCTTAAAAAACACTTGTATAAGCGCCCGGTGTATGGGTACTCAAATTCAATCAATATAATAACCGCTCGAGAATATTCAGTAAATTTCTGCACAAATAATGTACAATTGTACGTACAGAGTAACACCGTACCTGAATGCTACCCCTGTGCTACTCAACTCCACTGTTTATTCCCTGCCGTTTCCAAGCACTATTCCCGATCTGCACTAGCCCAGAAGAGCTTATCCGGATTACAGCCAATAAAATTACAAATATCCGTCATAGCGGGTCGCTCTGCAGCCATTGTGCAGTCCCCTACAGTAGTAATGCTGTCGACCACTGTCAAGGTTAAGACAAAATTGTTCTGTTATACTATACAAGTCAATCTTGAACGGTACTACGTGCTAACGCCGCGTCAGGATCCAGATCGTAACTCATAGAAATTAAAAACAAATACACCTAATCCTTCTCTATCCCAAATACGCCGAAAGCCTCTTCCTTTCTTGTTTATCCCTCATCTCCGCCAGAGCAGGGTCGACAAGAAGTTTCCCGGAGATTGTTCCTCTCAGTGTACCCACTGAGACAAGTATCCAAAGAATGACGACACACAGTGAAAGCATCTAGATGTTTCAAGTCAGCCAAGGGGTTCTTGCGAGGTTTGCTTGTCTGTTGACATACCGTTCCAACGACCTTGAAGAATGAAGAATACATCTCCAAACCGAGCTGGCAAGTAGCCAGAGCATATGCTCCAAGCGGGAAAGTGAAGCCCCACCAACCAATGTTGAAAGGGAACTTTTTACATCGCAGAATCGATGCGGATGCAAAGAAGAGCCATACTAGCCCGAACGCCCAGAAAACAAGCGCCGTCATGAATCCCATTGCGTACATAGTGGGAATGATGGACTTATCAAACAGGAAACTAGACTTTGGGAATGTCTCTTTTGCAGTAAGTCCAAGTTTCAATGCGCTAGACGAAAGTCAATTATACCATTCTTTTTAAGGTTGGTGGCAGGCATAATACTTACGAGAAAGCTCCAGATCCCAGAGGGCCCATTGGCAAGAAGACGCTCACAATAGTCTCCTTGGGAGGTAGCTTGTGGATCGTGAGTCGTTGGAAGTAGATGACAAACACCATCAATGACAGAGGAACTCCGATCCCCCATAGGATATAGCTTGCGACAATCACTCCAAAAGCTTGGTCTGGGTCCGGAAGAACTTGGGCGACAATGCCACCAGTCCCAGAAGCAACGACGCAAGTGACAATCGGCATAAGCCACACTGCTGTCATGGTCGAAAGGTGTGTATCCTTGTTGGATAACATGCTACATCATGGTTAGCTTAAACTTTATCTGAGGTAGAGGGCTCTGGGGACGCACAGCGAAAACGGTAACGACAGAGCGCACAGAACCGAAATGGCAGCATCAAGTGACCACAGCGCCAGCGCAAATTCTGCAGCCCATGTCCCCCAAGCCGGCACACACACGAGGCAAAACATGTTGACGATAGTAGAGAGACCCATCGGGAATGCGCCAAGGAACATCGCTTGCACCGGATGAAATATGACGGCTCTGATCGTTTTGGGATACATGGTGTATCGGATTAAACTGAGTATGCAACCGGCTATGAAAAGGAAGACATTAAGGGCGAAAATCACGATCGAGATCCATCGTAGCCAGCGGCCATTGTAAGGGAGGACATTGAGGAGTGTCGAAACGATGCCAGTTCCCATGATCACGGAGAACCACCTATTCACATCAGGGCTCGTTAGTTTTCACCATGAATCCTGATGAATGAGGGTGACATACGAAGGTGTGAAATTCTGAACCATTCGTCTCCATCCCGAGTCTCTGGCCCTATGGCTAAACTGCCCTGACTGGACACGGGCTTCATAGGTCACCTCTGGCTGGTACCAGGATGTCCTGTTGTCGGCATGGTAATCGTCTCGTAATGTCTCATTGCTGAAGGCAAAATGAACATCCCTAAGGGTGACTGCGTTCCCACTGTTCACTATGAGAGAGGAGGGTGGCGGCGTCAGGCGAGAAGGCGTTGCCCTCAACTCCTTGTCCTCGCTTATTGGCAAAATCGAGTCCTCGCCCATGATCGAAGCGGGGATGGCAAGTTGGAAAGAAGTTTAGCACACAGCGAAAAGAAGATTTGCGATAGAACAATGAAAGATTGTCCTTCCCTTCGCCGGCACTTTTATCTTTCTTCTTCCCTTCTTCCTGATGTTTGAAAGAGGAATAAAAGAGAAAGAGGCCCGACAATCTGCTACATTTCTGCAAAAGATGGATCGGCCCAGGGGTTACGGAGAAAGTTTGCGGCACGACCAAACGACGTGTTCTCCCCGTGATTGGTATCGACAAATCTATGGTACCAGACGGCGATTGATTCGGAGATGGTTCCTGCGTTATGGAGCCATTTCCCTGGAACCGAGCCAACCGCAGCGCTAGATAGTCACCGAAGCTCAAAACCATTGTTTTGATTCCACAGTGCAAAGTCCTTCGGAGCAAACCTAGTTTTCGGGATACAGGGATCTGCTCCGCTATTGGTGATAATAGGGTTAAACCAGAGAGTCTGTCGCTGAAAAGTCCAATTTAATCACCACGGGGGGAACTCTATAGGGAGAATGTCCCGAGTCAGTCGTCCTATCATACCGGTCAATAGCTGTCTATTCATCATTCACAAGCTTCTTTTTTTGTGCTCTGCCCAGTTGCTTCTTCCGTTAGACCGTATTATTGAGTTTTTTTTTTTTTTCTCTCACCTGTCTCGCTTGGTCCGAGCAGGGATCTAAAATGTTGATCAAGGTTTTCCGGTTCATTGTTCGTTTAGTTTCCGCGGAGTACAATAATGAGATACATGCTGCAGGCACAGTACTGAAAGTTAAGAACGTGCGATCTCCTGCGTTAGTCCACACGAGTGTAAGAGATGTGTTTGGAATGAAAGGCAAAAAACTGGTCAAATTGTTGTGATGTGTTTCCACATACTATTGTAAGCTGACAATGGATCCCTGTACAAAGTTGAGAATAGTTCTATTTCTGCAATCGCCACCCTCCAGCTCAAAATCTTGCACCAAACGTGTCGTAGGTGTACTTCAGTTCAAGATGCCAATAGTTTGGGGCGGTTGGTTTCGCAACCAACCACGCCCTGTCCAAGGCTTCGACTACCTCCTCGGGCAACGGGCCCTTCTGAATATCTCGAAGGTTGCCTTCCAACTGTTCGAAGCTACTCACACCAAGGATAACGCCGTCGCGACCGTTGCCATCCATCTTTAGCAATGAGTGATGATGAACCCAGCGCAGAGCAGTCTCGGCCATGGTCAATCCATGTTTCTCCACGGCAAGCTCAATAATTCGGAGCGCATCAAAGGTTGCATCTTTGAAGTAGCGTGTCCGATACAGTGCGCCCGTGGCGGATTGATCACTGTACCGTCCTTCCGTTGGCACATCCTTGGTCTTGTATTTACCAGACAGGATACCACCAGCAAGAGGGTTGTAAATAACAATGTCAATCCCGTAACGTCTACAAGCATGCACGAGTTCGGTTTCGATGGAGCGAGCTATGGATTGATGTGCCTTTGGTTAGCGTGGGTCTAGTGCAGGAGTCGCTTTGCCCGAGGTTCAACTCAAGAGTTGGTCCGAACTTACTTATGGCATTGTACATCGCTTGGTAGATGGTCGGACGCACCCAACCCCTCTCGTTACAGATTGTCACGATCTCAGCGACCTCGAATGCGGTGTAGTTGCTCAATCCCAGTTGCACAAACTTCCCCTCCTTGTGCAACTTGTTGACCTCCTCTAGGGTTTCCGTAAAGGGCACGGACCGATCGGGGGCATGCAGGTAAAAAATATCGACCTGGTCGGTCTGCAGCTCCTTCAAGGAGATCTCCACGTTCTCCCGGAGAACGTTCGCCTTGTGGTCCCCGGGTGTTTTCGGATACCACTTGGTGGCCAGCGTCAGGCCGCGTTCTTTCCATTTGGCCTGGGCCGTGTAGGCCTCTTGCTCGCCTGCTACGTATATCCGGGCGGTGTCGACTTCATTAAAACCTTGCTGTTGGAAATAGTCGAGACACTTGTTGAGGGACGACAGGCGGGTACCCTTGGATTCTGTTCCCTCCGGACCAAACGTCATTAATCCCAGGATCGCTCTGGGAACGGGATTCTGGGCGATCAATGGCATTTTCTCTCTTTTTCCTGGTCAATGCTTTGACAATACGAAGAGAATTGAATCAGAGAATGTTCATGGTTGGTGTTAAGTAGTCGGGATTTAAACAATAGCGGGGCAGATATGTTGTCATGGAGGTATTCCGGAGTAGCAGTCGGCAATAGAAACACCCGCATAGTGAAAGTGGACCGTTGATGGAATTGATATATTCTACTCTCCATTGTCTTTCAGGACGTCTACAGAGGTGTACTTTACACTGTTTGAAGGTACTATGCTCTCGACACGATGACTATGAGAGAGTACATAACTAGCTTCCGGTTTCTAGACACATGCAGACTTTCAAAATTGATGAATCAGTGACACATTACTCCAGGATTCGTGGTCCATTGGTCAGTACTGAATTGAGATGGTGCAGGAATATAGAAAACCAGGAAGATCAGAGATATAAAAAGCAGGAGAGATCCTTCTCATGTCAATAAAATAGCACTAGGGAAAGAAAAAAAAAAGTCAGCGGTTATATTAAGATAAAATAATGCTAATTAGGTACGAAAGTAAAAATTGTCATGCCCAGATATCAAGCAATGGTGTCGGCGGCATGATGAAAATAAATACATCGAGCAGCTTCTTTAAAGCGGCAAACACATAACCCCTCCATCATGGCAAGCCAGGCCCAATTCTCGATCCTGGTGATCAACCCCAACACCTCAACTTCTATGACAGAAGCCTTGAAGCCTATCCTAGAAAGCCTCCGATATTCAAGTATCCACTTTGATTACTTCACAGCACCGTCGACAGAATCTGTGACTCTCGACGGACGCACCATACACGGCATCACCAGCATCAACTCTGGGGAAGATTCAGTTGCTTCAGCCTTGCATTGCAGGCCTTTCGTGGAACCTCTTGTGTCGAAATATGATGGCTTCCTAGTGGCGTGCTACTCAGCCCACCCGCTCGTGGGCATGCTGAAAGAGGCCATCCGGAAACATGAAAAAACACGTCTCTCGGGCCCAAGAAAATACGTCACGGGGATCTTCGAAGCCAGCATTGTCACCTCTCTGTCTTTAATCAGCTCATTCCGAATGACAGGAGAGCCAGGGCTCCACAAAGCTCAGGCCCCAGATACATTCGGAATCGTATCGACGGGCAGCACCTGGGAAGCTGAACTTAGCTATGCAGTCAAAGACATGCTCGTCAGCTCTGGCAGCAATATTCAAGTCTCGACTATGCGTTTTGCCGGCGTAGCCACTACTGGTCTTACTGCTGTTGAGCTTCATACCACCCCGCCGGAAGAGGTGAGATGGAGGATCAGCGATGCAACGGAGCGACTTCTTCGGGGTACTTCAGCACCCGTTAGTGCGATTTGCATGGGGTGTGCTGGTATGGCAGGTATGGAGGAGGCCGTGCGAGAGGGCTGTATTAAGGCTTATGGCAAGCAGCAAGGGAATCATGTGAGAATTGTGGATGGTGTAGTGGCCGGGGCTGGGATGCTGGTGACGGCTTGTAAAGCGGGATTCTAGTCATGGCGGTTCATAATAGAATCCGCAGGTGTACCTAAAAAAAAAAATAACGAATTTTATACTACAATTATCCATCATCTCTGGTCCTTGTAAGTTGCAATTTAGAGCAATAACTTGCCGTTGGGATAAGGCATTGACGCCTAAGGCATAAGTCCCCAAAAAGTTCCCCCGCAGAAACGCGATCCACGCGTCGCTAACTAACCTCGACTGCTTTGCTGGGGAGTGGTCAATATGCCTAGGTATGTCTTTAATTATATTACAAGAATTCTCTGAGCTCCTCGATACCAATCCACCCGTGACTGAGGTTTTATTCCTACTAACGTCGGTCTAGAGAAATCATCACGATCCAAGCCGGCCAATGCGGCAACAACGGTATGCCATCACCACGATATCGCACGATGACCGCGCATCGCATACATTTTGCTGATTGGCTCATATACAGTTGGGAGTAACTTTTGGCAGCAACTCTGCTTGGAGCATGGAATCAGTCAGGATGGGAACCTAGAAGAATTCGCAACGGAGGGAAATGACCGCAAGGATGTCTTTTTCTATCAGGTACCTCCAACTGCTGTGCATTTATTTATTCATACGGTTGCTGACTAGGACACGCCAGAGTGATGATACCAGATATATCCCCCGAGCAATTCTCCTCGACTTAGAGCCCAGAGTATGGTCCCCTGCCTCGCTGCCGCACAAGAAACCGGACTAAAACAAACCAGGTGCTCAATGCTATCCAAGCCGGCCCCTACCGAAACATATACAACCCCGAGAACTTTTTCATTGGACAACAGGGTATCGGAGCCGGGAACAACTGGGGAGCTGGATACTCCGCAGGCGAGGCGGTGCATGAAGAGGTATTCGACATGATCGATCGAGAGGCGGATGGTAGCGATTCATTAGAGGTAGGAGGACCTCAAAGAACTTGGAGATTCAATGACTGCAGGCTCACATATGAGTAACAGGGCTTCATGTTCCTGCATTCGATTGCTGGAGGTACAGGATCGGGTATGGGAAGCTACATCTTGGAGCGGATGAACGATCGATTTCCCAAGAAGTTAATTCAGACTTATTCCGTGTTCCCCGATACGCAAGCCGCAGATGTCGTGGTCAATCCGTATAACAGTATTCTTAGTATGCGACGTTTAACGCAGAATGCGGACTCGGTGGTAAGGCTCCATTTGCTTTTGGTCTATCAACCAAGCTAAAACGTTTGTTTAGGTGGTTTTGGATAACGGTGCTCTATCGAGAATTGTTGCAGACAGACTGCACGTACAAGAACCATCATTCCATCAGACAAACCAGTTGGTGGGTGTCCTATCTCTTTCCACATGTTCGAGATGTTGCTGACAACCACAGGTTTCTACGGTCATGTCGGCTTCTACTACAACACTCCGATATCCAGGCTACATGCACAATGACCTAGCTGGAATCCTCGCCTCGCTTATTCCAACACCACGCAGCCATTTCCTGATCACATCATACACCCCGTTTACTGGAGACAACATTGAGCAAGCCAAGACGATTCGCAAGACGACCGTTCTGGACGTGATGCGTCGTCTCTTGCAGCCGAAGAACCGGATGGTCTCGATTAATCCCAGCAAATCCAGCTGCTACATGAGCATTCTCAACATCATCCAAGGCGAAGCAGACCCGACGGACGTGCACAAGTCGCTGCTGCGTATCCGTGAGCGCCGGCTTGCGTCTTTTATCCCATGGGGCCCTGCCAGCATCCAGGTGGCGCTAACGAAGAAGTCACCGTACTTGCAGAACACTCACCGAGTCAGTGGACTGATGCTGGCGAATCACACTTCGGTGGCGACACTGTTCAAGCGGATTGTGCAGCAGTACGATCGGCTGCGAAAGCGTAACGCTTTCCTGGAGCAGTACAAGAAGGAGAGTCCCTTTTCTGATGGGCTGGGAGAGTTTGACGAAGCGCGCTCTGTGGTGATGGATCTTATTGGCGAATACGAGGCAGCAGAACGGGAGGATTACTTGGACCCAGATGCGGGTAAGGAGAAGGAGATGGGCGTTTAACAATGATATTCACTTGTTATGGATTCCTACTTTGATGTTGTTGCTATGTCTCACGGTCTGGTGTACTTCGGCGTTTCTGTTTTCATTTTTCTCCTAATACCAAAAGACATGACACGTAGGAAATGGATTATTGTTACATGGATAACTGTTTCAATGGAGGACCCGTCGGAATCCCAACATGTCAGTGCACTGCGTCCGACGCTGCCGATGCTTATCGGTGTGCAACCACCTTCTGCAGACAGATACTGTTGAGCTGCCCAGTTGCCACGTCTATCCGTAGATTTGCTGTCCACCGCTGCCAACTGTCGGAGGAGTTGCCTTTACCACGGGAACACTTCAGGTCGAATAAGAACAAACCCCCGATGGCACGGACTTCGAAGTGATCGTGAAACGGTCAACGGAGATCAATAGCTTAAAAAAAAAAAAAAAAAAAAAAAAAAAAAAAAAAAAAAAAGGGAAATTAAGGGATGGATATCCCAGCGTCTATCTCATTTGTCCCGTTTATTTTCAATTAGCGTAGCTACTAGCTGATTCCGTATATACGCCGGGGTATGCATCCGTAAGCTGTAGACCATACTACTACTGCAGAGTACATGTACAGAGTACATCCAGTGGAGATGAAGATGGATGATCACTGCTGCCCAAGTGAGGGGTTGACGGCGCATGATTCGCAGAATGAGGCAGAAGTTAGTTGCCTTGTATCTTCCGCGTCCTAGCACCACGGCTATTGGTTATTATTGCCTTTCGTCTCTGCCAATTATTAGTGATTCCTGAGGCATATACTAACCTTATAGGGGAATAGCTGCTATTCTTAGCACAATAGCCTAAACATCGACATTATTTCGTACAAGTACGTGCTCTGGGCAGCTTTAGAAGGAATGGGATAGCTCAACTAGTACTCGGATCAGATGTATTAGATGATCATTCTCCTGGTCGCGGTCAGTATCAGCAATCTGTCACATCAGTTGACACCAATGTGCTTCTGATACGTGGTGGCATGGTTAGTTGGTGTTGTGGTTGGATCCCGGAGGACTTGCTAATACAGCAACTGAGCTACTTGCCATATGAGATGCTACCGATGGGTATGAGCTACCAGAAACAGAGTGCAAGTGCATGAATCAATGCCTGAATGAAGTAGTATGGTGTATATATCACGTGATTGACTCTATCCCCTGTACAAACGCCAGCAAAACAGGCCCTGGTTTCAAGGATCCTTCTCCCGCAAGCAAGCTAACAACACGGTCAATTGGGTCCCAGGCTTTTCTTCCCTGTAAGCCCCAATAAATGCCCAAAAAAACTCGAAGCTTCGATGGTCCGCCTTAGATAAGCAAAGTTGCCTCCACGCTGGGAACTGGAAATTGGAGATGGGCGCTGTGACTCAGCGGCTTCATACTACGTACCACTATATATCTTCCCTGTCGGATCCGAACCGTGGCTGTTTTTCTTTCTTTTCTTCTTTTCCTTCACTGCCACTTTCAATTGACTTTCCATTCTTGTTCTTCTGCCTGCAAATTTTTTTCTCTTTCATTGTCGCCTCCTTTCTTTTGCCTTCCCGTTGCTTCCGATCATCGGGTTGCCAGAGTATATAGAGTTGGGGCTCCCTTTCGTCTATCTCACCGCACCCGTCCTCCTGATACTCTCTCCTGATCCTCCTCCATTCCTTGACTCTTCTGTCTCCTCCTGACCAGGACCTGTCTTACATCCCTCTCTACAATAACGACTCTTCAAATAATCCTCTTTCTCCTGGTGGGCTTGAATCCCTTAATCTTCCACCTCTCCTCACGAACTGGATCGTCTTATCGCCTCCGCACCAGCTGGCGCTCACTACTTCACCACCTCTCTCCCTCCTCTCTCCCGTCTCGCCACCGAGAGCAACTCAACACATAATGCCTCCTCGCAAGCCCAGATGCTCCTTCAAGGAGTGTAAGGAACAAGCTCAGCGCATTGTCGGAGACTGCAGCTTCTGCAGCGGCCACTTCTGCTCCAAACATCGCATGCTCGAAGCCCATGCCTGCTCCGGTCTGGAAGACTGCAAGAAGGAGTCCCACGCCCGCAATGCCGATAAGTTGAACAGCGAGCGTACACAGGTTATCAAGGGTGTATGACGGGATGGTCTCCACACTACTACAACAATCTCGGCGCAACGACAATCTCGGCGCATTTCGATTGCATTTACTTGCCATTTTTATCCGACGTTGAATTAGCGCAGTGTTATTTACAAACTTTTTTCTGCGATGGCTCCCTTTTTCGTTTAAGGTGGTGTCTCGTTTCGGAGCGACATGGTTTACAATGATTTTGGGTTGGGGTGGTTTCTCGTTATCTGTCTATTAACTTTTATTTCCCGGGGTATTACACGCATGGCGTTATTATATGGGGAGTTTGATACTGTTCTATTTTGAATCAATACTTTATCACAGCAATCTAGTATCAACTGAGTAGTATGATTTCACACTCTATCCGCTCATCATTACTACTGTACTGCTGTAGTCAAGATCGTGTAACCGCCCATTCCAGGAAGCCGGATGATCTGCTGTAGACGTAACCCTTGCTTGTCCGCCTGTTTTCATGTCTCGGGAGACGTATTTCAGTTCACGACTGGTTAAAGTGTGCAACTTCAAAAGTATTCATTCACGATTGCACAAGACCAAACCAAAGAAACTCCACAACAAACGAAATCGCCCAACAAAATTGCGCAAACACATCCATCTCAACCGGGACCAATTTTCGGCCTAAGACGTCGTTAGCTACCAATCCATAGATTAGTGTTGGACAAAATAAGACATACATATCATGGTGTTCAGTCAATCCGCTGAGATACTTGTTTAACTCTTCAACCCGCTCTTTGTGTGTCTTAAACCCATCGCGCCTCAGTCGTTCTTGCATCTATTTGTCAATTAGCACCGGTCAAATATAGGTCAAAAACAGAAACATACCCTCTTCCTCCGAATCTCCTCATACTTCCTCTCCGTCTCAGTCTTCCCAACACCAACCGTCCCCGTCCCCGTCCCCGTTTCCGATCCATACTCATCTTCTCTGCTCTTCTCGCCACCACCCTCCGGCGTAGTTCCCTCTGTCGGAACAACCTCACCACCGGAAGAAGCCTCCTTCTCCTTCTTCTTCGCCTTCTTCGCCTTCTTCTTCTCCACCCGACCGTCGTTCACTTTGCTGCCTTTGAGTTTGAGTTTGCCGCCTCCGCCGGCTGAGTATTCGTCCCCCGGGGGCATTTTGAGTTTTTTGTCTGAAAATCGGTTTTGCGCTGGACGTGGGGGGATTTACAAAGCAAAAAGATTTGGAGGTTGCTTTTTTCTGATTTTCTGTGATTATTACAGGAGATGTGATTGGGTGTATTTAGATTCTTGTCTGTTCGTATGTATGGGGTAGTTTGCTTGAAGAGTTGCTCGAGACGAGCCGTTCCGCGGTTGAGGACACGTGATTTTCCTTAATTGGAGGCGGCGCTAACCGGATTGGGTTATACTTCCAGGTCTCACTGAATTTCTAGGGGGATCTTTTGCGAAGAATGGTACTCTGTTGGAGTATTTACCAGATAGCTGCATTCACTACTGAATCTGCTTTTGTGCTGTGATTAAATTGACAGCTGTTTTTAGCAATAATAGACACACAGGTCAATGTCGGAGACAACAACAAGGATGGAATTGCAATTTACTTTGGTCATTCAACCCCTGCTGGATAAAGTATAGACTTACAAGGCCCCTAGCAAAAGGAAGATGCTAGGCTTGACCGGTGCAAAGCAACCAAGACGTAGTCTTTCGCTCGTCTCTCACATCCAGCGGCAGTGAACAACGGCCCATTGTCATATCATGACGAAGCGGAAATATTTTTTTATTCTCTGACACCATGATAGAGTGACAGCCTCTAGAGTATAAATACAAACCATATTTCTATTCCACATACACACACCCATCTATAAACCCTACGTCCCCATGGCTCTCCCACCAAACTCAACCCTAACAGGCAAACAATGCCCTTCTTTTTAAAAGCCCTCTATCTCCACATCCAAACCCACTTCCGCGGCCGAGTGAACACCTCTCTAGACCTCCTCCGACTCCTCGAAGCCGCCCTCCTAGCTGTAACCCACGGCCAAGGAACATTTACTCTCTACGAGAAAAATGACCTAACAAAACCACACCCAACCCTCGCGGATAGCGACGTGATCGTCGACCTCACATACGGGAGTCTGTCGCGGTGTCCGACGGCGTCGAATGGACAGGGTTGGATGTGCGATGATGGAGAGGAGTTGGTCGAGTTGGCTGATTATTATCTCTTCGAGGAGTTGTGCAATGTGCAGGATAAGGTGAGGAATGGGAATCGAAAGCCCTTGACATCGCCGGCGGTGATGGTTAATGATTATCGGGGTGGGGATTTTCCTTTTTTAAATCGAAACGTCGCTTTGGCTTTCCCTTTGGATATTGGGAATCTAGCTGACTTGTGTGTCTTGTGTAGACATTTGGTTGGCGGGGAGGTCGGTGTATAGTAAGCTGTAAAGTGAGGACAGTCCCAGATTAGAACTTCGTGTTGTACAGAGGGTCAATGTGTGCTCAGCTGGACTGAGCTAGAAAGGGAATATGGATATTTGGGCTGACAGGCATTTTTTAGTAGAATAGAGATGCTGAATAATGGAGAATTTATTTCTATATAAGCATAATCACATGATGGTTATCATCTTTAACCTCAAGGGATTTCACTGCTACTAATACCTACGATATCATTTTAGGTACTTCACTCTTATTTAAAATTTTAGACTGTTGAACATGACTCCATTCAAGTCCAGAAAACATGAGCCATGGCAGTGGCAGCTCCGCTCGTCGCAGAGCTTCATTGTCATTGTGGTTTCGCTGGCCATGTTGATGGTAGGTACCTTTCTGGACATTCTCGAGACAATGTGGCTAACTGAATAGGACATGTTCATGTACGGCATGGTATGTATTGTTGAAAACGTAGGATAAACACAACGCTGATCTACAGATTGTCCCCATCATGCCCACGGCCATCGTAACTCGCGCAGGTGTTCCAGATGAGGAGAGTGAGAACAATCGATTCTGCATAATACAAGTTTCAGCTAACACCTGACAGAGGTTTTCTGGACGAGCGTCCTCCTAATCTGCGAATCTGGCACAGCCTTCATAACCAGCCCTCTCTTCGGTTACTTCGTCGACGTCTCTCGATCACGCCAATTCCCCTTCCTCGTCGGCTTGCTCCTCCTCACTATATCTATGATATTCCTCACAGTTTCGCGGTCTATGACGGGGTTTATAGTTGGGAGACTCCTACAGGGTGGTGCTGCTGGTATGGTTAATGTAGCAGGACTAGCCCTCGTCGTGGATGTGGTCGATAAGGAACATCTGGGAGAAATACTGGGATACTTGGGGACAGCTAGTATGATTGGTATTATCTCGGGACCACCGCTGGCTGGGTTGGTATATTATGCTGGTGGGTACTATGCCGTGTGTGCTCTGGCGTTTGCCATGATTGCTGTCGATTTGGTATTGCGGGTGGTGGTTATTGAGAAGCGAGCGGTGGACCGGCTGGTCAAGCCGGCTGATTCACCTGCTGATGGCGGCGACAATGATGATATTATGGAGGTGTCTCGAAATGGTTATGCATCGTTTCCCCGAGCTCAGATCGAGGATGCTGTACCTCAATCCGGAAGCAAGGGAGGCTTTGCTATCTTGACGCTGTTAAAACAACCACGGATGTTGATCACGTTGTGGGCTTTTATGGCAGAGGGAATTGTCACGGCTTCTTTTGACGCGGTAGGCTTTACTTCTAACTTTGGATTCTGCTACATACTGAAGCTAGTATAGACATTGGTTAGTTTCGTGGAGAAGACATTTGGATGGGGCCCTTTCGAAGGAGGAATCGTCTTCCTTTTACTCGCGATTCCGGCGCTCTTTGACCCAGTGTTCGGTAAGTCCCATTCCTTTCCATGTCTATTACATACTAACATATATTCAGGAAACCTAACAGATCGCTACGGCGTCCGCATAATGGCCATCCTCAGCTTCACAACCGCAACCCCAGTTCTCCTCAGCCTCCAATTCGTCCAAAACAACGTCCTTTCCCATAAAATCCTCCTCCCGACCCTAGTAACCCTCGCCGGTCTCGCCACTGACCTCGCCCAACCCGCCCTCTTCCTCGAAACCCAACTAGTCGTCGACAGCATGGAAGCGCGCAACCCAGGCATCTTTGGCGAGAAGGGTGCCGTGGCACAGGCATTCAGCTTACAGGTCATGGCGAGCTTTGCGGGTCTTATGCTGGGGCCTATGGTGGGTGGGTTTCTGAGTGATCGGTTTGGGTGGTCGGCTATGGCGTGGTCGTTGGGGTTATTGACTGCTGTTACGGCCGGGCCAATGGTGTTTTTGAGTGGTGCTGGTGCCTCCAGTGCCGGTTCCGATATCGATACCAATTATGGCGATGAAGAACGGGATGCGGGACAGCGAGAGCCTCTATTGGAGGGAGGACGGTGATTGTGTGATATCTTTCTTAAAATATCACCAGGGCAAGGATATGACACCACGGAGGCTGATGTGAACCCGATGGATCTCGAATTGGGCTAGAGAATGGTGCGAAAACGGCCAGGAAGGGAAAGATTTGCATTTTATATATTAAGTTTGCATTACACGTAGTATAGCTATTCGTGATTTTCACAATGATACTGCATTGCACTACAATCAATACGCACAGCTGACCGGTCAAGGCCTCTGTGCTCCGTGCTATGGACTTCGTCATAATCTGGGGTAAGCAGGACAACGCATTCCTTCTAGGCTGAAGGCATGTCTTTCCCCCCCCCCACACCATTCTACCGCCTGTAGTGCTGGTGCTGAGGTTTTTCGCTAAGAGCATCTACATTTGGATATTCATGTCGTGTCTTCTAGGCAGCCGGTTAAGTTTATGTACAACCATAAGCCTCAGAATGATGCTGGCTGAATAGTGACACAGGCCAGCGAACATGGAGCATCTGGAGTAATTGCCTCAGGACGACTCAGAGAAGATGTATATATATATATGTATATATGCAACCGTCGCCTCGGGATACAAACAGACAAAGGTCCACACTAGCAATCCATAACAGCACTACAACTACAACCGCAACTCAATACCAACGACGACACCACCACCATGGCTGAACCCATTACAGACGGCAACTTCATCTTTCCCGCCGAATCCGAACCCCATGAAGCTACCATTCTCGGCTTTCCCTCCCTAGTCTCTGTCCCACCCCCCTACTACGAACCAAGCTGCGCCGAAATCACCGGCCTCGCCGCCGCCATTGCCCACTTCGAGCCCGTCCGCCTCTACACGCGTCCAGACGACATTCCCCTCGCCCAGAAATACGTCTCCGAGATCGTTCCGCCCAACCTCCAGGAACGGGTCAGTATCATTCCAATTGCGATTAACCACTGCTGGGTGCGGGACACGGGTCCCGTGTATGTGCACGATGCGTCGGGGCGGTTCCCCAGGGAGCGGTTTGCAATTAGTTTTGATTTCAACGAGTGGGGAGAGAAGAGACCGTGGGATGTGTCGAATGGGAATGACTATGGGTTGAATTGGCCGACACCAAGCACGGAAGAGCTGGAGGAGAATACGTTGTTTGCGAGAAGAGTTATTGAGGGGGATGTTGATCCGAAGCCGGTGAGACGGGTTGTGCCGAGGATTAAGGCGGAGGGGGGGGCTTTTGTGGTTGATGGGGATGGGACGCTGATTATCTCAGAGAGTTGTATGATTGATGAGCCGCGGAATCCAGGGATGAGCAAGGTGGATATTGAGGGGGAGTTGAAGAGGTTGCTGGGTGTGGAGAAGATTATTTGGTGTCCTGGACGGAAGAATATGGACATCACGGATGCGCATCTTGATGCGGAAGTGAGGTTTATTCGGCCTGGGGTAGTGCTTTGGTCGCGCCATCATCCGGATTCCGATCAGGAGTGGTTGGATGTGTCGCATGAGGTCCTGACTACGTTGAAGAACGAGACTGATGCGAAGGGGCGGAAGTTGAAGATTATCCCCGTTGACGAGGTTAATGGGGATGAGGTGCCGAAGAATGACGATTATGAGGAGGTGGTGTGCAGTTATATCAACTTTTATTTCTGCAATGGGGGCGTTGTCATTCCCAAGTTTGGGGTCGAGCCTTATGATTCGAAGGCGAGGGATGTTATTCAGGCTGCTATGCCGGACCGTGAGGTGCGACAGGTGTATATGCATGCCATTCCCATTACCGGGGGTGTCATTCATTGTACCACTCAGCAGGTTCCTGCTGTCAAGAAGGACTAGATGTATGCAGTACGAGATGCCTGCGGTTCAAGATAGGTCTAAATTGCAACATGTTTTGAATTCCTGTCTACGTTAGATGCATTATGAACATAAGGTATCATTCATACGGACCATAGAATTGTAGATTTAATCGAATGGAATCGGGCGTAAACCTGTTCCTCCCATGCGTCTTCGCATCTCTGCTCCGGCTGCGATGGTACTCGGTACCTTAATACCACAGCAATCACCGCCAAAGTTGTCGTGCGCGTGGTTGGGATGGGCATGACCATCTCCGCACTCAGGTCCATGGTCATGAGCCTCCTCCAACTCGTCAGCTCCCTCTCCCATGCCCGGAGCTGCAGGGAGAAGACTGCCGAATAAGAAGTGTTGCATAATGGGAAGTTTTCCAAGAACTTCTTTGACAAGCATTTTCTTCATTCCGCTTTCTACCTTGAACCAGTTTCGGGCGCCAGAGATGTCGTCCAACATGGGGCTGTGCCACCGTAGTCCTTTCACAGTTTTCACACTGTCTACCCACCGCACTTGGTCCAAATAGATATACTTGTCTCCTTCCTCGTCCAAAACTGCCGTATTATGGATACCCAATGGCGTGATGTATGGATGGCTCACGAGCTGTGCAGCCCCAAATAGGAAAGGAAGAAAATGGTAGTCATCGAGACCCCAAACACCGTGCGATCCTGCAGGCTCAAGATAATAAGTGCTCTGAACCTGTCGCATCAGGTGCATATAATCGATATAAACCCGGAACACGATGACCGGGAAGTCAGCCAGTGCGATGAGTCCCACCTGACGAAGGCACAGCAACCACATCATGAAGTTCAATTCATGCCCAGACCCATAATCCAACCGGTCCCGCGATCCCAGGGAGTGAATCAAGTATGTCTTGATTTCATCGACCGCTGCATCATCCTGCAGTCCCAGAATGTCCTTGTGCCACGATGCACTCTGCGCAGTCACATCATCGAACAGATTCCGGAATGCAGGGTTTCCGAATCTCGATCCACCCTGATCTAGCGCCGGATGTTGTTCCACCAAAATTTTCATGCGTTCCACGACAGATAAAACAGTCGAGACGGAAGGGGAGGCCAGCTTGCCACTGAACTCAGTAACCGCACGTCCGCGTACCGAATCCGACAATCCGAATATGAACGCAAGAACGAGAGAATATGTCGGCGAGGAAACAAACAATTCATGATCCTTATGCGAGAGGATTCGACGTATAGGACGGGAATACTCATGAGATGATAGGTCTGGCGGCGAAGGGAGAGGAGGGGTCACTGGTGCGGGCTCTTTGGAGGATGAAGAGGAAGAGGGGAGGGCGTTGGACTTGCGGCGGGTATTACGTAGTTCGGATAATTTCTTGGATAGGTCAATTTTGGTCGTTGACCCGGAGTTCATATTAGCCACATCTGATGCCATTTCGAGATGTCTGTTGAAGCGTCTTGATGAATTGATGGCAAAGCAGTACCTTTGGGATGGGACAACAATGAGGACCTTCACCGCCTGCCGTTGCAGGATTATGATGCCATGTCCCAATAAGGATTAGCGTATGGGCTAACCACAAGGGGCTAGGTCATATCGAACATGTGATCAGCATACTGCCCGATTCGGCTAGACCAGCATAGCTCTTTCAAGGCTGATAATAAGAATAGAGATGTGTTTCCTGTCGTATTCGCTTGACAAGTAAAGAGAAGGACTAGGTATAACTCAACAGAAAGTGAAAGAAAACAAAAGCTTAATTTCGACTACCGCCGGCAAGGGATTCCAGGTTGCCGAGGTCTGCCACTATTGAATAAACACGCCGCCGCTATGGAGACGTCCAATCTGTCAGCATCTAAACCTAGAGAACCCTCGCGTCGATCGTCATCTTCTTCACATTCTACACACACAAAGCAGAACCAATCCAGGTTGGGCGAGGAAGGTGCAGTCAGCGAGAATACGCCTATTAACTCAAATTCAACACGCCCGGACTACCAGTCTACAGAGGAGATGAGGAGCCGGGGATCAGCATCGGGGACCATTCGGGGAAAGTCAAGGGACTCATCTCAGCCTCAAGATGAGGGACCTAATGGTGTTTCTATGGTTCTTGGCGACGGGGAAAATCACCAGCGGCCTTGGTACATTCAGTTGGCCAATCGATATGGCAGCATGGAACTGGAGAATAAGGGCAGTGTGGCTCGCGATCACCTTGCATTAGGTGTGTCCAAAATGCTAGTCGTTTGCTTTATCGAGTCAATATATGACTAACGAGAACTAGAACGCACATTTCTGGCCTGGCTGCGGACTTCGCTGGCGTTTGCCTCTATTGGTATTGCAGTCACTCAGCTTTTCCGTCTGAGCAATGCTGGTAACCTAAACCAAAATGGAACGGATTCTTCGTCTTCTTTGGACCAATTGCAGATAGAAAGCGCGACTAAACGCCTCCGGAATCTTGGAAAACCTCTTGGGACTACATTTATCGCAGTCGCCATTTTGATTCTTTTTGTCGGATTTCATCGGTTTGCCGAGAGTCAGTATTGGATTGTCCGGGGGAAGTTCCCAGCTAGCCGTGGCAGTGTGATCTTGATTGCGTTTGTGGCAGCGGCTTTAATAATTGCTGCGTTGGTGGTGATACTGGCGGTTGCTCCGGGGGCTGTGGAGACGTGATTTCAGATTTGTGTACATTATCTGCTTTATTTGGTTGTCGCCAGGAGATGACGACTTTCGGGCATTATTGTATAGGCGTTGATGGTGTATAGCGATGCATGAATATACTTGCATGGGTTGAGCCTACGATACATAAATGCTAATCTTCCGGAATCAAGTGTAGTATCAGCGATGCTAGATAGACGTTGTCACTTCAGATTTAGGATACGCTGTCCTGGCCTTGACGAGACCTGCACAATCGCAAATGAGGTGTCGTTCATACAAAGGTGGACCCCCCCCCCTTGGCATTCCTCCCTCCTTCACAACGAATGGTATTCTCAATCACAGGACTTGTCCAGCATACAAGTACCAGTGAACGTGTACCCTCAGGCACCAACATTCGTATCCAGTACGTAAAGTACGAGTACGAGGCAGGCATCAGTAGCAACTAGCCAATCAAAATGCTCCGATGGGGATCCAAATTTCGCTTGCCTCAATACAGTTAGTGGTATCAATAGTCCGTCATTTCAAGACTGCAGGTTACAATAAATAATAGAAATAGACTCAAGGCCTCTGTGCAGAATCACGGAGGTATGGACATGACAGGAATGGACACAATTGGTCTGAGTGGAATGTGTCAAAGAGGGATAGAATGAGTGGGGGATGAGAGAAGGAATATTCTACCCTTGTAACTGTTTTTCGCAGTCAAACGGACCAAGGGGTCAGTCAAACAGCTGGCCCTTGTTTCGATCACTTAACGTTATTGACAGCTGGTTGCTGGTGTGATTCGGCGCTTCTATTGCCGATAGTACGAGATTGTGTGCACTATGGTGGACTATGTGTGGCTGTCATAGGCGCAGTTGAATGGCATGCATTCTGTGCTGATAGGCGCCGGTGACTCCGGCGCTTACCGGTAGAGTCCTCGGAGCCTCGTTGAGTGCAATACAAAGTTATCCAATAATATAGAGCTTTATAGCGGCAGCAACAAAGCCGATGCTCTAAACAGAAACGACGAGTCAAAATTTGCGGTGACTTGAAAAAGGGGCATGCACCAACCCGACTGGCGCGGGAAATAACGAAACTCCGAATTCCGTCTCAACGATCAGACGGGCCGAAGCCCCAAACAGACTTCAAACACGGGGCAGTGCCCATGGCGAACTTTTCAATCGTCTCATAGCGCAATCCTACGTTTCAACCGCGGTCAGGATAGATAGCAGACCGTGTGTTCAATGGACCGTAGACCTGTCCGCTCGAGTCAAGACTCGACTTGCATGACTAGCATTGGCCGACTATGGCAGAACAAGATGTGGTCAGGGACATTAGCACGCCTCAAATCTGGGAGCTCCCCGGATCGTCGAAGGAACTGGTCGTAGTATGGAGTATCCAACTCTGTAGCGCTGCCTGAATTCTTGATTGCAAGTCGGCGCTTAATGCGCAAAATTAATTTATAGACATGACAGCATAGTGTTTGAGGAATAAATAGCCCTTTATCTGAATAGTTATTCCTTAATACTCCGCATATATTGCGCTCTATACTCCGAACGAATCTTTATTCTTTTTTTGTATACACAGCACAGACCAGGTGCCATGCATAAATTTTGCCATCAGATTAAGAGCTCAGGTACAGGAATCCCGCAGCCTGATTGGACGATATCCCTCACTGCAGGGGGCGAACGAGCCATGTGTTTCACCGTTTTGGGTTGGATGCAGCCAGATTACAGGCATCGTATTATTGCGTATTATTATTGCTAGTCGATCATCTATTTTCAGCTCTGTTCATACTCGTATTTTTCCATATAGCACAAAGCATTAGTACAATAACGGAAGACAAAAGAGACAGTGAGTTAGACATGATACCAGTGAGACTTCTATTTGACACCTGCGATGATGGGATAATGCCTCGCCTTGCAGTTGTCTTGCAGTGTTTCTGCCAAGTCGTGGGCTCCGTCTGTATGCACATGTATTTGGCGTTATTGATGGCCTTGTATGCAAGGGTAATTGCATCAACATGGTCTCCTACAAGTACTACTCTGCAAGTACTGTATAGATAGTTACTTATTCTAGTATACGAGAGGCGACAGTAATACAAAGTACATACTTGTATATCGTCATGGAGGAAACCGCTGTTCGAGAAAAATAGTCAACCATGGAACAGCTCAAGTTAATTGGGGGATCGCAGATTAAGCCCGACACTCTATGGTCGTCATGATGTCAGGACCTGTCCGTGCCTGTTATATGTCCATAGTGCATATACCTAGCATGCCATAACTTCATTGTATAATAGTGCATAGCCATTAACTCTACTCGAAATCTATAATAGCACTACAGTAACAAGTACGCTTATAAGTACATGCAGGTACTTACTCAACAGTATTTGTACGTATGGTACCTGATAAAATACTCCGCATCGCCGATCCGAGCACCAACCGCCGGTGGCCTTGGCGGTCCACCTCCAGTAATAGCCAGTGATATACCGTGAACCAGATGATGAATCATGGGGGTGGGCCCTATGGCTGACACTAGTAACACAGTGATACCAGTAAATACACGGCAACGGTATTGTATTCACAGGCTCCTCTCTTCTCCTCGACTCTTCCTCTCCTCCATTCCTCTCTCCTCTCTCCCTCTCTCTTTTACTTCCTCTTCCTCTCTTTTTTTTTTTTTTTTTTTATCTCGACCTTTTCTCAACTTTCTTCGCTTCTTTCTTCCTTTCTCCGTCCGCTTTTTATTCACTTCGCTTTCTTCTTTTTTTCTTTTTATTCTGGTCCATTTTGTGGCCGTCCGCTCCTTAGAAAACTCAATCTCCTGATTCGTGTGCCTTGGAAAGAAAAAGAAATAACAAAAAAAAAAAAAAAAACAAAAGGAAACAAACACTGGCCGGTTCCAACAGCTCTCACTCTATATACTTACGCTCTTGCTTTCTTATCTATCCCTACGCTTCTCGCCAATAGAATAACTAATTCCTTGGAAATTCGCCCATCAACCCATTGGATTCCTTATCCGGACTACCCCCAGCTGGTTGGTTTGGATTGTTGATCGATCTTGCCGGAGAGGAGGGAATACAGCCAGGTCCATCCCAGGAATTCTCCCGGTGGACGTTCAATGGTTTTTCTGCAATTTTGAAGACCTCCAGACATTTCCGGGCTTTCCGTTCCCTCCCCTTCTGCTGGAAAGTCACTTTGGTCTGGAGGTCCCCGTGCGTGTGAGCCTTGTCCATCACGGGGTCGGAATTGTGTCGCCGTATTCACTGCCACCATGGCGTCCATATCCTTGCCTCCGCAGTCTCATTCCACCATGCTTTCCCAGGATTTCCATTCATCTTCCCATCCGGTTTTCCACAGACACTCCCGTCGCAATTTGAGCATGTCGAGCCCGCTCCCTAACCCTCAGTTCGTTTTCCCGGCACGCGATCCGGATCATTCCAATAACATTCCTCCATCGACATCCCCTGCGGTTCTGGAATCTCGGGGCATTCGTACTCCTCCATCGCTTCCCGCATTCTCTTTCAACCCGGGTTCCGTCCAGGCGTCTCAACCGTCACCACAACACTCTCCGACTGGCCCACCGACAAGCAGACCAACCGGGCACCGTCGACGTCCTAGTGAATTTGTGGGTGGTGATCGTCTGGTGACCCCACCAGTGGCTGAGACGAATCAGACAAAGGATGAGAATCCCCTGCAATGTCCAGAGAAACTCCCTGCGCCGGGGCCAGGATTCAGTGCCGGTGGTCCGGGAAAGCGTAGCCGTCACGCCCATCGTCGCTCAGCCGCTATATCCAGTGTTGATCTTACCGCCATTTCCAACGCATTGAATACCCAACCCGCCCTTGGTAGCGCTCCTGTTGTCCCCGCGGATAGGAAGCGGGATAATCCCACCTTCGAGGAGATCCCACGGCCCATGTCTCATTCAGCTACAAGCCTGCCTCGACGCTCACCTCCGGCATCCCCTACTGGTGAAACATCTGCATCCCAACCTAACCTCCCGGCTCCCAGTGGCTTCCTTGCTCCTGAGCAGCTCCCCTCTCCAGCCGTACCAGTGGAGACACCCGGAAGCACGCCTGGAATTCACCTGGAACAGACTACTAGGAATAGTGGACCTCCAGCCATTGAGATATCACCATCCAACGACGAGAAGCCCCGTGTTAGACCGAAAACTGCTGATGCGTCGTGGTTGTTTGACCAGAGCAGCAGCGGCACAACCGGCAATGGCACGCAATCGAAACGACCCCTATTGTCCGCCAGTCATACGCGGCACAAGAGTTTATCCTCTGGATTGCTGGATGTTGCTTTGAAGAAAAAGAACCACGCCAACGAAGATGCTCATTTGACAGATTTGTCCGGACGCTCTTCCTCCGATGATGACTCAGACACCTCTGCTGAAACCCATGAAGAATTCGCAGAGCAATCCTCGAAAAAGAAATCCAAGTCAAAGACGAGGAAGAAGAAGGTGCGGTCGTGGGCTGGCTCCATTCTGACGCGTGGAAAGGGCAAGCGGAATCCATCGAAGAAGGAATCCGAGGAGGACAACAACCCTGCACCGCCTGCCCTCACCAGGACAAACTCGGAATTAGGTTCGGGTTTGGATGTGGACTTTGACGATGATAACATGGTCGTCCTTCGGGCACCCACGAACATTGAAACATCGCCGAACCCTCCTCCCACTGATACCGGGGTACCACAGCCTACGCCATCGCTCGATGGTTCGTGGAAGCCAAGGAGCTTCTATGAGCAAGGTCTTGCAGATGATACGCTAACCCCGGTCATTGATCTGGATGCAGCGCTTGGCCCCTTCAATACTCCTGACATGCGTGCTGGGCAGACTGCTCCTAGTAGCTTTTCCGCTGCAACGAAGCGCATGTACAGCGGCGGACGACGTGGTGAATTCATTGGTCCCGAAATGCGTTACCATCGTCGTACGGAGAGTGCTCCGGAGATGCCACCTTTTGACCGCAATGCCCTTGGTAACCATCGGTTAACCGGTAGCTCTACCTTGGAAAACCCCGACGTCTTTTACGAGGAGGAAGAGGATGCCTTCTTGGCTGCCACGAGTGAACCCTCCCTAGAGGAGGAGCGACGAGTATCTCAGGCGGGCTCGGTTATCTACGATGCACCGTCAACTAGTGACAAGGACAGCTCTGATACGCTCACACGACAGCCTGCAGAAGAGGAAGGACCTCGTGCAGAGGGCCTGGGGATTCAGGGGAATGCACCGGCTCAGATTGCTGCACCTCTGTGGAACAACCTTGACAATGAGCGCTTTGAACAAGAAAGAGTTGCGGAGCAAGTACATGGCGCCAGAAACCCGTTCGCGAACCCGCCGCGCACTCCTGTTGATGTTATCAGGCAGGAAGGCTGGCAACACAGCCGGGCGCCGGCTCCCCCCAGTCCTGATGTCTCGCCTCGCTTCTTACCTGCCGATAAACGGCCATCGACATCCCCCCTTGATTTGGGTCCTAATATTCCCCCGTTCTCGCTTAACGGTGGCTCTTCCCAACCGACCTCGGGGTTCCCATCCCCTGTGTTCACCAACTCGCCGCCTGATGGTCCACGCTCAGTTACGACACCTTCAACTATGGACCGCACCTTTTTTATACCACCTTATAATAATATGTCGGCAGAGTTTCCCCATGGGTCAGTTGAGGATGTACCATCCTTGACGAGCAGTACTTCGACCTCCACGAATCCCTTGCAACGATTTTCTGCTACCTTTTTCCCTCGCCGTGGCTCCTCGGATCGCGCAGCGTCGTTTTCCGCGGCTGTGCATCGTCGCTCCAGCGCATCACATGCTGCGAAGAGATCCAGTCTTGCCAGCTTATCCAAGCTTGTCGTTGGCCCTCATGCCAACGAACGGAGCAAACTGAGCTACGAGGAGAAACCCCCCGGGGATGCGCCTGAAAAGGGCAAAAAGAAAGGCCGGGGGATAGGTCGTCTCAAGCATTTCTGGAGAACGAAAGACAAGGAAAAGCATCACGGGGATACCGACCAATGACCTACATAATCTAATAACATCCACCATCGCATGTCCGCTTACGGTTTTTCATCATTTGGCTTCGACACCTTCTACACACTTGTACATAGTCTTCCTTCTCATCCAAGGAGCTGCGGCATCTTGTCGACTGTTCTGACTTTTCTTCGATCTTGACATCATTTTGGTTGAGAAAACTTACGAATTTCTTTTTCTGGGAACGTTTTTAGCAAGCGTAAAGATATGAGCTTGTCCTATCTTTCATATTTTCTTGTCTCTCGTTAATGTCTGGTTATTGATCCATTGGATGCGATTATTGAGCCTTCTTTACATTTCTACTCTTTTTCTCTACTTTCTTTTGGCGGCTAGCATTGTGCAACCATTTTACTTTCTTTACTTTCTTTCATTTAGAGGACGGACTTTTTCTTTTCTCTTATTTTCATTCTACCATTGTCAATTTGACCCGACTGCGAGATACTACCTATTAGAGATAGTGAGGGCATTCTGATGAATTGGATGCGTTAGTCTGGTATATTTCAATCTAGATTTGCCTTGATAATGAATCAGCATTGCACGCTACAGCGATTGACTCGGATGTTCTGGCAAAACGTCGGTAAATATATATGACGGGAGATTTTATCCGTCTCGGATGATCTTTATATGCCTGAGGCATACATCGGATTGCCGTGAATGGTGAATCCGATGGCAGGACTGCACATGTCCTGCTGATCGATTCTTGTGTGTCCATGCTGCTGTTCTTTTCTAAATCCCTAGTATTTTCTCTCCCATTATTCTCTTCCATTTCTCTCACTCTCACAATCGCTTGCTTAGTCAAGCCGGCCTGTCGCGGAGCAACGTCCTCCGGAACGGAGATGTCGGCGACTGTTTGACAGAAGACATCGGAAAAGGGAACTCCGCATCACTTCAGTTAAGTCTCCGATATGTGCTCGTGGTGCTATGTCCAGAAGCGAGAGGCCTTATAATGATCTATTCTATATGCCGGGATTTCGGATGTTAAACCAGGATATCATTTCAATGTTTTTGGACCATCGGCGGATGTAAATGAAGTCAATTGCCGTAAACGGCAAACTGTCATGGGCGATATCAGTGTAGAACATGCTGAACATACAACATAGCGTTGCCGTGGCATACAATCACAATCAATCAATAATAGACTATCTCAATCTCATATATCCCTCTGTCCAGCATCGTAGTATGTAGCACTCCATACAGGTGCTATGTACTCCGGTATTATGCTGCACACCGGTGAAGCCCCACCGACATCATCCCCCACTTAGTAACCACCACCGCCTTCGGACCCCTCATCGCTTTTTCACTCTCTTCTCTCTTTTTTCTTTTCTCTTATATTTCTTCTCTTCATCCTCTTTTCTTTCTTTGAGATCAGCTGCAATTGTTTCTGTGGCTGTCAATTCTTTTTAAGCGGTGATCCCAAGGAACAAGTATGTTGCCCCTCTGTTGTCATTCTGATACAATCCTCCATATCCCCCTCTATCCTCAACCATCAACTCCCTTCCCTCTCTCTCCGTCACCTCTCAGCTAACAATCTTCAGCCGCCATCATGCCGTACTCCGAAGTTGACCAATTGGCCATCAACACCATCCGTACCCTTGCGGTCGATGCCACCTTCAAGGCCAACTCGGGCCACCCCGGTGCCCCTATGGGCATGGCCCCCGTTTCCCACGTCCTCTTCAACAAGTTCATGAACTTCAACCCCAAGAACCCTGACTGGGCTAACCGGGATCGTTTCGTTCTCTCGTACGTTCCCTTGATTTTGAATAAATGTAATGGTGGCTAACGATATCAGCAACGGTCACGGCTGCATGCTCCAATATGCTCTTCTCCACCTCTTCGGCTACGAGCTTTCCATGGATGACCTGAAGAACTTCCGTGTACGTTACTATCTAATCCAGTTCACCGAATAACTGTGCTGACTACTGCAGCAACTTGACAGCAAGACTCCCGGTCACCCCGAAGCTCACGACACCCCCGGTATTGAGGTCACCACTGGTCCTCTCGGTCAGGGTTTCGCCAACGCCGTTGGTCTTGCCATTGCCCAGGCTCAGGCTGCTGGTACATTCAACAAGCCCGGCTATGACCTCTTCAACAACTACACCTACTGCTTCTTCGGTGATGGCTGTGCTATGGAGGGTGTTGCCAGCGAAGCTGCCTCTATGGCCGGTCACTTGAAGCTTGGTAACCTCATTACCATCTACGATGACAACGGTATCTCCATTGGTATGTACCCTCATTATTCCCGCTGGAAAAAGGAAATGTGCTAATTGAGTAGACGGTGACACTAAGTGTGCTTTCACCGAGGATGTCATGAAGCGTTACGAGGCCTACGGCTGGCACACCGTCCACGTCAAGGACGGTGACAACGACCTTGAGGCCATCGAGGCTGCCATCCGCGAGTGCCAGCAGGTCACTGACAAGCCCTCCGTCATCAAGCTCACCACCACCATTGGTTTCGGTTCCAAGCTCCAGGGTACCGGTGGTGTCCACGGTAACCCTCTCAAGGCCGACGACTGCCAGGGTGTCAAGTCGCTCTTCGGGTTCAACCCTGAGGAGAGCTTCGTCGTTCCCCAGCAGGTCTACGACCTCTACCACCAGCACGCCGCCGAGGGTGCTGCCAAGGAGCAGGAGTGGAACCAGCTTCTCCAGAAGTACTCTTCTGAGCACAAGGCCCAGCACGATGACCTCGTCCGCCGTCTCTCTGGCAAGCTCCCCGAGGGTTGGGAGAAGAGCCTCCCCACCTACCAGCCCAGCGACGCTGCTATTGCCTCTCGTAAGCTGAGCGAGACTGTCCTCGAGAAGATCCACGACGTCGTCCCCGAGCTCGTCTCCGGCTCTGCTGATCTGACTGGCTCCAACAACACCCGCTGGAAGAACGCCGTCGACTTCCAGCCCCCTGAGTACGGTATTGGTGAGTGGTCCGGCCGCTACCTCCGCTACGGTGTCCGTGAGCACGCCATGGCTGCCGTCATGAACGGTCTTGCTGCCTACGGTACCGTCATCCCCGCCTCCGGTACCTTCCTGAACTTCGTCTCCTACGCCGCCGGTGCCGTCCGTCTCTCCGCTCTCTCTCGCGTCCGTGTCATCCACGTCGCTACCCACGACTCCATCGGTCTGGGTGAGGACGGTCCCACTCACCAGCCCATCGAGACCCTCACCCACTTCCGTGCCCTCCCCAACTGCATGGTCTGGCGTCCCGCCGACGGCAACGAGACCAGCGCTGCCTACTACATGGCTCTGACCTCCAAGCACACCCCCTCCATCCTCGCCCTCACCCGTCAGAACCTGCCCCAGCTGGAGAACTCGACCATCGAGTCCGCCATCAAGGGTGCCTACGTCGCCGTCGACGCCCCCAATGCTGCTGTCACTCTGATCTCCACCGGTTCCGAGGTCAGCATCGCCATCGACGCTGCCACCTCTCTCAAGGAGAAGCACGGTGTCATTGCCCGTGTCGTCTCTATTCCTTGCTTCGAGGTCTTTGACGCTCAGCCCAAGGAGTACAAGCTCCAGGTTCTCCCCGACAACATCCCCGTCCTCTCCATCGAGGCCGCCTCGACCATGGGCTGGGAGCGCTACTCGCACGAGCAGTTCGGTCTCAACCGCTTCGGTGCCTCTGCCCCTTACAAGCAGGTGTACGAGAAGTTCGAGTTCACCCCTGAGGGCATTAGCAAGCGTGCTCTTGCCACCATTGACTTCTACAAGGGTCACTCTGTGCGCTCGCCTATCAACCGTGCTTTCCAGCAGATTCTGTAGAGTTAGCATGTTGATGTCTTTTCTTTGTTATGTTGTTTCTATTTAATGGGTTATGGTAAAATGCGGATCTAGTGATTTATGAAACTTGATATCATCCAAGATCTAGAGGATGAACTAAAATACGATTCTTTATCTCATACAAATTGCCTACTGTACCGTAGTTTATGGAAATCATGATCCAGGTATCAACATCAATTGCAAAAATAAGCATTTTATCATCCATCCGTCAGTCATCTATGTCCATCCATTCATTCTTCAGCAATGCAAAGAAAGCAGTTTATGACTGCAAAGCCTTCCGCGCAAAGTTCGGCAGCACAAACGCAGCCCGGTGAATATCCGAGTTGTAGTACCGGCACAAACGCTCCTCCTCCTCACGCGACCAAGACCGAATAGGCTCGCGCACATTGCGCTCGGGGTCCTTGCAGCACACCATGAATCCAATCTGGCCCGACGGGTAGGTGGGGATGGTGGTGTAGGCGTATTCGGCGACGGGGAAGACCTCCTTGCAGGCCTTGCGCAGGTCGGTGATGAGCGAGAGGTGCAGCCATTGGTTTTCGGCTGTATGGTGTGAAATGCGTCAACCAGCCGAGCTTTCCAGGGGGAAAGGTCGGGGTGGTTTTTGCGCGGGATAGGTTAGCTTTCTTGATCGCAAAGATAGGTGTGGATCATGACTTGGGGAGGATTGAAAGAAAGGGAAAAGGTGTAGACAAAAAGAAAGGCGACGAACAACCTTGCGTGGTGATGACACCCCCATCTCTCAACGCATCCCTCAACAACTCAAAGTACGGCTTCTGGAAAAGACTCTCCGCGGGGCCCTCCGGGTCCGAGCTATCAGTGATGATAACATCAAACTCATTCTGGCGGTTCTTGAGGAACTCGAAGCCGTCACCAATGTGGACGCCCACGTTCGGGTGCTGGAAGCCAATGCTCATACCAGGGAGGTACTTCTTGGAGACGCGGACGACAGCCTCGTCGATGTCGCAGAGGATAGCCTCCTCGACAGACTCGTGCTTGACGACTTCGCGGAGGACACCGCCGTCGCCGCCGCCGATGACAAGGACTTTCTTGGGGTTGGGGTGGGCGTTCATGGCGAGGTGGGTGATCATTTCTTGGTACCTGCTCTTTATCAACACTCTGCATTTCAGACATATGCGGGGACAAGGAGAGGGAACGCACGAGAACTCATCACGCTCAGTGCACTGGATGACATTGTCGAGCACAAGGACGGTGCCGTAATCGCTGCTCTCGAAGACAAGAACATCCTGGTACTTGGATTTCTCGTGGTACAGGATCTGGTTGACCTTGAGGTTCATGGCCTGGCCAGGCCACATGCCGGACTGTTCGGAGAACCAGCCATCTATTCATTATCAGCATTCTCGTTGCTAGAGTAAAGGTAGTATGAGAGGTGGGGTACTCTGGATGGTGGGGTGGGTGATTTCGCTCATTTTGGGAGTAGATAGGAGACCGTATTGAAAAGGGGAAGAAAGACGAGGACGAAGAGGGAAACTGCAAAGTCGAAGAGAAGAAAAGAGAGAGGAGGGAGAGTAGCGCATAAAAAGAGGGAAAAAAGACGCGGAGGAAAAGCGAAGAGTTTTCCGCCGGTGGGGGTGGGGTCTGGTGTATGGTGGTATGGTTCTCTACTACTACGTAGTCACTATAGTCTTAAATAGTCTCATATAAAGAAACATGCGTGAATTGACTGAATTGAACATTTTCATATGACACTTCGGTCAATTGGCCAGTGACACAAAAAAAATATGCTCCTGTTCTGTAATACATACTACTACTCTCTACTCCGTACAATGCGCACTCAGCTATGCCACACCCCTTAGATAAGCAAATACATAGCAGAATACAGATACCAATCGCATTAATAGGCCCTGAAATCGCATTCTTCGCACCATTCCAATGGCTAATCTCTCGACGCTGATTGGGCCGATTGAAGTGCCCGAGGCTGCGACTCCGGAATAATAAACCGCAGAGGAAACATAACGGAAAGGAAGAAAGTAAGATCCCAAGACTCGATTGCGTTCTAGTAGGTACTGTACAATGCAATTCCCGTCCCCTAAATACCCTCACACGGTATACCTCATATATCAACGCATTTACTCGTCACCACCCTCGAGGAGACGGCCAGGCTTCGAGTTGAGGTACTCATTCCTAATGTCGTTAGCATTAAAAACCAATCCCCGCAATCCCCAATTTTTCGTTGAAGGAAATCTGGGCACAGGGACAGGGCGTACCTCTCAACAGCCCAGTTCATGGTGGCATAAGCGATCAGGAACGGAGGAGCCACGTAGAGAACCTGGTGACGGAAACGACGGAAGGTGTTAAAGATGGCGCTGTGGAAAGCACCGGCAAGAGGTCTCTGGCGGTTGGCAGAGAGGGAGTAGGTGGCGATCCGCTGGGGGGTAGGGCAGCCTGTCATGTCAGATTAGTATGCTGACTTGGGATGTTGTATGTGGCAATGCATGTGGTATTGTATGTATCGGGTATCATATGTCGCATGTTGGAGACTGAATAAGGGATAAATCCATCAAGGAACAGCTCGTGATTCATTGGGAATTTCGGGTTATGAGTTTGGCTGGTCCGGAGGTATGGGAATCATGATGAAGCTAGATTAACGTACCAAGGGCACCCCAGGGGCCAATGTAACTGTAGAGGACGAAATGTCAGCATCAGGACAGTCATATAACACAATTAGAATGTCCATATCGTCTTTTTCAAAAAGGCTTATAAATAGCGGCTGTTCATTGGTGCCGGAGCCCTTGAATCAACACAGCGCAAGCAATGTAAAAGATACAGAGAAAAGAAAACTCACGTTCCGTTCTTAACGTCAGCAGTGCCAACCATTGTGACGATTGTAATTACAGCACAGGGAAAGAAGGATGTAGTACAGCGCAAGAGTTGTAGAGCAGAAAGAGAGATCGCGGTCGGGTGAAGTTGGGAGGTTTGGACAACCCGCGCTAGTCCGCATCGGGACACTGCGAAAGGTCCGACATCACTTCATTCTCCAGTAAAATAATATACCACCACCACCTCCTCCCACCTTCACTCGCACCAACGCACACAATGGCTGCAAACGCCCTACAAAACCTCTACCGTCTAGCCATCCCCGTCGCCACGGGTGCGGCTATCGTCAACTCCTCGCTGTACGATGTCCGCGGCGGAACCCGAGCAGTCATCTTTGACCGATTGTCGGGAGTGCAGGAGACAGTGGTCAACGAGGGCACGCATCTTCTAGTCCCGTGGCTGCAGAGAGCCATTATCTACGATGTCCGCACGAAGCCGCGCAACATCTCGACGACGACGGGGAGTAAGGATTTGCAGATGGTTAGCTTAACGCTGAGAGTTTTGCACCGGCCTGATGTTCCCAAGCTGCCGACGATCTACCAGGTAAAACCCCTCCCCGAAATCAGTTAAAAATGATGATGGGCTGACAAGTCAGTCCTACGGCACCGATTATGACGAACGTGTACTCCCCTCCATCGGCAACGAAGTCCTCAAAGCCATCGTCGCCCAGTTCGACGCCGCCGAACTTATCACCCAACGTGAAGCCGTCTCCAACCGGATCCGGACGGACCTCATGAAGCGCGCCTCGCAATTCAACATCGCTCTCGAAGATGTCTCGATTACCCACATGACCTTCGGAAAGGAGTTCACTCGCGCCGTCGAGCAGAAGCAGATTGCCCAGCAGGACGCTGAGCGGGCGCGGTTCATCGTCGAGCGGGCTGAACAGGAGCGGCAGGCGAACGTCATCCGTGCGGAGGGTGAAGCCGAGAGTGCGGATATTATTAGCAAGGCGGTGGCTAAGGCTGGAAGTGGGCTGATTGAGATTCGGAGGATTGATGCGAGCAAGGAAATTGCGAATACGCTGTCGACTAATCCGAACGTTACTTACTTGCCCGGTGGTGAGGGTAAGGAGGGTGGAAAGAGCACGAGCATGTTGTTGGGATTGAGGGGTTAATGGGTTAAAAAATTGTGTTATGTTTACGTTCAGATGAACTACCTGTAGCAATAGCATGCATCTCCATATCTTAATACGTCTACAATCTTTTATAAAGATGGACCTGAAATCTCATATCCTCCAGCCCAGCCCCTTCGCCAACTTCGTACCGTAACCGTGCTGCATCTCTCCGCCACCATCTTGAGTCCTGCGACAGCACCTTTTCCCATTTGCCCTCTGCAACAGATAACAGTGTATGGTCCAGCAGGAACTTCATCGGATACTTCCGTTCCACCTTTTCTTCCGACTTGCCCAGCGACAAACTGGAATAACTCCCGGGGCTGTCCACAACAAGAAGCAGTGTCCCCGGCTCAACGACGTCGGTCGTGCGTAGCAAGAAGGCAGTCGCCTTTGCCATGGACGTGGAAAAGAGTTCATTCAGAGTGAACATGAGCGTTACCATGACCGTTCCCTGGCCGTAGAGTGATTTCAGCTCTCCTTCAGGAAGAGAAAGCACATCCGCTTTCTGGAACGTAACACTGAACTTATCCCGTTTACCATCCGGTAACAACGGCGCAGGATGTCTTTTCGACCCAGACACCTTCGACGACCGAATCGCACCATCCAACCTCCTAATAACACCAGACCAATCCGCGATATCGACCGCCGTTACCTTCAACTCCATCCTCCCCTCTCCCTCTCCTTCTCCCTCTTCTCCATTCATATCGTCTGTGGGTAAAGCGACAATATCCCTCCAAACCCCCGCCAACGCCACAATCTCCGCCCCAGCACCACCCCCAATACACACAATCTGCCCACCAGCACCTCTCCTTTCCTTATCTCCAGATAGAATACCTAGCACAGCCTTGAAAACACCCGCATACCCAAGTGTCCGACTCGCGCTCCATCGCAGCGCATACGCGCGCAGTAACTCCTCATTCGCATCTGTAAACGCAGAGTCAAAGTCGCGGTTGTAGAGGTGCGATTTTATCGTCTGGATGAGCGGTTTCACGTCCAATTGTCCTTCATCTTCGATCGCATCCCTTTGGCTTGCATCTTGTTTCCCATCTTGAGAAGTAGAGGTATTAGGAACAAGGGCAGACTGAAAGACGTTGAGGAGGAGCTGTTGGAGGCTGAGGGGGATTGTGTTGGTGGGGTTGTCGAAGGGGGTTTCTTCTTCTTTTGAATGCTGCTGCGGTTGTTGTTGGCGTTGGAACTTGTTTTCTGGGCCTTTTTTTTTCAATGGATTTGAATTGGGCTTTTTGGTGCTGGGTCGGGGTGGCATTTTTGCTGGCGCGCGGATGTTGGAATTGAAGGAGTTTTGCGGGGCCGAGGCGGGTTTGGTTCTAGTATGTATATTCAACCCTAACAGTGATGACTAGTTGGACAGATGCTGTTGACGCAATACGACTTATTTTAGTAACATTCAACCTATAATATTGAAGTTGCCATATCTCACTCTTTTCTATTAATGCGTGGTATATGCCGAATTCTCAGCCCAGAAATGTAATCTATAATCACGCCTCACGTACAAGATCAACCGTCGCACAATGAAACGACCCCCCAATACTATTAACATGCTGGAACGGACACCGAATACACTCCATTCCCAACTCCTCAAACCACCCCGCCGTCCGCTCATCCCCGGCCTCAACAACCACCTTTTTTCCATCCAACACCAACACATTCAGACACAACCACGAACTAGTCATATACAACGGTGGCTCATCCCTATCTTCAGGAATAAACGGGTAAGCACGCAGATCCCAGTCCGCAAGAACCGCATGCTGCCGCAGTGTATCCTCGGTGACTTTGTGGGGGTGGTAGATGAGCAGGCCCTCGCGGAGGGGGAGGATGGTTGCGTCGATGTGCATTGCCTGCGGGTCGTTGGAATCGAGAATCTCGATTTGGTAGCCTGGTGGTAGGTGTTGGCGTACGTAGTCTACGCCCGCTTGGTTGGTGACGTGACTGTACTGGCCGATGAGGGTGTGGCCGAAGCGCATAAAGTCGGCTGTGTCGAATGCGGGACGGCTGTTGTTTATTGCCCATTTGCCTTCGTTGTTGTCGAGGGTATCAGCGAAGGTGTGCGCGGGCCGTCGCACAATGCGTACCTGGGGGTCCTGCGCGAGGTCATCGAGAATAGGCGCGAAGCCGAGCTCGATTTCTCGTGAGCGACATTTCCATGCGAAACATGCTTCGATCAGGGTATTTCCAACGCTAATCAGTCCATCGCGCGGCATCGCACCCGTGTAGCCGTCTACGGCCAGCCAGTCGATGTCCTTAGGCGGCCGGTATACCTTGATGCCCTCGCTCTCCAGAATAGCGGCAAATTGATCTAACTCGACTTCTGCTTTGGCGATGAGGCCCTCGGAGAAAGGAGATTTGGTCTGGAAACGGTGGACGTGTGCAGAGGGCATGGTCTCTTCAACCATTCTTTTCGAAGCGCTAGGAAAACATGACTTTCCAGCTCGGCCCACAATGATGGCGCGGAGAGGGGACCATTCGTTGTCGGCGTGTACTGCGGGCAGGGCGGCCATGGCGACAGTAGGGCTCAAGATATTGTGAGATTCTCGTCCCGGGACTTGAGGGATGGCGCTTCAAATAGTTTCCCAATTCAGCTATGCACCCCGTAGTGGCCTGAGCGGCTCACCCCCGCATAAACTAGGCCTCTAATATGCGCAATGCTAGGCATTTAGCGGGGTATGCGGGATTCGTGGCTTGCTATGATTTAGCCAGGAGGAATCTGCAGCGAAGCTCATACCTCCATTGGTTGTTACTTCATCAGAAGGAACCCAAGTGTCATCTCGTGAAGTCATATTTGCATTTAGCTCAGCTCAGCCCAGCCCAGCCCAGCTCAGGCCAGTTCAATGAGCGTCATAGGTAGCGCCACCAGTAGCCTACTGTTATGGTTAGCTGAGATTGTGATGACCTGAGGGGGCGATATCAGCTAGATCTATGCATTCTTGTCCCACTATTGACCAATACATAATCACACAACCCCTCACCGTGATCGGTATCAGCCATAAACATCTCAAACAACCAGACAGCTAAATAACCATGACTTCCAGTTCAACTTCCTACATGCCACCAGAATGGCACCCCCACACCCAAATAATCATGGCCTGGCCCGGCCGCGCATCGCATAGCTACTGGCCACCAGGAAACCACGAGCAACTTTACAGCGACATCACCCGGGTTGCGCAGGCCATCGCAAGATTCGAAAAGGTGACTATTTACGTCACGCGGGCGCAGGCGGATGAGGCACGAACGATATTACAGAATTGCAGCGAAGAACAAGCTGCAGCTATCCAGGTGCGGCTTGTAGAGGATGAAGATGTGAAGCCATGGATGCGGGATATTGCGCCGACGTTTGTTACTTCGCAGGATGGCAAGTGTATTCATGGTGTTGACTTTCATTTTAATGGTTGGGGGGCTAAAGATCACTCTGAGAGTAATCGTGCGCTTGCCCGCCATATCCTGCATGATCTCCAGATCCCCAAGTTCCCGACATCCCTTGTGGCGGAGGGTGGTGCTATTGAGACAGATGGCGAAGGCACATTATTAGCAACGGAGTCCGCGCTGGTAAATCCAAACCGCAACCCAGACATGGATCGCGACGCAGTTGAGAACGAGTTAAAGCGCATACTGGGCTTCTCAAAGCTCATCTGGCTCCCGGGCGTGGCCGGCGTAGATACAACAGACTGCCATATCGACGCGTTGGTTAGATTCGCCGGCCCTGGTGTGGTTGTTTTGAGCCGCCCTCCTGCCACAAGAGAAGCGGTTTGGACGACTGTGTACAAAGATGCCCAGCGCATCCTGGCGACAGCGAATGATGCAAAGGGTCGCAGTCTGCGGATTGTGGATGTTCCTGAGCCTGATATCAAAGCTATCCCAGGAGCAGATGCTGAGATGATACCCAGCTACCTTAACTATCTTCATGTGAAGGGGGCGGTGATTGTGCCGCAGTTTGGGGTACCTAATACGGACGTCGGTGCTTTGAGGGTTCTGGGAGAGTTGTTTCCAGATAAGGAGACTGTTCCTGTATATTTGCATGGTTTGCCTAATGCGGGTGGTGGCCTGCATTGTATCACGCAGCAGGTTCCGTCAGTTGAGTTAGAAGCATAGTTGCCTGTTTTGAAACCACTGGTCATTGCACAAATATCTCGAAGCTAGTTTAAGAAAGTATGTACATGTAGTATCGCGTTGTAAACCTCAATCTTACATGAGATAAATTTCTCAGATCTCTTATGTAGAAGCAACGGTCAATAAAGAGGCATTAGAGCAAGGTTAACGCATCGTGTCCCAGCCATTGTAGTGCTGACGCTGTCTCAACCCACTGTCAGATACGTAAGAGACATGAAAGCCTCCCAGATCATTTCACCTTTTAACATCCCAGACGAGTTCTCATCTCGCCCGAAACAATGACCAATGACAGTCAACATGACCAGATCCGTGAATGAGGACTACTTTGGAAGTATCCCCATCATTGATCTCGCGGCATGGCGAAGTCCTGACCACAAGGAGCGTTCCAGCAATTGACACAGCGTGTGTACGATGTGTGCATGCATGTTGGCTTCTTATATATCAAGTTAAGGCATTCTTGGCTTCACTTATCTGGATAACTGATCCATCCTCAACCAGGAACATGGCATCCCGCAAGACCTAATCGACAACGTCCATGACGCAGCCCAAAGATTCTTCGCCCTCCCAAAAGAAATTAAAACGCAATGCTTCATAGACAAATCCAAGGTACTCACCCCCTCACCCACCTGCTAGAGCGACACCTAACTGACAGAAATTCCACGGTTTCATCCCCTTTCCACCGATCTCTCAATCGGCATTGGTCCAAACGACACTCAACCAAGAACCCAGGAACACCCTCCTACCAGACCCCTTCAACCTCTACGACTTCAGCCAGTGGTCGCGCGACGAGGAGCGTCCGGGCTTCCAATGGGAGGATTACTAGCGTACTGTGCGGCGGTACTGGAATTGTCAAGGGAACTGATGAGGGTGTTTGCGGTGACGCTGGGTGTGGGAGGGGTTTTTTGAAGATAAGATGAAGGGTCCGGGGTGTATGGCTAGGATGGGTGCATTATCCACCGCAGTCGGTTGGGAAATGTTTGGATGGGATTACTGCACATACGGTGGGTATACCTATTTTTGTTCTTGGCTTCCGGCAGTGAGTCGATGCATTAGGATTACGAATATATCACCGTCCTATCACAAGGTCTCAACAACAGCGGACAATGGGTATGCACTGACCCTATCCAAGGGACTTTGGTAGTATCTATCCGAGACTGTCTAGAAATGTGGTAAGCAGCCTTCCCCCCTCAAGACATCCGAATCCAAACCCTAATAACACAACAGGATGGGCAACCACTTCAAATCAATCATCCACCGCGTCTCAAACCTAACCGGCCAAGTACGCTACACACATACCCTTTGGTTTCGGTATAGACTATGACGTTACTTTCTCTGTTCTTGAGAGCTGCGTATCAAAGGAGTATCCGGCGTGTATGGCACCGGTTAAGGTGAGTGAGGTGAGTCTTCCTCCTTTCTACTTTGAGATAGGCGACGTGTAGAGACCAATTCAGATGGGAAGTATATACGTAAGAGGCTAAGGGGTATGCAGGATATGATATGGTGTGCAGCCGCCGGATGCGAGGGTGTGGAAGGTTGGCTTGCTAGTAGGAAGCATTGATGTTGGTGTAGTTGTCGAGGTGGAGGATATGGGGTAGTCACTGAGACTGATTATGCATACAGATCCCTTGGGTAATGCTTTGGATTAGGGCAGAGCTTCGCTTCAGCCGAGATACCCATTCCCAAAGTACAACCTACTTTGTAGAACAAGATCGGGTTCGAGTGAACGTAAAATCGAGTCGCATATGTATCCAGAAACGCTATACATAGAAAACACAACATTCCTCCCATTTTCACAGAAACTAGAACTCAAAACACATTCGCCATGAATTAAATCCCATATGAAACAAGGTGAGACATATATATACCAAGCGTTAAGCGTAAACCAACCATTAACAGAGAAAACAATAAACCAAATCGCCAGCCCAAACCAGGTATCATAAATAACAATCAAATAATGAAAAGAAACCTATACCATCCATATCACTCCAACCATGAGAAAACATCAACTCCCGCAACAGAAGAAAAGAAAACAAAGAAAGCTTAGACGGCCAACCGTCTCTCCCAGTTAGTCCCATCAACCAAACCGTAATTGCCCATTTCTTCCTCTGTCGGAATCACAATGCCTCGGAATGGATCCAACATGTTGGCGTGATCCTCCGGCGACATGTGTAGGTCCTGAAAGGCGACTCCGTCGTCAGAGCCACCGGCCATGCTATCTTCAGAGTAGCTGAGGACGCTCTGCGATGCCATCTCCTGCTTCAGAGGAATGTCGCTGCTCGTGGCCGACCACGCCTCCGGAGACAGACCCTGCATGTCCTGCAGTGCTGTCACGGGCATGGAGGTCTGCGGCTTTTGACCACCATACTCAGCGGTTATCGAGGCAAATGGGCCGGTGTCTTCGCCGCACTCCTTGCCGCCATAGATACCCGTGAAGATGTTCGAGTAGCCACGATCCATGTCACTCAGCACAAACTCCCAATCTGCCACTGTGATGGCGCCGTTGGAAACATCAGAAGGCCCCGAGCAGGACATGGCCCGCGAATGGTTGTCATACATGGTCGACGAAGGAGCAACTGGATACGCGCCTTGATAGTGAGGGCTATGGATGTGCTCGGGTTGCACCGACGGGAGGCTGGTCTGGCTGGAGGAACGAATATGGCGATGGTCGATAGACGGGCTCGCACCGCAAATGGTGGCCCGGCGGGACTGCGACTCCTGTCTCTGTCCTTGGTTGGGCATGCTGGCTGCCAAGCGTTGCTTCCAGGACTGCACCTGCTTCTTGGGAGACTTTGAAGATCTCTGAGCCGCTGCGCTCGTGTCTTGGGCTTTCGCGGCGCCTTTACCACCGTCCAGCAAAACCAGGGTACCGGCCACGTTGCTGAAATCATTTGCCGCGGACGCAGACTCAGACTTCAGCTGGTCGATGATAGTGGAAAGCAGCTTCTGGCTTTCCTTGGCGAGTTTGCTGTCTCGCTTCAAACCCAAAGTTTGCCACAGGAGACCCAATCCGGACATCAAGACGATTTCCTGTCGGTTCATGCTGACAGAAAGGCAGAGACGTCGCTCGTCGAGAAGCTCCAGAATCTGGATAATGTGCTTGCTCGAGTCCGACACTGCCAAGACCGAAGGAGAACGGATTTGCTCATCAGCAAAGCAAACGGCGGGGCGATGGACCAATGACCGGATGTAGTAGTACACCAAAGACTGCAGAGGTTAGTTATCAAGCATGGCATTATAGTTTAAAATGCACTCACCAGAAGCGGCGAGCGGCTACTCGTCACATTAGTGGCGGGCCTGTCTTGAGCAAACTCCAGGCGCAGGTGAGGAGGCAGGTTCTGCGCCCACTCATCCAATCGGTTCGAGGCGGCACGGAGCTTGGAAACATAGAGGTCGTATTCCGATTCGGAAGAATAAAGATCGCACAAAACCGTGTTCAAGATTCTCGAAGCGGCAAAGAGGGCGATTGCACTGGACAATCTCGTAGACTCGCCAGGCAGGGTGGGCAGGAAACCGGTTTCGGTAATGTTCTCATCGTCAACGTCCTCGGGGTACTCGGTACGGATGTCCTCCTCCCGCAGGAGGATCGGCAGACCAGTCATGGCCGCAGTCAATCTGAAACCGTTAACGGTGAAACTCGGACGGAAAGAAAGTTTGAACATACCGATCCAAGACATATTGGCACCAGAAGATCTTCTTACGCGTCTCACCAACCAAGGGGTTGCTGATGTGCTTTTGGCTCTGATGCAACCGCAGCTGGTGGCAGATGCCAACCGCAATACCTCGGTAGCGCAACAAACTAGTGTAATCGGCCTTGGTCATACAATGGATCTGTGCCAGAATGAAACATTGCAAAGTCGGAACGGAAATGTCGGTGGAGAGCAGCTCAAGGGTGGAGGTCCAATTCTTCTCGAAGAAGACGGGGTCCTGGTTGGTCCTCGACTGGACGGGATTAGTTTCCACACTGCCACGAGGGAGAAGTTTGACGGATATCACATACAATCGAGGCCAGCGCGGCAATTCCAAAAATCAAATTCAACTGTGCCAGGTTATGAGGAGTGTTTTGCATAGATTCAGCGTTTGTGAGGTATTGTTCGTACGCCTTGAGGATAGTCGGACGGTGGACAACTGGATAAAGAGGGGCCCATTCCTGGAAGTAGATGTTGATGAGCTGATCCGAAACCAGCCGAGGCGGTGTTTCGATCGTCTGGTGTCCCCGAATATGGCAAACGGCGGGCGGGGATTGGGTGAAAGATTGTGTTGAGGCCTCGGGAGCGAGTTTTCCTTGTTCGTTCAATTTGCCGGTTAAGGCGTCTAAAGATATTAGCGGTGTGGATCTCGACAGTTCAGAGGACTTTCGGTACTCACCAGTAAAGCCACGCGTGCTGGACAATCCACTGGCTGTCGGAGCATTATCCGAGGAAGCCGTTGATTGTGATGATGGCTTCACGTGAATAACTCCTTCGGCCGCGTCGGAAGCCGCCTTTTGAGTAACACTATCTGATGGCGAGGGCGCCTGCGGTGATCGTGAGGCAGCCTTCTGTTTTTGCTGTTGCTGCTGTTGTGATGGGGGTGAAAAAGAGTATATCCGGGACAACACATCAATCTTCTCGTCCTTCTCATCCAACAAACTCTTCAAATCGCGCGTTTCGCACTCCAACGCTCGCACACGTTCCTCGAGAGATTCTGTGTACCCCCGAGGGAAAGCTCGACGACTGAGCTTGTCGCTGGTTTTGCATTCAAAGCCAACATTGGCGCACTGCGAACAGCACGGTCGGACTCCGTCGCAGCGGATCTTCTTGCTTCGACAGCGATCACAGGCCTGGGCGATACGACTTTGACTGCCGCCGCCGACTTTGATGACTTTCATAGGCAGGATTCCAGGCATTTTGGAAGTCACCTGGGCATCCGCTGGTATGTGGTATAGCGGATCGTATATGGAGATAAGTGTGTATAGACTCGAGATTCGTCAATTCGTGACAAACAGTACAAACAACTCTCTTTGAGAGTAAAAATTAGGAGAGTGGAGAGGATCTAGAAAAATAGAAGCAAGAAAGAAGATGAGAAGAGAGGAGAGAGAAGAGAAGAAGAGGGAGAGGGGAGTTACAAGTAAACCTCCGCCTGACTGGGAGAACTCCCGAACCGGCCAGGGGCGGCGGGTTTCTCTGGGCCACTGGAGTCACGGGTGACCACGCGAGCCAATCAGAGGGCATCGCCCCACATGATTCGCTGCCATCTGGAGTGTAATGACCGTATTGTAATTTATACCCTGGGTGAGTGCTTGGAGATTCTTTTCTTTATTGTTGTATTCTGCTTGTGTATAGATGGCAAGAGACAACAGCACCCCTGTAACGGTGGTAGTATACTAGTGGTGTTCTATACTCTGACTCTGGTGCACTCAACACGTACACACAATCCTCAAACCGCTCACGACGATCTTGATTTGTTGAGGATCTTCATCCGCCAGTCGATCCAGAGGGGTCCAAAGCCATGGGAACAGGTTTTGTGCACCGTATTTGTACGGAGTACTCTTGTAATATAAATGAATTCGGTAGATAGCGAGAGAAATCCGGGGAACCTCATGAATTGGCGGGATCAAACCAAAGGCAACATTTTACATCTCATGACTCTGTCAAGTACATTGCATAGTGAATCTCACGGTACAGTACATGGTACATGGCATCGCACATGGTTGACCACAGTTGCAAGCAAAGCATCCGACTTGTACCGCCTTGGCTGGATCATAGCCATATCATCGGGCCAATTGTCAATTGCCACTTCCCCGGTCGTTCGCAGCGCGGGGGATCTGAGTTTATTGCTCGTTTATGCAGAAACAAGGATGTGATGATGTATGTAGCCTGCTTATCTTCATCATCCATACCGAACTATTGAAATGGTCATGTTACTACCAGACTTCTGGTTTTCCTTTACTCTCCAGACAGAGTAATACTCCGTACATTATCATTAGTCCGGACTATGGAGTACAGTAATGCAATACAGTCTCCAAATTTCGTGGAGAGAACCAAACAATACTCCCACGTTGACCAGCAAATCACCCGCCACGAATTGGTCAAATAGACTCATGTCTTGTAATCTGCAAAGTCGTATTGGGTTGCGTTTGGGCCACCTCGCGAGTTATTGCCGACCCCGAGTCAGCACCGAGCGAGTTTGGGCCGAGAAATTTACGGAGTGGGGTTGATCTGTCTATCAGAGTTGAACTAGGCAGGTCGTTTCGTGTTCCGTATTCTTGTTCTTCGCGTTGCACGGTACTTTGTTAAGGCAGTATATCCTAAGAGTGTAGTTAACTACATACTACTATATATGGTGTCTGTATATTTCTACTCTGTAATGACGTCGCGGGTATCAAGCCTTGTGGGGGTTCTGCATCGAATCCCTCTGGCCAATCATATGGGCTAGTTTACACGCCTTGCCACATTGGGCCATGTCGATGGTCTAGAATAGACGTATTGGGATTAGCGCTAGCCGATTCGGTGGGGGTTTCGTTTTCTCGGGAGGCTCCGGACTGTATTCGCTGTAGTACACATAAACGCTTCCTGATCGGGAGTTTATTCTTGGATTTTCCCCCATCCTCGGTAGTTGTTTTAATGTCTCACTAGGATAACCTTGGGGTATGCCACACTCTCCCTACTGGGTACCTCGGAACATACCGCTAATTCTAGTGAGCCGTTCAGACCTCCGGGTCCTTTCCGACTGCGGAGAGCGAATTGCTCCGAGGACCCCGGGGTATGGAGTATGGAGTAGGTCATGTGTTATGGATGGTAGCATCATTTGGGCATTGCAATAAAGCCAAGTTTCCGCGAATGGCTGCGGGTTCAGATTTTCGGGTTCGTTGCGGTGAACATATATGATCTTGATATCTCCGTGAACAGTTAGATGTCTATGGACAAAGACAAAAGGTTGTCGAGTCACTACAGGCAGAGCATTGATTTTCCATACTACAAATATTTCTTGCAGACGTCATACTTGCTCCAAACAAGACCACAGTGACTACTAGCATCGCTGATACCAACACCATGGCAACTAACCTACAGAACGACGAAGAAGGCGCCATAGCTATCCATGACGACAGCACTGATAGCCTCGCAGTACAGGCGTTATCGAATCCGTCCAGTTACTACATGTAAATTTGTCTTTGGCGACAAGGGGCAAACGCAACGTCATGTCGAGAAGGATGAAATCCGGTCTGAATGTTCACATTGAGCGGGGTTCTCCTTCTCTGGAGTGATGCCCATGAATCTGCTAGAGTCCCAGAAGCTCCATGGGCGCACTGGTCATGGGTCCTTTTCGAACCTTTGAACGGATAGCCTGGGAAGAACAGGGGTTCCAGTTGGCTTGCTGGCTGGTACTTTTGAGATCAGGTTGATGAAGTGGCGAATGAGACTAGAGCAAAAGGAGTACGTGCTGAAGGACGACCTGGAGATGGTGTTTTGGGACCTTCTTGGTGACATTGAATACACTGTATAAGCCAATGGCTCCAAAAAATGAGCATAACTGTTGTTACTATTAGTTCTTATCATTCAACAATCAATCCTCTGCAAGTAATACTCCGCTTTCAACTCTTGGCACATGCCAAGACCGACGAAGTAAGCAATCGTGAGATCGACTTCTCCTCGATCGATCCCCAGCAGACATGCTCAATTCATCCACCTCCAATCCATTGTAACCATTGCAATCATGAAGCGTGAACATCTCTCCATCGAGAGTCTCCCCGCCTGGGCACGACTCAACGGCATCTCCGTCTCCCGTATCGCATTCAAACGACTTCAAATTGATGGAACCGACAAAGGATCTGCAATAATAGCGGAGGGGAGACAGGATTCTCACAGCAAAGACGTACTATTGCAAATTCCCTCCGATCTAATCCTTTCGTTAGAAGCGGTGGATACATATGCCAAATCCGACCGTTATCTCCGCGAGGTCTTGGAAGCGGTCGGGGGCTTTGGAAAGGTACTATGTCTCTTATCTAATTGGCATTGACGTTGTGCCTACATTCTGACAGATGTACAGACGGCAAGGGGCGCAATCCTTATCTTCCTCCTAATCCAACTCTCCTACTCGAGCCCGGACTTTGCGAACGAATCCCAACGAATCGGCCTCTCGAACCCATGGACCGAATACGTCAAATTCATGCCCCCGTCGATTCCCCTGCCTACAACTTATACAGACGAGGAACTGGAGCTCCTACGTGGGACATCTCTTGCGTCAGCGGTGGATGCGAAGCTTGCCTCTCTCGATCGGGAATTCACAAATCTACGAGAATTCACGGACCGTATATCATGGTGTCATAAGCATTGGTGGGGAGAGGAGACCGGGCGGTTGACGCTTGAGGATTGGAAATATGTCGATGCGGTGTACCGGTCGCGCATGGTGGATTTGCCTGGAATTGGGCATTCGATGGTCCCGTGCGTTGATATGGCCAACCATGCCCCTGAGAATGCTGCGAAAGCGCGATATGATAAGGATGCAGATGGGAATGCGGTTCTTGAACTGCGTGGGGGGAGGGAGCTTTCGCCTAATGAGGAGGTTAATATTTCGTGAGTCCCCTTTTTCGCGTACTTTTCCGATCAGAGCATTGATGGGTGAAGGTATGGCGATGATAAATCGGCATTGGAGATGATATTCTCCTACGGGTTCTTAGAAGGTGAACGAACAGATGCGAACTCATTAGTACTCGACGTGGACATCCCCGACGACGATCCCTTGAAACCTGCAAAGAAATTATACTGCAAAAAGCCCCCAGGCATGCGCCTCAACACAGCACCTGGCTCAAAAACCACCACCTGGGACAGTTCCCTAGTCTGGTGGGCTTGCGTCAACGAAGAGGACGGTCTCGACTTTAAGGTCTTGCAAACAACCACCGGAGAAAAAGAATTGCGCGCAGTATGGAACGACGAAGAACTAGGAGACCCCGATGACCTCGCTAGCCTGATATCGGTAGACCCGCTCTGGGACGTCATCCAGTTGCGCGCCGTCGTACTAATCCTAGAACGACTGGAAACACAACTACAAACCCTTCGAACAACGGAAAAAGCAATCGGCGAGATTCGCCGTGAGGAGAAAGAAGATAACTTGCGGCCTACATTCCGGCCTGAGATTTTTCGGACTGTATCGAAGTTGCAGCGGTTAGAGGGAGATTTGTTGGAGAGGGGGATTGAGGATCTTACGCGAAGGGTAGGTTGCGCCTACTTCATTTCCTGGACTGCTCTATATATACTATGTGTGCTAACTTGCGCAGAGACAAGAACTGTTGACATCTGAGGTGGTTATTTCGTACCTCAGCCAGCAGGCTGCGGAAATGGGTGAGGATTTCTCATGAGTTTTGCATACTGCATTCATCTGGGCATTCTATTCTGTGTATACATTAAATGGTTCGACGTAGTCATGAATCTGCATTTTTTGTTCCTTCCAGAGTACACGAAGCTGGAAGTTGCAATCATTAACCTGGACACTGTACAATTCAACTATATCAATATTGAACCTGTCACCGTAAGCAGTTATAAAAATGGAAGTTTCTACAATGGAATGCGTGAATGCGTTTGCATGTCTCACATGACCTAGCCAGGAGCTACCACTATCCCATATTCTTTCGTACTTCCAATTATCCTCCTTAACCCACTTTCTATCACTATAATATCTCCATCGAACTATATATTCTTATTATATATACCCATGATATCCATGGTCCAGAAACCAAATTCAGATTCAGATCCAGATTCCGCTACGATGCTCAGTATATAATCAAAACGAAACATGCCTCCTATCTCACTATATATCCTCAACTAATTTATATCAAAACCATGTTCATGACCAGGACAGATAGCGCCCTCCATCATCGGCAGCCTTACGAAATGCCAACATATCATAGAAACAATAAAGATGGGCAAGGCAAAAGATGAAAAATAAACCTTGAGTGCCATGGATAAAGAGGGAGAGGCTGGGCACAGCATCCAAAGCAGCCTCCGCATATCTCAACGGGTCTTCTTGGTATTGTTGATATGTATATATGCAAGTCATGGAACGGGGGTATTAGGATAAGCGCTCGCATTGCGCCTCGACCACTCGAGCAAAGAAGACCTGAAGAATCAACTGAAGGAATTATAGAATCAGGTAGAAGATATGACGGCGATTGAATGGATGAAAGAAGCTTGTCGACGAGGGCTTGCAGCTGTCTCGAAGTCTGGACGCACTAATGAGGTATATCATGATTCACCTTACTTTTTATATCAGTTCCTTGCTGAAGGTAGCAGACTTCTCGAAGCGCAAAGAATACCGGTTATGCTATTCCCCGACGATAAACGCGACTTTGGTATTCAAGACAAGAATGCCATGGTCCTTTAGCCTAGCGGCCGTTCTTCTCGAAACAAATATTCTTTTACCAAATCCTATCGCCATAGTAGGACCGAGCGGAATAGGGAAATACTATGTCGTCTTGCGTTTGTCGTCCTTTACCGTGATCTGCCGCGGAAAACTCGTTCTGGATTGCAGAAAAGTGCTGGGACAAGGCATATGTCAAGCCTAATTTCACCGATGAGGTCCCAACAGCTATATATGCAGTGGTAACGACACGGCATAGATATTCAGGGAATGTATGCTGCAGTTGTAAAACCAACGAATTAACTATATTGCATCGACCGGTTTACAACTTTCATCGACGCAGAATTGAAGGAATTGAGATCATAAGAATTCGTGATTTCAACTGGCTAGTCAGCTGGAAGCACCTTTCACTGGGGAAATGGATCTGCTGAGCAGTCGGAGATTTTATGGTTGGTGGGAAAGTGTTTCCTTCCTGCTGTGACCGGCTTTCGACCAGATATCAAGATATCGATACCGCCAACTATAATGACATACTTCCAAGTTGATATACTGCACATGGCTCATATAATGCCAGAACCAATCAAGTTCGCTCCGATCAAACCGTGCTCTACGTATCCGGTGCAAAAAACGGTGCCTAGGAAAGCGTCAGGTGTGAGTTACTCATTATTAGACTTTTCCCTCTTAATCCAAATTTATGGCAATTTCTTTGCCGCTACAGAGTGCCGGGGCTGGCATGAGCAATGCATGCCATAAGAGCGCACAGAATTCAATTTTCCAGCACCCTCGGTACAGGTGGCAGAGTACGCAACATGACATGTGGTCAAATACTTAAAAAGAGTCATTCTAGGGATGGTCGAAGCCCGAAGAAGAAAGACAGTTTGCAACTATGTCCCTTAATGAGATGTGCCTTTACTTGTGCTTGCTCAGTAAAACTTCTGGGAACGTTTCCTGAGGTGACAGACATCAACGCCGCTTATCTTCGGCGTGCTGCTGCCCTCTTGGCGAACCGACACACCCATTTGTGCTACTCCCACATCCGGCTCGCCTGCTCCAAAATTGGGATGAAAATGAACGATGCGTCGGCCAAAACACATCTCTTTTGTTCCATCATGTTGTTGCCAATGGAGACAACATTGGAAGCGCCCAAGGCGGCTGATAAAACGAAAATGTGGCCCCGATTGTCTGTTCGACGAAAAACTGCTGAAGATCCTCTCAGAATCTATCGCTTCGTACACATGTCGTTAAACGAATTGGTTTCACTCGAACATCTTTTGTTTGGATATATGGCACGTGTCTGCGGACTGAAAGCGTCGATCTTGCTACTCTTAAAGAAGCGTGGAAAAGGAATGGCTCGATCATCGCCCCCCAGCTTATAGGCTGATGGGAGAGTTACAGAATCCTTGACGTCGTGACTGTGGAGTTTGGCTGCTACTTGTATCATCAACATCGAACAAATGGAAGGGCCAATTATGGCTGGCTGTGGTACTGTCTACTTCGACCTGACTCTCGCTACCTTTTCGTGTCCTACCCATACTACGCAAAGCATGCAATCTCTGGAAATCGCACTTGGTTCAGGCACATAGACGTTAATGTCGCCAGGGCTGCTGGGACTTGGAGAGTGGGTACTTGAGCGACCAGCTCACCATACGATGCCTCTGGATACTTCAGAAACTTACTATATCATATTACCAACAAGGATCAGCAATTAATGTCCGTGAATGACCCTTGGCGTGACTTTGTATAGGATAGATAAGCGATGTAGGGGATACAAAGAAGGGCTTGAATGCTGCTGGGAACTCTTCTTTAGATTTTATTTAGGAAATGGTTTCTCTCAACTTGTCGTTTTGAGTCGACGATTGACATGAATGAGTACTATAGTAAATGAATGTACCGATATGATGACAGAATGCTCGATGACATCTTGAAAACGACAAAATGCACCAGAAGTTGAGCCGAATTCAAATGGCGAAACTGGCACAAAGGCAATCAGGGACTTGTGCAAAACACGCCGGAGAAGTCATTCAATGGTCAACCATATAATTCGGTGAACTCTACAATATGCGAGGGCACACATCAATGATATACGAGTATATTTTTGAGCCACTTGGTTGGGTAATAAGAACCAGTGTCTGTCCAGGTACATGACCTAGAGCTCTTCTAGTCGGTTGCTTTACGCTACCTATAGGTACTTGAAGGCTCCCTTCGGCAAGTTTGCTAACACTGGAACAACATGCATGCCGTTGGATTCACGAAGCTATCTCTCTCGGTGACTAAATTGGAGCTATTAGTCTATAACTACCGTACAGTGCATGGTCACATCCGATAAGCACTTGGCTGAGCACTATTGGCTATACACTATTTTGTCACACAGAAAGTCGCTCGATGTGACCCGATCACATACCTTAACGTCCTGCTATTGAGAGACTATTCAAGCTTTTGGTTAATATATTGTTCTTGATTTTACAACCCCGAAACAGATGAAACCTCGCCAGAGTATTGGGCAGCATCTTTTCACATGATGCATAAAACCATAAAAGAAATGTACTCATAAGATTTTTTTTTGGACTAGACCTATGCCCACAATTGACTCCCATTGCCCAAAGCAAAAACCTCAAGATTGCCGGGAACATGGTGGTAGAAATTTTTCCATACTCGGCTTGATCGCATAAGAAATCAATATTGTCTGCCTCCTGGAGCCCACTGGTAACGATCTGGAAGCCGTCAGTAACATGCCTGTCAATGAAACTGCTACAGCCCCTGCCTCTACTACAAATACTGGAGACCTTAGTAACCATCACTAAGACTGAGGCCCTGACAACCACTGCAAATATGACTAGTAAGAGAGGTGCAACCCATGAATCTGCAATGGAGGCTGGGGAGGATCTGGGTACTACTGGCAGATACCAGCCAGTGGCGAACACACATACTGTAAATGACAAGGATGGTGCTGAGACCAGTAACCTTGTAATTGATATAGCGATATCTATTCGAAACAGCATGCAGGTTTAAAACCACTTGTTTGCCGTCGAATAGACTCTTACCGGATACTATATGAAGTACCCAGGATCATTAGTGGAGCCGTTTCATGCCAGTGCCATCTAAAGAGGCCCATGGGCTAGTTGAGCCATTGGCATCAATCAACTGGAACGACAGATCTGGTATTTTCCCAGTGTACATCCCCTGACACACAGACACTGGATAGACTTGTCTCTAGCAAACTTACTTTTTCGACCCTCTCATAGCATCACCCGATATGGGACGCTCGAATTGAAGCTGAATAGGGCTCAGCAGGAATTTATTTCATCTGTCTGCGTTTGACTAGGAGAGGGCCATCCGGTCATAGCGAGGAAACATTTGGGTCTCTACAGAGCCCAGATAATCTGGCTCGGACAAACAGTCGTATCAGTAGCCTCCTTAGAGGTAAGTGATTTCCACGGTCGAACATATCTTCTAGCACATTTTTAACGAGCCAGGTAGAACACTGCCATGTTGCAGGCAGGCACTGAGTGGGCGAGGAGAGATACTATACTGCACACATGCAATCTTATCTGCCTGAAGATCTTTGCCTCCTGAACTCTCACATCTCTTTTGGATTACGAAGGCTCTATGGAGCATTTGCCATCGACGAATGCGTACAAGAAGCATGTCGACAGATAGCTTGATATAAACTTCGTATACTTCTGCGATAGGCGCGAGTGGATTTGGAATGCTTTACTTCGTCTCAAATTAAGGACTAAAATCGTTGTCTCAGCCTTATTGATGATAGCATCGGTAGCTATATCTTATAAGATGACACGGAAAGAGACCTTGATTTGCTACTCAAAGGCTGAGGATTAGAGCTGATTTATAATTTGGTGGACTCGAGAGGGCTGAGCTTATACTTTAGATCATATCGAATTGCATTCAGTAGTGTGAATTCGTGCACACCCAAAATACATGGGAAAAGAAGATAAATTTGGGGACTCTTCACGTGGCACCCTTACAGCCACAAATGTATGCTATATGCCCAAATTTATGCCAGTCGTCCTCACCGCATCTCCAGGTGCCCTGCGTTGCCATTATCCTTTTGAGCAGCCAAGTACGGCTTCGCTTGAGAGGAAGGGGGTCGCAATGTAATGGTGTGATTTTGGCAACAAGCTATGTTCTGATCAACAATGGCTCACCGGAGGACCAGGCCATTGGGGAGATGATGGCACTCGTGGAGTGCAAACAGGAGAGAGGGTACCAAGTAGCTTGGATGAAGAAGAGACCAGACCAAGTAATGGAGGGGCTTCTGCAGTAAGGATATCAGAAATTCACCATTTACATGAAACGTCTGGCCATATTATCACAGGCGTGCAATTGCATTTCAAGATCTCGACCACTTGTACCTATCATCCTAACCTGCGACTTTCCATGAGACATCATGGGCCAAATACATCCTACACAACAGAATATGCAAGACATGCACAAGCTTCATACCATCTCATCCATCACATAATGCTTGTGGATCTGTCAGACATGGTGGCATGACCAGTCACACTTGGAGTTGCGAAAATAGCCGGGTGGAATGTTGGATGGAGCGCCAGCTCTGACCGATAAAGTCCTTTTTGGTTTCGCAGTTCTGAACAATTGTTAGATATCCTTTCGACGAAAGAATCTTACACAGGCACCTTCTTCTCTGGAATAACCCAGATTGCTTTGTCGCTATTTTAGCAGCTTGGGCAACGGGCACCGGGCATCTGGATTACAAGGCACGACTCGGGGAGGTCGGTATAATTACAAGTGCTTATCAGCGTTATGCCGATTAAGGGTTGCCTTCGAAAGGTTTCTTCGCAAAGAGCACCGCCTAGGCACTGTGTGGCTGATGACGAGAAGCTTGAGACTACCAAGGGCTACAACAAGCCAAGCATCCTAGATTGGGTTCTGTTGAATATGAATTCTCGGCAGAGAGCCAAACAGGCTTTCAGTCAACTACCATTTCAACTCGCGACACCAGCCTTTCCTCCCGCTTTCTCTTTCTTTACGTTTCACGAATTTCATCCAGATCTGAAAATCATATTTGCGTCATGAGGAAGTTGCTAGAACGCGTTGTCAGACTACAAGTTTATCTACATCGTGGTGTTGAACCTGAAGCTGTGGACATGACCATCTGGACTACAGATTTGTATTTTGGAAAATTACGTCCTACGGCTTGGAGATTAGCTACCAGTCGCAGAGGTTTCAAGGCGGCTAGACACCACATTCTATTGCATTGCGAGAACAGCTGAGCTACGATCTCACAAGCCCATGTCGAATTGTCATCAAGAAGTTAAAATCAGGTTAGCATTAGCAAGGCATAGCAATCTAGATTGAAGTGCATCAGGCATTATAAAGTGCGAACCTAGTGGACAAAGCGCACTCAGGATGTACGCGAGTGCACGACATCATTTATACTCGAGCATCTTACATACAAAGACAAGAACAGCTTCAACAGTCCAATGTGGAAAGACAGAAGACAGGCAACAATAGCCCATTCATGGATGATCGGAACTCAAGGGTAATTAATCATTTACGATTTTATCCCAAGCTAGTACATCAACCTAATCCAATACAATATATTCTGTCTACCTTATGAAATAAAAATGACTACCCCATAAAATCACTCTTCTCAACATCGTCTGCCTCCCCAAACCCATCATCCTCCTCCTCCCCCCAAGGCCGTTTTATCTCCTCCCCAGGCCAAATCTTCTCATACAATTCCCTCACAACCCCCCACTCATCCTCATAATCCCAATACCCATCACTCCTCAACCGAAACTCCCCCGGCGCAAGCATATACGCCCTGAGCAACACACAAGCAACAACCTTATCATACGGCCTCCGGTTCGTCTTCACATTCCACTTCCGATTATCCCTCGACAGGATTAGATCTTCGTACCCCTCATCTTCGGCGCCGTTAAGTTTTATACCCTTTTTTATGTCGATGAGTGGCGGTTGGGGAGGGATTTCTTCGTCGGTCGTGTCTTCTGCGTCTGCCGGGGTTGTGGTTAGGGTGGGGTCTTCGCGTTGGAGGGGGATTTTGGCAGTGGAGATTATGGAGGGGACATCATGGATTAGTTGCGGCCAGGCGCGGGTCCACTCGGGAGAGTCCCAGTTTTGGATGCGGTAGTAATGTGTGTATCTAGCGCATGCGTTAGCATGTGCGGTGCAGGGTCATTTTGAGGGTGCTTGCCCCATTTTCTTTTGATACCAGTAACTCGTTCTGATAGTAAGTCGAATCGAAAGTGACATACTTGTAGATGCCAGTACAAGACATTTAACTATAGATCTATCTAACGGCTTTCCACTCCGTCGGGTCCATAACCATGATCGAACAATGCATCATCTAGCCACCACCATAGCTAAATGATGGATAACTAATTACAGAATATTATTCAAGTACATTCAAGTCCTACCATACTATTATAAACCTCCATATTATATACAAGTACACCGTACTCGCGAATATGTAGTCTCTTAAGCATGAATAATAAGCATGTGGATCCCGACCGATCCCAGTGGATCAAAACACGCGCGATGATATCATGATCCGCTTCGCTACACAACCCGTAACTGAAATCTCCGTATTTCAATACAGTGGCTTTATTGTACTGTATTACAACACCCATATGTATACGATACATACGATACGTACGCATATGGAGCCTCGATAGAACAGAGCACAGGCATGATGGAGCCGTTTTTTCAGGGGTCAGGAGATAAGTACGGAGTACTATGCATATGGTTTGATATATGGGGAAATTTAACTAAAGATAGTTTATTTGATTTGAAATTGTCGGGGATGTAGCTATTAGCCACTGCACCGCCATAATCCTACGATCCGGGGTAAAGCTCAATTACTTGCAAAGTGATAATAATTATTAACATTCTATGTAAGCTATTTGTACAATTCCCATAGTATACAATCCCCAGTCTTTGTACGAAGAATCCAGTCTGTACACCATGCCGACCCAATGCAACACAATGAACAATCTCAGGCGTACATGCAACACCTGCAGAGCCAAACAATAATATAGTACATAGAAGGATCAGCGAAACGACTTCATAACATGATCATGACAAGAGCCAGTCTGCCTGCCCAAACGCGGTTTTTTATGCAACACAAAAGCGAAATCTAATCCCAAAATGCAAAAGAATAAAATAATGCTCGCTTGCGACCCGAAAACGAAAAAAAAATGAAAATAAAAATAATATAAAAAGACATAAAAGGGAAAATCATTAAAGCTCTAGGGAAATTGAAGTGACGTAACGCGTGCTCATCGTTTTCCCCGTAGATGTTGGGGAACCCACTGACGTCATTGCGGATAGTTCCAGGTCAGAATTGAAACGGAAGGTCAACCCGCAGATCCGGACCCATCAGCGATCTATTCCCCAAATAGACTATTCATGACGTCAAAGGCTTTTAGGTTATCCACATTGCGTCATAACATCGATCGATCAATGCAGGACGCTCGCTCGGACCAAGAGGGACTTTACTCTCTGCCTCTGCGTCGCTGTTTGCCAGGCCAATCGACTTCAGGGTGTACCACTCGCATATGCCGTGTCAATGCATCGTTCCGCGAGAAGGTCTTCTCCTCAGTACAGAGGTGACAGCGGACCTTCTGCTTACGTGCATTGTGGATCGTATCTTCGTGTCGTGTCAAATCGTAAGGTCGAGAGAACACTGAATTGCATGGCTTCCCCGTAGAAGGGTTGACTCGTTCGCATTTGTGGGGGCCAGCCTGGGAGTTGCGGGCCGATACATCCCGCGTCAGAAGGTGGCCACCGGGGGTGGTCTGGCGATGAGCTTCACGCTTGTGCTTTTGAAGCTTATTGGGCGATTCAAATCGTAAGGTACAGCCATGGTAGGTACATGTATAAGTGCCGCTGTCAGAAGACGTATTGGCCGGTCGCGAGAGGCCCTTGACCTTAGGAGGCGCTTGCGGCGGTGACATCTCAGTGCTAGGAAGTCCTTCGCTGCCAGTCGACTCCAGGCTTGGCAGAGACGCAGGGAATTCAGGGGTCTGCTGCAACATGTTTTGCTGCGGCTGCTGCTGCGATAGGCGTCGCTCATGCTGCGGTGCTGCCTGAGGAGCTGCAAAGGGATACTGCTGGGGCACTCCTGCAGTCGGATACTGACTGGGGTACGACTCCATGGTGTTGAAGTTTTGCGGCTGTCGGAACGATGAAGAGCTTTCACGTCGTAGCTGGCCCAAGGCATCACCCAAGTTAAAGTCCGATTGATTCGTAAACAATGGAGGCATGGCCGCATCCTCGCCCTCGTTGAAGTCCAAAAGCGCATCCTTAGGGGACATGGTCTTAGGCTCCCCTGGGGCAGTCGGCTGGGGCATGTGCACGCCGTTCTGGGGCATTGGAATACTGGTGTTGAGCTGCGACGACGGCTGCAGAGCGGCGTTGGAGAACTCTACTGCCAGAGGCGAGTTCTGCCGGAATGGAGATCGTTCACGGTTGATAGACTGTCGTGCAGACAAGTGGCCTTGGTTGGCCGCCTGGAGTCGGTCGGCAAAGACGTTGCGGTAAGGGTTGAGCATCTGTTGGGCGCCGCTAGGCTTCTTGGAAACCTGCGAGGCGGGCATGATAGCCGTGTTGTAGAGTTCATCTTGGTAGATGTCGGACATGGTGCGATTCAACTTCGGTATCCCCATCGTGGTCCCATTGTTGTTGAGGTTGTTATTGTATTCTGATCGCGGATCGAGTTGTAAGTATTCATTCATCCACGTGTCAACACCGAAAGATAGGTCCTCACCATTGGCCATCACCTTAGACGCATCGTCGAGATCGTCGTAACTCGTCTGAGGAGTCACTGGGGAGTTATGGCTGACAGTCGACACTGAGGGCGCCAGTGAGTGATCACTGCGCTGGTGCTGGTGCGACCTTTGCTGTTGCTGTTGTTGTTGTTGCTGTTGTTCCAACATGGCATGTCTCATCGCGATCTCTGCATCCGCATTCCCATTCTGCGACGATGGGTCGTAGTTCTGGAAAGGTGCTGCAAGGAACGAGTTCTGGATGGGGGTCTGAACGGGTGTGGGAAGCGGCTTGGAAACGGGCACACTGCTACTGCTGGATTTCCGATGGGCATTCTTCGTGTTAGGCGATGGTACCTGAGGGAGGCCGTTTGCTGAGATATGAGCCGGGCTCAACAGCTGCAGGTTGCTATCCCAGCCGTGGTTGTTGGTCACAGGTTGCTGTTGCGCTAACATGGAGGCGTCGTCAAAGAAATAGGGTTGTTGATAATAGTGGGACGATGGTGCGAGATAAGGTTGCGAAGCAGGTGGTGACGTAGACTGCTGGATCTGGATGGAGGGGTTGTAAGAAGATGAAGGTGTCATCGAAGGAGCCTCGTAAAAAGAGCTGTTGTTGCTCTTACCGCCGGCAGTCGAATGGTCAGTCGCGACCGGATTCGAAGGCGACGATGCCGGCGAGGAGGAAAAGGAGAAGTTGGGCGATGGAGGCGCAGAAGAGGGTGGAGAGACGAAGTGAACGTCAGGATTATATTGGAAAGGAGACTGCAATTGAGGCTGGAAGCAGGTGTCGTGGGGAAGATCGGGGAGGAAGTGGTCGTCTTGTAGGATGTGGACAGTGTCGGGATGGTAGACAGCGGAAGATGGTTCAGTGATGAGACCCTTACGTACAGTCGTAGGGTAAGTGAGCATAATGTATCTTGTTTCGGTGATCCACACGGAGAGGGAGTTTGGGACGTCAGTGTCCGGGGGAAGAGGAGGAGGGCGAGAACACGGCGAGTTTGCCACCAGCTCAGCAAAGGAAATTTATAGGCTGGCACCACCGGCCCTTAAGCACCAAGAAATCCGACGCGTTTCTTTACGAGCTGACCCGGAAACCAGGTAATCAAAGGCGTCTGGTCCGGATTTCAAAGCACACGGCGTTGGAGGCGGAAGACTCTGGAACCGTCGGGGTTAACCAGAGATCCAATAGGACAAAAGGAAGCGAATCCGTGGAATTGGAATTATCTGGGGGGATTCTTGGAAAGTCAGTCCTGCTTTCTTGGCTTCAATGATGAAAAAGAGTCGGAAAAAAGCTGGTAACTCTTCTCTGGTTACTCGTCCACAAAACCAAGGAAAGGCGTCTTATGTAATAAAGGAGGGAAGAAAGATAATCACTTACCCTTTTGGAGATAGGGTATATCAAGAAAAGAATGAATTTTGAGAGTGATTATGTGAAGGTCATGTATAAGGAGAGGAGAGAATGTATCAGGATGATGTGAAGTTCCGGCAAAGAAGGAAATCGGTGGGAGATATACCACTGATCGATGGACTATGACATCAGCCTTGGCGCTTGACTGCCGTATCGCCGAAAAAAATTAAAGGAAAAAAAAACGAAAGTTACGCTGAGTCACTGGTAATAATAATACACATAACATAACATACCGTACGAGGACCACCCACAGCATGCAGAAGACATTCCTCATTGGTTCGGCAGATATCGCTCCACCTGATTATCCTTGAGGGGTCAATGCGGTTGACTCCCAACACACCAGCCACGATACGGTAATATTGACTATACGTGTTCCGCATTAGTATGGAGTACATTTTTGATGGTTATTTTAGGCGCAGAGTTAGAAGCTTGTATCGCACTAAAACCATCCCGAAGATTCTCGGTTGTTCCGAATTTTTTAGGGCTCTGCCGTTCGTTCTGGAATTGCCTACGTTCTGCTTTCTTTTGATTAATTGACTGTAAAGATGATAAAGGATGCAGTGGAAATTGAATTAGGCATCAGGTCGCACACAAATCTTTTTCAAAGACAGTACTTCATCGTAGTGGAACTCCTAGTACGGAGTAGATGACTCAACTCCACCAGAATCAGAACACAAGGCTGCCAATGAAAAACAGAATCATCGACTGAGCCACATATTCAGGAGATCCGATCTACAGGTGGCAGCCCTTACTGGTCGCATTGGACCCTGTGATTCTCCTTTCAAAGTAGGGCCGTACGATGACCCTTGTAACAGTACTCCATACTGTATTGTAACAGCACAGCTTTCTTCACATATCACTAGCCACATATTAGTGCTGCGCCACATATGGCTGATGAATCAACGGTTTCCCGGTTTCCCCATATCGAATAAACATTATTGATCAACCACGTTTATCCACACGACACTGCACGATGAAAAACTCATTCACGGATTTGACCGCGACAGCTGTCCTTGGCAATCCTTCATGCTCGAGTACGAATGGCCCTTGCGGCTGCATCTCCATGTGAGAACCAGGTCACCAGCCACGTAGTGATGATCTCGGAGAAGTCCCGGAAATATTTTCTCCGATGATGCCGAGCCGGTTGTCTAGGCCGAACTATGCATCTGCACCGTCGACTCTCACGGTCAGTCCGAGGACATGCACGAATACGGAGTACGCAAATCACGGAGGTACATGCTCCGGATACTCGAAAATGGTCGAATCGATTAACATTGCCTATTTCAGTTCGTGGGTGGAAAGTGATCGCGAACCAGGTCAGCTGGCTCCGTCTGATCTGACGATGCTACGACGTAGAGCAGACGGTCTGTGGTCCGGCTTTGTTGAGTCAAGACGGCTCAAGAGTCGTTTTGGGATAGTCTGCCTGGTCTAAAAATGCAGGAAGGTCACATGTGACTTACAAGCACGGATTACTCCGTAGCATCTGCCTGGGGAAATACAGCCCGGAGATATATCTCTGATTGACAAGATGGTGCCACCTGCACACTGCAAAGCCTACACTTACAGCTGTCAAATTTCATGTACCTGGACCGAGAACCAGGTGAATATAATCCATTGACAGCTGGAAACTGTGGCGAGATGGAGACTTTGCGTGGAGCCAAAGCATAGAGGCAATACCCTATAGCTAATAAGACTGACTATACCTGCTCCTGCGTCTTCAGCCTGAGCGAAGCTGAACATAGTCGATCTGATACAGATGGCACTGACCTGGCCATAGCGGAAAAAATCCGGGGAAATTGATATACTACTTTGTATGCTACGCACGGAGTACTCCGTATTTCACCCACGAAGGAAACTGTTGACTCGTGTACAACTGCCGAACTCAACAAAAGCCAAAACGGGGAAAAACAACAAGGACATTGCCGGATGCCGATTACAGGTCTATTTTCACATTCCTTCCGATTAACCGAAGTCCAAGTGTCAGCACTCTAAATCCCAGACAAACTGCAGGATCAGGATTGTTGGAATCTGCAAAAGAACAAAATTTTCCCTTCCATGCTTACGCTAAACACGCATCGGGTTCAAACTCGCCCCGCCGATTGGACAGATCCCCAGCACAGCCACTTGAGCCGGTAACATTCTCGGTATTTCATGCCGTAATAACGTATGTAATGGCACCGCATACCCGGAAAAACTTAGCGTCGGCCTTCACCGGCCACACAACCCTTCGCTTGGGTCTTCCAAGGCCCTTCTGGAAGCTTTCTAATTTTGTCCTGCATATCAACCGGCCAATAATCGTGGCTCGGTATCGGTTACGGAAAATGCTCGGTCCGATGTCACTAGCAGTGCAGTGCAGCATCGCATTACAGGGATTTCTTCCTTACTTTGATCGGCCGCCTTTCTAACACCTGGACAGGACTAGTGATGAAAAGATTTTTCACGCCGTCGCATTGTAGCCTGATAGTAATCTCTCGAATTGCCTAGAACCCTCGGCCAATTGTCCAGATCAGGCTGTGCAAAAATGAATGGAATATCTCCGATCAATGTTGATACTGATAATGAATCCTGTCCGTGGTACGTCTTATCGGCCCGGTCGATCCTCCTCTTTTCAGTAGTACGGCTATGCCTGAAGCGCAAAGAACGGAATACCCCGTGCTCCGTGCTCGTCTACAATGCCCAATCTATCCTTGAGAACGATCTGTCAAGGGATTGGGCACGATTATTCGAGGGCTGCGTTGCCCAACCTGCAATGTGTAGAGGCTATGCTGATGTTACCCCTTGGGCATTGTATTCTTGTTTTGGACAGTCTAGGTTAGGTTTCCTTTCAGGGATATGGAATGACTAGGTGGATTGAGTATTCCGTAGTCGCTCGGTTTAGCCATTCTTAGCAGGTCTTTTTTTTTTTGCTTTCTTTTTTCCTTGGTACAGTTTGAGTCACTATGACTGGTGATGGTATCACATGATCAGCATAAACCATCACCTGACCAGATATATTTTTATCGATTCACCAAGTATACACTAGCCACAAACCATCTATGTTTTCCCCCTAATACAATATGCTAATTGCCGAATAATACAACTAAACAAACCACCCCAGAAATACACTCGTACTCGCTAACACAAGTAAAACATGTCTCTTCCGTCGTGGGGGAGCTATTAATAGATCGCTAGTCATGCTACCAAGTTTTTTAGTTGATAGTTAGTGAGTACTACTGTTTGTCTGAAATACGACTATTTTAGTTGGTGATTACTATCTAGAGGTATTGGTGTTACGTGGTACGATTGGGGAATAAGTCAGTATCGTCGTAAGTTGGGTTGTGTTTCATCGCGATTGCTGGGTAAACAAGACAGGACGAGTCAGTGATGCTAGGTACAATTGTATTCAGGTAGAATGGCTTGTTTGCTGCCTTGGGTATTACAATAGGGAGTGCACGGTGTTTTGCAATGTATGCGGTAAATTTAAAACGGTTGACTTCAATTTAGTATAATCAATTGCTTACTGTCAGCACAATCGGAAAGAAATATGGATTTTTAATAAGTGATGGTTCTGGAACGCTTTGATGAATTCCCACACTGTACAACAAGCCCTTTTTCTTATAGTGCTTCTGGCTGTCCGTTATGGGCTGCCGTCGATATTCTATCCCAATAGAACCTATGCATAGGGCCCTAAAGATATCTCCAACGACCCTTTCTAATTATATACTTTCCATCTAAGTTATACATTCCCAACCAATACTTCTTCAGCACATACAGCTCGATGAATGCAGCAATGTCTTTCAAGGCACGCTGAACTCGAAGCAATTCCTTTTTGTTCTCCTGTTACACCTGGAGCTCGATTTGGTAGGTTTTCCGCTCGTCTACAGACAGGCCTCTGACCAAAACAGCATTGATTTTGATGTCAGATGCCAGTAGCCGGGCAGTAACAACCGACAGACAAGACAGGCATATCGGGGGGAGCCCAAAACAACCGTAGCGTCGTAGCTGCCACCTTGGGTAGACACACCATAAAATTCATGCATGGATTCGAACATCACTAGAAAACATGTCAAACCATTGGGTACAAAATGGCAAGCATTATACCAAGAAGGGAGAGTTTAAGTACGTATTCAATTTACCATCCTGTAAAAATGAGGCCTTCTCTTTGGCCATGGTTGGGGTCCTTGGTCTTGGTTGGCAGAAACGTTCTAAAACTTGTTGTTTCGTCCTTCTTAGGTGTTGAGGGTATCAGAGAGTTTCCCAGTCTCGCACTATGTACTCATTTTGAACGTGATGGATTGAGGGTGCGTTACACGGCGTGCATATATAGCAGGATGTTCCATCCCTGAGGGCTCAATTTGCCACTGACCAGTTTGTTCCATCGGTATGACGGCCCCAATTCCCAATTCACCGATCAAGCAACCTGGGTGTATGTATGACTGGGCGCCTTGAGCCAGGCTCCTTTGTCGCGTTGAACTGTTTGAGATTGTCTTTGTCCGCCCAAGCCAGGATGCCAACATCACCGCTCCAAACCGCACCAAGCAATTCTCCAGCAGTTCGCAGATAAGTCTGCCAAAATTCTCCCTCCGCTGGGATTTATATCGTCTTAGTTTCCATGGGTATATTCTATGCATATTGAAATGCAGGTACATGGTGAAATGCAAAATCACTGAACCTCGTTGGATGGCGCTTGCGACAGAAAGCGGACGTCATAAAAACCCCAAAAGATATGTTGTCAAAAAGCTGCTTGTGGGCTGGAAATTTGCTTACGAATTTTATGTCCCAAAGGACGTCGCCTTTTGTGGGTGGTAATGCTGCAGAAGGGATGGCTGTGTCTGGGGATAAGCTGATGGTATTTATTATTGGGGGTATTATCTCATACCACCGAACGCCCCAGATTGAGTACTTTGAGATCTTTCTAAAATGAGCTGGACGACGACGAGAGCCAGTTGTTGGTCAGTGACGTGTGCTTGCGTGCTGTTTATTTCACGTATTCACCAATGTCGTTGCCCAGTGTCCTAAGACATCGATAGACACTTCTGTGTTGAGGTAAGTAAATTTCCTGAATTGTAGAAAATATGGATTCAGAGATATAGATATACAATAATGTACATTTATATGTTCAGGAGTCTTGGTCTATTCTATACTTCGAAGCGAAATGCCGCTATAGAAATTGCTGCGTTGTCACAAGCGCCAGTCACTGCTGGCGATATCATCTCTTGCTATTAAACGTATCTAAATCCCATAAAATAGCAGCTTACTGTACAAGAAATGACAAAAGAAATGAATGAAAATTAAGGGAGCGGTGGGTGAAGAATGATGATACTAGCGTCAGACTGCCTGATAGCCTGTTTTGTATCGATCATGAGGAAAGAGAAGGGTATATATTTTCGTGAAATGCAAAATTCCACCGGTCAGACATGTTGTAAAAGCCGAAATGATATGCAATGGTTTCCGAGTGTAGTTCGGAAATAATGAATGGAGATATTACCGAGTCTCGACGCCAGCGCTGAGATGATCTGATGGTTCATGTGTATATTCATAGCGGAGGAAAGGAGAGGATGTGTACCAGAAACCTAGGAATCGAATATTAGCATCGAGAAATGCAAACATCAACGATTCAATACATACCTAGGACTGACGACGCCCATGATCGAACGACAGACTATCCGAATAGTCCCGCTGTACCTCGACATTGGTCGAGATATGCGTTTGAGCGAGAATCTTCCCTTCAGGAATGATGATCCTCTCTTCACTCGAGTTGCCTTGGTATCCCGTGTGAACCTGAGCCCCATAATCATGATCATCATCTGCAACCATCGTGCCCAAAGTGATCGCATGCGGGTCGCGAGCTTTCGAGAAATTCGAGCCGTACCCGTACCGTCGACCCTGTTCTCCGCTGTCCGACCATGGCCCGTATTTTTTCTGACTGCTGTATTCGCCAATGATGCGGGGAAGGAAGCGGGAGGCAATCGCCTTGAAGGATGGGATGGAGGCGGCGAAGATTCCGACGTTGGTTTCGATGACCGACCAGTACATGGCGCCGCTGATCACGTAGGTCGAGTCGGGGGAGCTAAGCATGGCTGGGATGTAGGTGATTCGAATGATGGACGAGACGCAGGCACTGGAATCGCGTTAGAGTAGTTCCCACATGAGGTGTCGGGCATGTACTCACAATAAACCAAGCGAAAGGGTAAAGACAAGCGCGATTTTCTGCTTCCGCGGGATCTGAAGGTTGAATATAACCTTAATTGGTAACGTATAGGTCAGAACATCGGTAAAGATGTTGAGAGCAGCATTGCAGAGATAGAAGACGTTGATGTCGACGCAGTGGCCAGGCAAGGTGGTCGCCCAGGCCTTGGATACAGGTTGGCATTGAAACGCAGCTACTAGAACGTTGGCTGTAGCCTGTGCCGTGACAACCCCGAACATGGTGTAAGACAAGCGAGTGAGATAGCGATCACCCAATCGAGTGTAGAACCAGAGCACGGAGGTCTTGACGAAGCCTAGGCAAGCCAGGTAGAACATTGAACTCAACCAGACTGACTGAAAATAGTCAGCAAATAACACAAATATTAAAAGGAGGAGAACTGGGTCATACAAAAGCATATGCCATCAGCTTGCTCTGGTCGACATCGTCTATATGTCTTCCCATTCCATACTTGACACCTGCGCCTTGTCAGCCTCCCTTTCTCTCCTTCCTCATCCACTCCCACCCCAAAGAAAAGATTAAAGCGACTTACAAACCATGGTGACTGCAATAAAAGCCCAAGCCAGAAGCTAATCAATTCATAAAGTTAATCTAGAAAGCACTCTTTCCTAAAGCGTGGTTGACAGGAACTCACACAAGCACCAATAATTAAGACTAAAGAATGTCAGTATTCCAGCCCCCAAAACAGCCACAATCAAAATTACTCACAGTCATCAACACTCATCTTTCCCAGCACATATATTCGGGCAAACAGACGAAGAGATATGACGAGGAATGTCAATATTGCGAACCCAATCGAGATCCCAACAAGCACTGGGGCCTGCGATTCTTCCACACTGGATACCATGGCGAAGGATACCTCTCAGATGAGGATGTAAAACGCCGTGCAATAAAATATGACACTATGCTCTCTTTCTCTCGTTTCCTGTGTGTTCTGGTCTCTGACTTGCAAGGGACCGACTTTACATTCTTCGCTGTAGTTAGGCTGGGTCTCGAGATGAATAGCGTTCCACAGGAGGATACTCTATAAATGAACTGACAGACCAAAAAAAGCAACGGATCGGGGAGAGGAAGACAGAAAGGAAATAAAAAGAACTAGGGAGTACGGAGTACAGTTAGTGGAAAGCTCAATCGGATGTGTACCCTGCATGCCTGCGACTAGAAAGACCTACATCTTGGTCCACTTCGCACCGACTGCTAACATCCAAAGCACAAATAAACACATCCGAAGTTAAACAGAAAATGAAAAAAGAGGCAATGATATGCCGTGCATGCGCTACTGAACAGGTAATTCCAAAGCATCGGAATTCACCCACTGGCAGCCTGTCCTTTTCAGGTGCTGGATTTGCAAACCTGATACCTACTATCTGCTCTAGCGTGTAGCCGTTATAATCGCACCGTATCGTTCGTACCCTTCACAAGTCTATTGTTCCTACTGAGTACTCGCGAGCCTGAGTGGGGGCCGGTTCTCCTGTTCCTTTTCGCCATCCAGGATTTCGGAGATTGACCAGGGGAACGAAGAGAATGATTCGACTGGTCGTGACCTGAGACGGCTTCTGTACCGTATCCACAGCTATCTAGGCAAGACCCATATTGAATCCTTCGCTGCAAAGACCGCTGACGAGTAAAACGGTGCTGTCCTAAGTTCCAATAGCGGTCGAGGCCACGGAATTTGATCCTTGACGACGCAGTCGAAGCTAGATCTGCGAATTCCGACTCCTGGAGGACACATGGGGGTCTATACTCCATTCTTTCTGTGTCAGAGGACTCCGTATCTCGTACTCCAGACTCCTACATGGCCACTCCCACCCTGGGCTACTATTTGGCTTCTGCAGATCGTTGCCTGCCGGGGACACAGCAGGATTGGATGGAATATGCAGGCAATAAACCGGGATACAAATGGTGAGCCAGATATGTCCCAGCCCGAGGGTATAAATTCGTATGGTTTGTACAGATCTTATAGTAAAAAGCGAATCGACCTATAATCGCGATGGCAGATTCAACTCAAGCAGTTGCGTTGGCGATTTATTATTTTTTTTTTCCACCTCGACTTCCGAAGACGATAGCTGTGAATCCTTTACATAGTCTCCGCTGGATTTCGCTGTCAACGACTGGCTCAGAGATTATCGATGTCTAGTCACAATTCCAATCCAGGTCCACGATCGTCGTTACTAGCCTCGCATTTCTATTTTACTTGAGATGGCAAACAAGTGGGTACGGCCGTGCGAGAATTGACCAACCGTCGACCGAGATCACGATGCTAAATCAGAATACGGGGCGTATAATGAAGCCGCGACCAGAGTCCGGTTTAGACAAAAAGGGAATATGATTTTCAGTGAACAGAGCTTCTGTCACTTTTGCCTTATGGTGGCCTTGGATTGTGGTGCCCGAGTGTTTGCCAACTCCAACATGCGGTTTGATAAGCATATGAGCCCAGCACGAATTTGCTGCAACCACGCTTTGTTCAGGGGTTGAAACTGCTGTGCCATCACTGAAGATGTTTATGGAAGTCAGGAGAGCCAGGCGAAAACCGACTGACTCGTGAGGTTAATAGATTTTCCGAACCCAGCCGTTGAGCAGCCCTGCCATATACCGTCAAAGATGGCAGTGGCAGTTCGTCTCCATTACTTTTAAACTCTCTCTACGCCGCCCCCCAATACTACATATTATCGCCATTGTGATTCTAGAGGAGGGAAATGCTACAGTATGATAGACCGGCATCCGAAGGATGCACACGGGCCAAATGGATCGGAAGAGGACCCAGGATTTTCTAGATTAAACAAGCGGAACGGGCTGACACCCGGACTAACGGCAGTATCTAACGACGGACTAATGCTAGTGCCCTTAGTCGTCTCAAGATCCATGCTGCCATGTTATTATCATTGACAAAATCAGTTGTTAACCGAACAGTTCCGTTGGTTAGTGGGAATGCACGGAGTCTATTGTGCTCTGCTCCGACGCCTATCTTGCCCATTTCCATTTTGCGAGACAAAAATAGAAGGCTTGCTGTCCTTTTTCCTTTAAAAAATATATTCTTTATCTTTTTCGCGCCGGATCTCGGTCCTTTTGGACGAGTCAAGCGATGTTGACAAAGAACCGATGGGCCGTTCGCTGAGCCGGGACAACCAAGAACAGGCGTTTGCTACCTGGCTAGACAGGTCACAACGATCCGATTGCGGCTGAAGTGAGCTGTTACCTGTCCGAGACTTCAGTAGTTGAGACTGTACATGGTAGCTCGGAAACTACCTGTCAGACCGGGATAGAGTTCAGCGGCGTGGAGCATCGGCTGTCATGTTGAGGATAAATGAGCTAATTGACAACATCCCAGCATTTACTCCGTGAGTAATAATAATACAAGAAGTCAATAATAACACGGATATACGGATTGTCGCTAAAAAGTCTACAAGTGCGCAGAAAATAATATTATTTAAAGGAATGCAACAATGCTTGCCGCAGTCAATTAATAACGGGTCACGATCCTATTACATATTCGACCTCCCCCAATGCATGGTACTTATTTCTTGTGGAGCTTAGCCGGATGAATTTTCCTGTTCTCCATCCGCCGACTTCCAACTCCACTTCCCTTCGTTCCCCTCGTACCTCAATAACTCGAGCCTGTGGGAATTAGGGGGAACTCGGTCCGGGTGGCCCTTCGGATCCATCTGTCAGGCGATCCATACTGCCTGCGGAAATATGTCCTTCGACCGGTTCTAGCCCGAGACAGGTGACAAGTGATAATCATAACGCATTCAAACGGCACTTGTCTCCACGAGGCAACGATCCATATCCCATTGCCCTCTATAGAAGCATTACTCCCTGAACCAAAACTCATCGGCCAGCGAATGGCTCGAGTCCATGGAAGCCGTACGCAGTACGAAGTACGGAGCACAGGGTTAACGAAATAGTGGATGAATTTCGGCACGGCATTGGCCAAGGAGGGGTCATGATATGTACTCTGGACGAGTAATGCGAGGCTGCCTTTCTGCCTCGAGCATAGAGTTCTATCAGGATTACCAATGGCTTTAGGAGCAACGAATCAGGAAATGTGGTCATTGACCCTAGCTTGGACTGAGTCGTAAGCACCAATCGTACGGGGCTTTAAAACAATGATATATATGACCAATCCTTTTTATTTCTATTCGTCCTCGCTCCTTCGCAGCATACTATTGTGTTTCATTCTTCACATCTATTTTGTCTTGTGGTGACATCCTTGCAACGCCATGAGCTTCGGTCAGGCTGTTCTGTCACAGATTACGGTGGCCAAGGTCATCCTAGGACTGCTCGCATATGCTGTACTTCGAGTTGTCTACCAGGTTGTCTACTACCGCTTCTTTCACTCTCTATCTGCCTTCCCCGGTCCGTTCTGGGGAAGTGTCACTCGGTTCTGGATAGCATGGCACAACCTGAAGGAAACTGAGGTGCCTACTGTGCACGCTCTGACGAAGAAATATGGTGCGTAGTAGTTCTGATTCTACTATCTCAGACACTGGCTAACTGCTCGCGTTATCCACAGGCCCCGTTGTGCGCATCACTCCTACAATGCTGCTGGTCAGCGACCCCAAGAAGCTGCCCGAGGTCTACCACCGGCGCGCCGACAAGACCAGCCACTATATTACCGGAAGTTTTGGAGAGTCAGAGAGTTTGTTCAACATGAGGGGCCACAAGACTCATGCTACATTCAGGAAGCATGTTGCTGGTCCTGTAAGTTCCTATACCCCGAGAAATCAGTACAGGAGACCTCAAGACTAACAGCATGCAGTACAGCTTCAGCAACATGAAGAAGATGGAGCCATTGGTGGATGCGCACATTGCGCAGTGGGATAACCAGCTCAAGGAGAAATTTGCTAAAACTGGTGCTACCTTTGACTTTTCGTGGTGGGCAGTGTAAGTCCTGTTGACCTGGTTTCATCATGCGAAGAATGCAGACTGACAATAATTTCCTGCTAGGTACCTGGTCTACGACATCATCAGCGAAATCGGATTTGGCGCTCCCTTCGGCTTCATCAAACAAGGAAAGGATATCGGCGGTCTCGTCCAAGGCTTCCACGACGGCCTTCCAGCCTTCGGCCTCCTCGCCCGCCTCTACCCTTTCACCAACTGGATGAAATCCACTTTCCTGAAGAAATACCTCGTCGCCACACCCGCCGATGACTCCGGAATTGGCGTCCTCATGCGTTTCCGCGACAGCCTCATTGACCAACGCCTGAAGGACATCGAAGACGGCAAGAAAATCACCCGCGTTGACCTACTCCAGACCTTCCTCGAAGCTCGCACCGAAGATGGCAAGCCTCTCGACATGGAATACATCCGCGCAGAGACCCTTCTTGTCCTCCTCGCCGGCGCCGATACAACAGGAACAGCCTTCCAGGCAATGATCCAGTACTTGCTCAAGAACCCGGAGTCCTTCAAGCGCATGAGGCGCGAGATCGACGAAGCAGACGACAAGAACCTCCTCTCTGCTATTCCGCAGTACAACGAGGTTATCGAGCATCTCCCCTTCTACGTCGCCTGCGTCAAGGAAGCTATGCGTCTCTGCCCCTCCGCACCGAATATCTTCCCGCGCTACGTCTCCGACCCCGGTCTCGAGCTCTACGGCAAGTTTGTGGCCCCTGGTAACGAGATCTCCTGCAACCCGTACCTTGTCCAGCGCGACCCGGAGCTCTATGGTGAGGATGCGGAGGAGTACCGGCCAGAGCGCTGGTTGGATCCTGAACGTGCCAAGCTGTACAACAAGTACAACTTTGCGTTCGGGTATGGATCGCGGGTTTGTCTGGGCAAGGATATTGCCATGATGGAGTTGTACAAGGGGCCGTTGCAGTTCCTCCGGAAATATGACCTCGAAGTTCCTCAGGATAAACCTGCGCCGCAGTTCTGTGTTAAGGGGGGTGTTGGGTTTTGGAGGGATGTTTGGTTGAATATTTCTAAGCGGCCTTGATTTTTTTTTTCTTTCTCTTTTCTCTTTTTTTCTTTTTCTTTTTTCTTATTTTTTTCCCCGTTCTTTTCACCCTTTTCACTCCTTTTTACCTTTTCGCAGTACATATAGCATGCATAGTTAGGGATATCCGGTAAATACAACGCACACCTTCCTTCGACTCCTACTTGTACAGAAAGCGCATCATCAGCACCTTAAGCACCTTAGAGCATAGCAAATTGCTTTCCCCAAACCCGCACGATGCCCCCTCCACCCGGACTAAATACCTGCCCATCTCGTCCAGTAATGCAGCACTGCAAGGTACTTTTGACACGATCCTTCGGCTGCTCACAGACTTTTTTGCAGAGTGCATTGCATGTGACCAATGCACGGTACGTACAGGCAACTACTTGTAGAAAAGGAGCATGAGTTAGCACAGCTAGTATCTCTAATATGTTTTTTTTTTTTTTTTTTTTTTTTTTTTTTTTTTTTTTTTTTTTTTTTTGTAGAGTTTGTTTTTGCAAGAGGCATTGCATGTACATACCTTGACTTTTTCTGTGTAGTCTGATTCTGGGAAGGCTTGCCGACGAGGCAACTATCTCGGTTGTTTGTTGTTCAATAGGTAAGGAGATGGGGTTTCATGCTGGACTTGTCAGATCTATGATTTACCTCTGATTACCTGTTTGCGTAGGGCTCTTGGTTATGGGGTAATTATACGAGATGTGGGAGGCCATATTCCGTGTATAGCAAATCGTTACTTCGTATGCTTGAAGGCATCTGATAATACGAAATGAGTATTCAATTCCGGAAAGATGTCGTAAACTCTAAAAGACATGTATAATAACAACTTTTTATATTCAAAAATGTACCCGAAAATTCCACTAGGAAGGCTGGTGTTTATGACGAGTTGCCGAGCACAGCGTCCTGGAAAAAAAATGTTAGTCAACATTTCCCAGTATGTAGGAACTAGATATTGTCAGATACACACCCTTGCGTCGTTGTATGGAGGAGAGATATCGGTCCAGTGTTTGAACTGATAATTAGGTTAGCGAAACTCTCATTTCTCGGCTAGAGTGTACTCACCTGGAAGACTCCCTGTCCAACCAGAACTTCCAATCCAGGCACAGTATTCCAGCCCGAATCGTTAGCAAGCTGCATCAACGGCGTGACCGCAGGCTTGTACGCCATCTCCAGCAACACTCTCGGCGACTTGTCGATAGACTTGATGTGGTCTGGGTCTACCTGTTCCGTGCGGTCGAACAGATGGCAGAGGTTCTCGCGCATGGCTGGGTCGATCGGCTTGTCACCGGGGATGGTTCCGATGGCGACGTTCGGGACGGTGTCCAGTTTCGAGACATCCTCAACGACGCGGATGTTGTAGCTGGTGGGGAAGGTAGATACCATGCTCTCCAGCTTGGCGGGAGAGCGACCGAAGATGTAGATGGGGGAGTAGCCCATCTGGTGAAGAGCGTAGATGGCTGCGCGAGCGGTACCACCACCGCCAACGACAGCGGCACTCGCGTCCCCGGCGGCATTGCCAACGCCAGCGTTACGGAGTGACAGTTGCATGCCCTGCCAGTCGGTGTTGTAACCAACCAGGCGGGCGGGCTTGCCTTCGCCGTTGGAGACAGGGACGATGGTGTTCACGGCGCCGATAATCTCGGCTGCTTCGGCAACCTCGTCAAGCAGCGGCATGATGTCCAACTTCAAGGGGATGGTGACCGACGCACCTCCAAAGTCTGGCGACCGGATGAAGTCCTTGACATCTTCGACGTTGGTAGTCTCCAACCGACCGTACTCGTGTGGAAGTCCCATGTAGTTGAAGAGCGTGTTGTGGAGGATTGGAGAACGAGAAGCGGAAACAGGGCTTCCGAACACAGCAAATTTCTTCGCTTTGATCTCACCCATCAGCGATAGACCCCGACGGATCTCAGTTGCGGAGAGTTGTCCCGGAGCAGCCTTGAAGGGAAGAGCAGGGTGAGACACAGGAGTCATGAAGCCGTTAAGGATACGGCTCAGCTGGCCATTGTCGCCCATGTTGATTGCGATCAATGGCACGTCGTGAGCCTCCTCGGCCCATGTCTTGAACTTCCGGAGGGATGTGTTGTCGTCGAGGTTCTTTGCCACGCCAACCAGCTTGATCACGTCACCGTACTCCAGCGCCCGGTTGTAGAACTTCATCCAGGACATGTTGGCCCACGAGAGTTCTCCCTTGGGGTCATGGTGCGAGGCAATGATTTTAGAGTGGCCCTTCATCTCGGTGACAGCGCGGAGCATCTCGTCGGGGAAGGCAATTTCAAGATCCACAAACTCACTGCCAGATCTGAGCGCTAGCTTGTACAACTGCATTGCGGCGTCGTGAGCATCGTCGGGAAAGCAACCTCCCTGACTCTGTGTCCGGATGGTGAAAATCAAAGGGAGGGAGATGCGACTACGGAGGAAAGACACTTGCTCCGCGACATAATCAACGGAAGGAACATCATTGTCTGATGAGGGGTCCTTCAACAGATCAACTCGCAACTCCACCGCATCGGACCCGATGCTAACTTGGTCCAGAATATCACCTGAAGGACGCAAGTCGGGCAAGGTCAGAGAAACGAAGAAAGACTCCTTCTTCTTCTTCATGACATTAAGGCTGTCCTGCTGTCCAGTAACGACGTGCAAGAAACGCTTGAAATCCTCAGATGGCAAAGCAAGGGCACCTGAGCCCGAGTGCTGGCTGTAGTACTGAATGTTACTGCACTCTTGGAACCAAGGCTTCCGACGCAGCCACACACCCATCATGTCCTCGACGTAGGCTGGGCGGGTCTGGTCGATCGACAGGAAGTCCATAACCTGTTTGATATCGCGCATAACCAGTAGGACATTCCCTTTGCCCTTGTGGTAATCAATGAGCAGCTTACGGGCCTCAGGAATCTCGACGACGCCTCCACCACATGCGAATACGTAGCCGGTTGTGCGTTCTTTCATCATTCTTTGCAAAATATTGAGCTCAGCATCCCGGAATCCCTGCCAACCGCGCTGCTTGATAATGTCAGGGATGGTGATGCCCTCGGAGCTTTCAAGCTCGGTGTCGAGATCGACGAAGGGACGGTTTAGTGTTTGAGCAATCCAATGTCCAGTGGTAGTCTTTCCAGCGCCGCGCATACCAACAATGAAGACCGAAGCACTTGCCTTCTCGGCACGAGTAAGAGCCGGGGATTCGGCTTCCGTCAACTCCTTGCCTTCAAGTTTGACTGCGAACAATTGTCTCAAGGTATCCCACCAGCCGGGCCAGGTCTTGCCAACGCATTCTCTTTCCAAGATAAGAGTTGACTGGGGAGCCACGAGGGACAAAACGCTGAAGCTAAAAGCAACCCGGTGGTCATCGTAGCAGAAAATACCACCAGCAGGCTGACGAAGGGTGGAGCGGTCAACGCCGTCAATCTCAAGTCCGTCATCGTGTTCCCGGCAGACGACTCCGAATTTGGCGAGCTCATCCTTCATAGCTTGGATTCGGTTGCATTCCTTCACACGCTGGTTTGCAATTCCGTAAATACGAGTGGTGTGTTTCGAGTTGTCGCCTTGTGCGACTGCTGCGAGGACAGATGCAGTAAGGAAAGCATCGGTCATTGGCTCCATGTCCACGTTGGGCAGAGGCTTCAAGGCACCACCGGGCACACCGGTGACGGTAGTCGAAGCAGCAGTCTGCTCAACGGTGCAACCCATGGGGCGCAAGACATCAACGGCAAAGCGGGCATCACCCTGCAGAGACTTGGAACCGATGTTGGGGACAGTGCAGGTCGTTCCGGTAATCGCAGCAATGGATAAGGGGTAGGTGGCAGAGCTGGCGTCGCTTTCCACAACGTATTCAGCAGGGTTGACATAACGGCCCTGAGGAATGTGGTAGGTGTGCTCCTCCGTCGTAGACTTTTGCACATCGATGCCGAACGACCTCATCATTGCGGTCGTCATGTCGATATACGGCTGGGAGATGGGCTTACCGCCAACGAGTCTCAGGGTCACTGGCTCCTTGGCGTACGGCGCACACATAAGCAACGAGGAAACGTATTGAGAGGAAACCTTGGCAGCTAGGTTGATAGAGCCACCAGCAAATCCACCAGAAGCGGCAATCTTCAGAGGAAGACTGCCCTTTTTCTCCTGGTACTCAATCTCGGCACCGTTTGCTGTAAGAGCGTCGACAAGGTCGCCAATGGGTCGTTGCTTCATGCGGTTGTTGCCGGTGAGGATGCTCGAATCTGCGCTGCTTGCATTGGCAAGGGTCGCGACGGAGGTAAGGAATCTTGAAGCCGTACCGGCATTGCCAAGATAGAGCGGCGATGGGGTGGCTTCAAGGTTTCCTCCCTTGCCGTTCACTACAAGGACTTCGCCTTCGTCTTCCCAGGAGAAAGTAGCGGCACCAAGACGCTCCAGGGCGTTCAACATAACCTCGGTGTCATCGGAGTGCAGAAGGTTCTTGACACGGCAAGTGCCGGAGGCGAGAGCAGCGAGAACGAGAGCTCTGTTCGAGATACTCTTTGACCCTGGGGGTGCGCAGGTGACACTGAGTGCGGGTGCAACGCCCGGCTGCACTTCGACACTGGGAGCAAGGACAACGCCAATTTCTTCATTTGACACGACGCTAGCTTGGGGTTCGTGAGTTCGACCGATAGCCGACAGCAAAACTACCTTCTTCTTGGGACCGTCGTTCTTTTTGTCGAGGGCCATGTTGAAGAGCAGCTGCTCGACAGAGCAGTGCTTGCCAGCAGTCAATTTCCTAATCTGTGCGTCTTTCAGAGATGTAGGCAAGCCATAAGCGGCAATGCACTTGACGACACGAGCCACAGCAACTCCCTTCAAAACACCGACATGCCTGGCAAGTTCAGCTTCCTTAACCATACCAATTGCGACACACTCTCCATGGAGAACCTGAGGGGTGAGGATTGCCTCAATGGCATGACCGATTGAGTGGCCCCAGTTCAACAAGTTCCGAAGACCACCCTCGCGCTCGTCCGCGGAAACGACGTAAGCCTTGTGACGGGCAG